GTCCGTCTGTCCGTCTGTCCGTCTGTCTGTCTGTCTGTCTGTCTGTCTGTCCGTCTGTCTGTTTCTACGCAAACTAGTCCCTCAGTTTTAAAGCTATCTGAATGAAACTTTGCATATAGTCTTCTATATGCTCTCACTGCTATATATGTCGGAACGGGCCGGATCGGACGACTATATCATATAGCTGCCATACAAATGTTCGATAAATTTTTAGAAAAAAAATTATAACTTGGCTGTTTTTCAACATATGTGCACTATTTTTGACATATGACCATTTTATATTATTTCTGAATTTTGGTAAAAATTTTATGAAAATCGGACGACTATATCATATAGCTGCCATAGGAACGATCAGGAAATTAATAGAAAAAAATTATAACTTCGTTGTTTTTCAAACTATTTTTTTCTACTCTGGGATATAAGCTTATTTTATTAGTTCAGAATTTTGGTATAAATTTTATGAAAATCGGACAACTATATCATATAGCTGCCATATAAACCGATCGGTAGGTGTAGGGAAAATGTAAAACTGGGAATGTAAAACTGTAACTGTCAAACTCTCAACATAATAAGTATAGGTAAAATGCAATGAAATAATATCTGCAAGGGTATACAAACTTCGGCGTGCCGAAGTTAGCTTCCTTTCTTGTTTTTTTTTATTTTTTGCATATACAGGTAAGGGTAATTCTATCAACTAACTTTGTTTAATATCTTTGTTAATCCTCGTGGTGACTTTTCTTTTAATTTTCACAAAGTGATAAATGTACCTTTCGCCATATATTTACATAATTTAATGGTTTAAAATTCGTAGAGACATGTTTTCGCTGTTTTTAAGTTGAAATCAAGCTGCCTTCGCACACTCTTTACCCACACAGCCTTTGACAGGCACCCAGGACCAATGTAACAGGCTCGATTACGATCCCAGCGGGCTGCACTGCCTGCCAGCGACCAAGTTTTATTATCAGAAGCGCCAGGAGACAAGAAAGCAGCAGCCACAATAAAACTCATAAAATATGCTTGCCATCAGACTCCAAAGCACCGGTTGTACAGTTGTCGTGGTAATAATAGGGCCAGTTTGAGAATAAACAAAGAACATGCCAGTATAAATGAAGTTTCTTAGTTTGTAAAAATATATAAAATCACAAATGTAAACGAAATGCTTTAAGAAATCAACCTGTAATTCTTAAACAATAGACATTGATTTTGAAACAATTAAAACAACATATAACCAATTATAAAAAACAATTTAGAATATTTCTTGTAGAGATTTGAACCAAAATAAATGTGTAAAATATAAATAAATTATATATGCAGATGCAAGTGTTTATGTTTATATTGCCACAACTGTATGACGGTCGTTCGTATTTGTATTGGCTGCTTTATTCTTCATTTAACAGCCCGCCCCCCGGGAGGCTGGGATGGATGCTGGGGCTACCCCCCAGCCTGGTCTTTGTTTCGCGGACCACTCGGCGCTGGCCTTTTTATTATGCGCTTCTTTCAGGCTTATTATATTCTGCCTTTACACTCATTTAAACCATTTTACAGTAATTTTGCTTATAGCTAATTTTAAGCTATTGCCCTGTGGCCGCCAACCCCCAAAAAGTCGAAGGAAAATCCGTCGTCTCCCGCTGCCACCTGCTCTGCGGTTTCTCTGACGCCTTTTCACGTTTTCCGGCCGCCTCAGATATACATATATATTTTTTGTTTGTTCTTTATGACAGCTATTGCTCCTCGGAGGAAATTATCCGCCTTTTTCATCAGTTCATTTCGGCTTTTTGTTTCTCGGGCCTTCGGTTAATTTATTATTTATTAAACTTTTGGCATCCATTAGACGGCCAAAAGTTTTACTTTATAAATTGACAATTTGTTATGTGTCTCTCATCGTTTTGTATTATTTATCTGTGATTTCTTTCGCCCGGAAATTATTATCTATTTTTCATATCGAGCCGTGGGAATTGCACAAATCTCTGTGGCTTTCTGGCGCCTGTGCATAATTCAGGGGCAGGGCATTAAAATTAAGCATTAAGATGGCAAGACGGCACAGTAATCCGAGATCTCTGTCACTTTAGGTGCAGGAGAGAATTATGGATCGGGACGGGATTTGTTTTGAAACTTGCGCAGCTTAAATGCTGTGCTGGGGTTAAGCTGTCGTCCGGCAGGAGCTGGAGCTGGGATGCTGGGGGAAAAAAACAATGAGAAGTGCCACAAAAGCCGCACGGCCCGGCAACAAATTCTAATATTGCTTTTGTTTCTCCACTAGCAGCTTTCTCGGCATCCTTCGGCCGGGCACGCACTCCGGCCGCACGGCCTGTTGGCTTCAAATTGAGTTGTGAGCATAAAAAACCCGGGGCGAATGCTCCTGGGGACTTGGTCCAATGCGGCAAAAGTCAACTGCTCCTGCAGAGGCATGCCAACGATGGACGCAGCAAAGTGGACACAATGGACGATAAGGCACTGTAAGAAAAATTCTATAAAAAAATTAAATTTACAATTACAACAAGAGCAGTCATAAAAATTAAAGGGAAATCTATATCCTTTATGATTGTTCTTAAAATTAATCAAGTTGAAATGTATTCTAGATTTTTTTTCTGTGTGCATAAAACTCTGGTGTTGTCCAAGTCGCAGTGTGAAGATATTTATGGCCACTGTCCAGGGACTTTAGCTGGTGTTTTGGAGTCTACTGCACCAGCCATCGACCATCGACCATCGACCACTTGCCTTGAGCCCCGCTGGGGTAAGCCGTTTAGGGTTCAATCTCTCAATGGGGTCGAGGTCGATCGCTTTGCCGCCAACGCGGCGCATGAGTGATATGTAAACAGTCAACAATCCAATTTCAGGGCCAATTCAAATTTCAATACATTCTTAAAGCTGTTAAATACTCAATGGTATTGAAGCAAAATTACCTATTATTAAGGTATTGTTTTTGCAAATGTGATTTAAAGTTCAATAATAATTTTTAACTGAATGTTTCTTTGAAAATTAAAAGCCACATCCAGAACCAATTCCCTCAAATCTGGTTCAACTAAATGTCGAAATTCATTAAAGTAAAACCATAAATTTTATGCGATTAAAGGTCTGTCAAATGCCATTTAGTTTTGGTTGTTGCTTTAAATAAAAAGCTGCTATAATTCGGCTTGTGTGCAAAGCGCAAATAATCTCACCTGCTAAGCTGGCAGCAGTTTATGTTTAGTAATTGAATTATGCAAATCATTTTGGGGCTATAAAATATTTGTGGCTTATATTGTGTAAATAATGTAGCAATGGTAAATTTAATCAAGCTAGGTGTACAGCGAAAACTTAGGATACTACGTTACAAATTATACGAGTGATAATTTATGGAATTAATTTTAAACGAATAAATAATTTCGAAAATATGTGTGTGTTGTTAGCTTTAAAGTTTACTAATATTTACCAAATATATTCCCCGTTTTTTCTTATGAAAATTCCTCAAGAAATCAAAAACCTTATCAGTTTTTAAATTCCTTCTTTAAACTCGCAGTTAGCTTCCAAATAAATGTTCCAAGTATTTTTCAGTACAAAAGAGAAAAAGGTCCCTGATAAAATGCCCATATTATACCCTTTAATATTGCAGTTTTTCTTCACAGACCACTTCACCTGATCCCCTCTGGAGATAGTCCCCATCGAACCGAAAGCAAACCCACTTGAAACCCACTCCGGAATGTTAACAACATCTCCAGCTTGAGCCACCATTCAATTGCAAGTGCAATCGTTGGCTAAAGTAACACGGGGCGGATGAATGATGCCCGCGGGAAGGGGACTTTGCAAAATTACTCGCGCCACATTCCAGGGATTAACAAATCACCTGCACACACACTGGCACACTCACCTGGCGTGTTGTTTACAGCACTTACAAATGAAAATAAACGCATTTCAAGCTAATTAAACAATAAAAGGGCACCCGACTTCCCGAAAAGCAAATGGAATAACAAAGCAAATAAAAATGGAGAAGACGCGCGGGTGGCTGTAATTCAGAAAATAAAAGTGCACGGCATTGGCATTAGTCGTGGGCGTAGACAGGGGGCGTGGCGCCACCCCCGCAACCTGACAGCTGACAAACACCCGAGAGCACGGTGGGAAAAGCGAGAAAATTTGGCAAAAAGGTGTTGTCTTTTCTTTGATTTTATTTTTAAAGAAATTCAGAATAAAGAGAAAAGATAATTCCCAAAAAAAAATTAGGGAACAATATGAAAACAAAGTAAATTGAAATAATATTTTAATAATATTTTTAATACATTTAAATTAGCTTTGCTCATGTATCTCCCTTTAAAACACTTCATTTTCTTTTTCCATTCCTTATTAAAGCTCCACTAAGTGATAATTCAATAATCAATATTATCATTTGTTTTGTAATAATTTAAAAATAATAAATAAAACCATTTTTCCCATGGTGAAGCGTGAAGCTCTGGAGCTCACACAAAAGTAGGCAACAAAGACGGCAGCGATGCGATTGCTGCAGCGTCGCTGACGGTGACGACGTGGCACAATGATGTTGCAATTTAATTTGTATTGTCGGTGGGAGTGGAGGGGAAACCAAAGGAGGAGGAGGAGTGGCTTGGAATGAAAAGGGATGCCCGCCACCGCCGACACTATTGCACTGGCGGCAAAGAGAATGCCAGCTCTGGTGATGATCACGCTGACGATGATGAGGACAACGGTGCTGATGGCAATGGTTGATGAATCCACTTAGACGTCGGGCGCCAGGCAACGGCATCAGGAGCAGCAGCAACATCTACAGTAGCAGCGGCAGCAACTTGTGCAGCGGCAATAGCAGCACCAGTGGAAGCCAGAGTGTCGCTTAATTGAACAGCCAAAGGATGAAATAAAAGACAACGGCACAGCGGACACATGGACACGAGGGAGGAGGAGGTGTGTTAACTACTCCAACTGAAAATTATATTAGCACCGAAACCCCATAAATTTAAGCGGGCGTAGATTTAATCCAGTTATTAATGTAAAAATATACTGCAAAGACAATTCCATTCATGACTTCGTGACTTTTCTTGTATTTAATTTTATAAAAATAGGGTTTTTTAGGCCTAAAAGCACTTGGTAGCGGCAGAGCTGATTGCGAGCTAATCGCGGCACAGACGCTTGGAAGGCGGCTCCTCCTCGGCCGGTGCGATACTCTGCAACAGCTTCGACTCGCTGTGAGCTCCGAACAGCGTCAGAAGCAGGGCCACGCCATAGCCGGTGGCACGTTCACCCTGAAAGAGAGCAAAAGCAAAAATCACATTAAATTCAAATAAAACAACTACAGCGGATTTCAAGTCCGAACCGAATCACTTACGCAATGGACGGGCGTGGCCATGTCTACGTGCACCCAAACCCCTGGGTAGTCGAATCCAAGATGGGCGGCAATGAAAAGGCCGGCGCAGGAGGACTGCGCGTTTTGTCGATCCTGCAAGCGGAAGGGAAATCTCAGTTAGACATGGTGACATATTCCCTCGGATGTGGGTATTCCTTTATGGGAACATCCCTATCTTAAGTGTTTGTGTGTGTGTGTGTGTGTGTGTGTGGTTGTGGTAGTGGGGGGTATGTTGTGTATGGAGCATGCAACAAGCAAAACTTGGCGTCGCTTTATTAAAAAAGCGTCCTGCGGTGCAGCGCAACAAGAAAATATATTTATAGAGATAGATGAACATACACGAGGGCAGTTTGAAAAGAAGCCATTGTAGCTTTGTTCGTTTTATATTTTTAAATAAAAATAATGAAAAAGCTATAGTGAAATGTAATAGTATTAAGGAAACAAATAAATATATAATTAAAATGTATTCTGCTTAAATACCCGGTACCCAACTGAATAAAATTTATTGGTTTAGCTTGTAATAGAGATGTAAAATATATATATATAAATATATATTTATACTGTATGTTAGACACGAAAGTCGATATTTAAATCAGCATTTCAACTTTGCGATATATGCAGGATAAATCGATAGAATTTTAGCGTTAAATTCGATATTTTTCGATATTTAAAATTGATGTTTTGTCATAATGGCATAAACAATAGATAATAAAGTTAAAAAGAAAACTTGTCATATGTTTTTTAATCAATTTTCTTAGTGCAAAGGTTGGGGCTAACCGAGTTTTAGTATTCATAATAATACAAAATACAAATTACGAACAATATAAGTAGACTTTGGCATCATCTAGTAAAATGCAAAAATCTTCTGAATAAATATTTTAAATCATTAAATTTAGTTTTAAAGGGAGAAAAGGGGCTTTCAATTGAGTACATTTTATAAAATTTCCCACTGACTCCCTGATTGACCAAGTCGTTTCGTAGTGCACCTCGGAAGTGGCAAGTCTGGGTGTGCTAATGCCTAAATTATATGCCATGCACTGGCAGCTGCGTAACGGAAGCAGTCGCTCTACTAACTTGGGCGGAGATTGCAGCGCTTAAATGCCAAACATAAAGTACACTTTCCACACACACACACTCGCCAAATAAAGGAGGAACCCGACGCACACACTCTGCTGACAGTTGGCCAAAAAATGGAGTTAACTGGCAGACTTCACCAGCAGGGGCTGCGGAATACAGCGGACATAGCACACGAGCGAGCGGACGGGACGACGAGCAGTGAAAATTACATGACAACGCGCTAGGTTCCCTCTCAAGATGAAAATCACGCAGACATGGACACACACACACACACACACATGCTGTCAGGAGACGTGCAAACATCGTCCTTCCAGCGGCGGAAGTCAAAAGTCCATTGAAGCACACAGCCGAGCATCAGACTTGAAGAATGAAAACTGAAGACCGCTGCTCCTACAGCACACAGAGCAAAAACAGATTTATTCTCTGATGATGTTTAACTAATGTTCTAAAAATTTAATATTTGTTAAATATTAATAACTTTTTAGACACTGAAATCAGGATCTACAATTGATTTAGACTTTAGGAAATATGTAGATAATATGCTTTAAATAACTTAAAATATTTTCCATGTGTAACCAATGTTCCTGTGCTGGTTCCTGTGGCTGCTGGTGAAACTCCATTTCATGTCCTAACACTGCACAGCTAGTGCTTTCGGCGGTTTTGCAGCTAATAACCCGCTTTTGTTATGAAACTTGCGGCTGTCGGTGCCAACAAGCCCGTTATGGCGTATATGAACATATGAATAAAGTTCCTTAACCAGGAACAGGCTCTTTGAATTTGATTTGTAAGATATATTAATATAGATGCGTCGAGAGCTTTTCATATTAAAAATTTTACCGCTTTGTACCAATACAAATTACTATATAATTTTAAGATATTCTTTAAAAAATAGTAAGCTTTAATGTTAACAAAACAAGTCAAACCTACATCAATAAATTCTGTAAGTTTTCCCCAGAATCGGAATCTAAAAATGAAAAGTCCACAAGGTCTCGTTGTAACTGTGGCGCTAATTAAATGTTTAACATTGCCGAGTCTGATCAGAGCCCTCACGCACATGCTCAACCCAATGTTGGACGGGCGACGAATAGGATCGAATCGAATCGAATTGAATCGCATGGAATTGAAACGGGCTTTCATCAATAATGGCCAGCATTTGTCAACATAATGTCATTAACATTGATTGCATTAGGGGCCCCGGCACTGATTGTGTGTATGTTCCTATGATGTGTGCGTATATCCCTCCCTCGGCCTTTTGTAAATAACGAAGCTACATAACCTTCATCGGGCCCACGCTCCACTTAGTCCTAGTCCAAATCTCCCCCCGAGTTTGACAATGGGTCGCCGCCGACTAATTGCGGTTTGGAACGTGACCGTGCGAAAACCACCCCACGTCACATAGTCCCCGTCGTTTGCCCAGACCAACACTATCCTTATCCGCATCCGCCTCCTCATCCGCTTTCGCGTGCAACATCATCAGCAATCGGCGATGATGCGATTCATTTGCGATTAACTTGAAATTAGCCAGCCGGCGTCATTGTCTTACGTTTAAGCTGCGGTTAGTGAAATTCAATCTGTGATAAACGCATATACTATGTAACTCCCGATTACATTGGTGACTGATTCCCGCCCCAGAGCCATCAACTGGTTGCGAGTATCAATTACGCATTCATTCAATAAGCGAAACGAGCCCGGGAAAGGATTTGCCATCGATGCTGCTGCTGCAGTCATTGAATCGTTTCGCTGAAGGCAACTGCAATTTTTATTCAATTTTCGCAGTGTCACAGCCAGAAGAGCGCTTAAAAAACTTTATGCCCGCCGGGGCAAAGCGCGCAAAAAAAATGTATACTATAAAGATATAACCAAAAGAGTGGCGCCAGCAAAGGAAAAGCAAAATATTAGAGAGCATTCAAAGAGAACGCTATGTAGTGAGTGGGCTTACTCAGCTTATTTTCACTTGATTTTTGAAGATAAATTAAATTCATTTGAATATATATTTATAATATAATTAAAAATATTTAATTTTTGAATTTTTATTAAAAATTTCAAGGGTGTCTTTCACATATCCGAAACCTTTATAATTTTAGTTGTTCGTCTCGTTTTCCGGCATATTTTTATTATTTTTAAATTGATATATTGAAGCATCACTGACGGCGCCAAAAGATGAACGGAAACCGGGACATAACAAGCGGAAAGATTTGTGTTAACAAAGTCACCATTGCCATGGCCAGAGCCGCCCCTTCAAGTAGGCAACGGAAATGGGGAATCATTTCGCAAATTACGTGACTCCGCCGCCCGCTCTTTTAACCGAGAACCCAAGTCTCTCTGCATCCCTCTCTCGCTCCCTGGTGAAATCTGCATTTAAACCACTGAGCTTGGGCATTATTTATAAACTGCTGTGGCTTGGCTTTAATCAAAAAACTTAACCCCGACGACTAAGCATGACCGCAACAACAATAACAACAAGACGAGCACAAAGGCAAAAGCAAAATTTCCGGCGCCTGGAGGTCGTGCCGTAAAAAACTTTTGCCACATAAAAAGTTCAATTTAATTCATTAAACCGCGTAAAAAGTCGCCGTGCAATTGAATTTAAAATGTCGACGCCCAATAAAAATGAACCCGCGTTTTTGGAGCCGAAACAAAAAACAATTACGCATACGCCGCGTGTGCTGGCTGGCTGCAACACGTTGCCGAGACACTGCGGACGGAGGAGGAATGGGTTTATCTAAAATTCATGCTCCCTCCTCGGCGGCCTTTTTACGATTTAGCATAAAAATCAATTACCAACAATGGGAAAATTTCACAGTCATAAAACGACGAGTAACTTTCGACTTAGATTCCTTGGCGGCGTCGCCGGGAAAATTGAGAAACAATTGGAAATGTTTAAGCAAATTTTATTGTCCCGCCGCCGTGTTGCTTATGTTTTACTTATGACACAGTACACCGCCTCCTCGCCGCCCCCCACCCGATGCTAAATAGACACGAAAGCCACAGACAGAAGGACTGGCCAGGGACGGTTGAATGAATCAATGGGCGGATTTCTGGTGGTGGTTTCTAGGTCGGACACAGTCAGTCTCGCGGTCATAAAGTTGCCGAAATTTGGGATAATATTATTTTTTACTTTCTTCACTTTTTTGTTTGCCTCCCCCTGCTTAGTGGCTTGGAAGAGGGAATTTTACTTCGTCGCTTTTAAAAAGCCAACGGCCTAAAGGTTAAAGGCAAAGCGGCAAGTAATTCCCAGAATATTGTAATTTAATGAGCAGTTGCTTCGGCACTTGATGCTGAACACATTCCTATCATGCCGTCATTCGATATTTTTATTTTTCCATTTTAACATTACTTTTACAGACTAAAAAGATTGGGTATGAAGAGGGAGAATTTAGGAAATACTACGTTTTTGTTGCATTTTTAAACTATATTTTCGAGTTTTTAAACCGGAATTCTCTTTGTAGACTATAAAAAATCCCAACCACCAACAGACTCTTATCTAAATGGCAATTCAAAAGCACTAACCCTAGTAACCTTTGATTTTCTGCATTTGAAGCCCAAAAGCAACATTGCTAATTATCGGCTTTAATGGCTTCGCTTGATTCGCAAACTCGCAGCGTGTAATCGAAAGCGAGGACATGGCAAATAGCACCGCACGCTGGGGGATCACAACTCAAAAGCGGCGGTCTAACAAATGGGAATCGCTTATTTTGGTGGCCAAATGGATAGATGGATGGATGGGGGAGAACGTCACCTGGCCATCACCAGCTGCACGGATTCGTGCCAAAATGAGCTGAATGAAGAGCCGCAGAACGAAAGCCAAAGCCAGCGGCCAACAAAGAGCCCTGGCGACCGCTAACAACACTCATAATCCCTCCATTTAGTGGCAAACTAGGGGAAAAGACCCACCGAAAGGCACCAAGAAAAAAGCGAGGCAACCGGGTGCCAAAAAAAAAAGAGAAAACCCAACCGCTTGCTCATGTAATTTAAACGCAGCGCGTGGGAATTTGCCTCAAAGCCAGGCCCCAGAAAGGGCCACAAAAAATGCGACGCTGATGGGCGATGGGTGTGATGGGTGGGCAGGTATTTCACCTTTTTCGCATTTAACGTTGAATGCATTTGGAATTTAAAACACTTTATCACAGACACCATTGACAAAGTGCGCGGCGCTGTCACATCAACTGCAGCAGGGGCATGAAGGGGTTAAGAGGGGAGTGATGTTTGTGGCACGGGCAACCTGCACTGGTGTGATATTTTGACTTGATTCCACTTTTTTTTACGAATAGAGAGTGAGGAACTGACGAAAAATCAAACAAACAAAATGCAGGCAGCTAGCAAAAAGTACACTAGCAAAATTATTACTAATTTTTATGATGAAACTACTCGCTTTCTATAATAGCAAAGGCAGGCTTCACTCTCTTAAGACTGTTTACTAGTGTCTTAATTATAATATTTATATTTTCTTCTTAAGGTTGTATTGAGGCAACAATAATTGTAATTAAAATATTTCTTACAGAAGAATTATAAGGTTCTTTTAGATGTTCAACCTTAAATATTTTAAAAATATAAATATTAAACAATTTCTAAAACTATTTAAGTTTTTAAATTTATAAAATACCCATAAATTTCCCTTTGTGTAGTTATCGAAAGGGGCCGGGTGGGCGGCTGACGATTGGCAGGTAGCCAAAATTGCCACGCCACTTGACCTGCCTGCCCTGCATCTCTACGCACAGCCAGACCCAGACTTGCCCATCCAGCGATCCACCACCAGCAATTCCTGGTAACCTCTCGCCCTGCGCCCACGGCGTGACAATGATGAATGACCATTGATCCGAAGCGCTTGCGACGTACAATAAGGTAACTCGATTTGGTTGGCTGTTGTGGCAGGAACTGGAACTGGAACCGAGAGGTAGCCCCAGGCACCGACGCACCTCGCTCCGATGGCCAGCGCCCAAAGATGGGTTTATGGCTCGCCGGGCCCCCACCCCATCCGCATCCCAATCCTCTGGCCTTTCTAATGGCTGCAAAAGTGGCTGCTGGCGTAGATTGAACGCCAAAGTTTTTGATACATGCGAGTGCTACATGGGTCGGAGGGCAAGGTGTGTGTGTGGTGTGTGTGTGGCATAAATCAGAGTAATACTAATCAATCTTTAAACCAAACATGACGTTCATCATTTTTCCGCAACGGTGCGGTCGAGTGTAAGTAAGACAAAAGAACAACATTGAGTGCAAGCGATAAAGTTAATTAAAAATGTGTGTAAAATTTTCTCTAGAGTGCAAAAGAAGCCAAAAAGAAAAAAGCTGGCAAATGTGGGAAGAAAACGAAAATGAATTGAAAACAAATGAATAAAGTTACACTGAAACTTGATTAAAACTTTCTCAAAGTCATCCGGTCGGTCGGTGTCTTTCCTCTCTTCATATAGTATCTCTGCGGGAGCCCGAAAAAAGTTCCGCTCGGGTGTCTTCGATAATGCATAAATTAAGCTACTTGGGAATTGATTTCGGGAAAACCTCTGTTAATCTAGGAAATGCCAAACGAAAGCAGCTCCAAAGAGCAGAGCAAGTGACGAGGATGAGATGGCAGACGCAGATAGTTCGATTTAACCGAAATTGTTCGAAATTGATAGACATACAACTTTTAAACTAACTGCGAAAGTCCTGATTTTTTCATGGTGTCTTTCATGTCAGACAACTACTTTTGGATTTGCTCATAATTACAACTCCTGATGGATAGCTGCTACAGAAATTACAAAAATATTTTCACTTGGAATTTTAAACTATAAAGATATTCTTATATTCGGCCTAACCCTTATGGTCTATCGGTTCCGCTCCCAAGACTAAACTAAATGGTTCTAAATGGTTCTAAAATAATCATTATAAGCGTTATATAAATCACGCTGGATATCTCAGGGACCAATAAATATTTTTTTTAATTTTAAAAACTGATTTTCAAGCGCAGGAACACTATTGCAACGATCGTTTTGTAAAAATAAACGTATTGAAATTGCACTACCTCAAATGTAAACCGTGTTCTTTGCACTTTTAGCTTGGGATATCTAAAAAAAAAAAACCTGAAATATAAATATTTTTGAAGAAGGATTCGAATTCAACGCACTAAAAACTTTCGCAAAAGTATATTTCGGTTCTCGATTCGATTTTGATGTTAAAATATAAAATGTTAGTCAATTAGATAGACTAAAACCCCCTCTTATAAATACATTCGTAGTTCATTATTTATATAAAGTGTGGGAAGTGAAACTAGTCTAGAACTGTTTCTAAGTGTAAAGGCATGTGAATTTTTAGCAAACTCATAAAACAAATAATAAACTGTATCCACATTTAATTGAATATTTTTCACATTTCGTAAAAGCATACCCCCACAAGGCATTAAATTAAAATTAACAAAATTCCAGTGCCCTGTTCATTTCATATTTTTTTGCAAGTGCGTTGATGTTTATGTAATGGATCACCACTATTTTACTACTTTGCTTTATTGGTGAAAGAGAGTACTTACTGCGACCGAGTTTTTCATATCAGCAATGGCCGATGCAAACTCCGAAAAATGCAGCTCGGGGCAGTAAGGGATCGGTGCCAACAAATCACCGGATTTGCGTCCAGCCTGCACAGACTTTGCCTCCCACGACTCGGAGTTGGACAATATTGCTCCATGATACTTTCCAGTAGCGATTCCCTGAAAACAACAAACGAAAAAAAAGTAAAAGATAGTGGGATGTGAGAAATCGCAAATGAAATATTCAATGGCCCCGGGCCCGGGAGATATATATTTAAGAACGGTGGTGCCTCGCACCCTCCGGGGAGGGTTTGATAGAAAACAAGCAACAATCAACAAAATGCCAGCAATAAAACTGAACAGCAACTAACAATGTTTGAGGGGGCAGTGTGGATTGTGTGGGGGAAAGGTGTTGAGCAGCGGAGGCTCCACGAAAATTGCGAGCTTCCGACGCGACCGGCAATAAAAAGGTGCAAGGTTATTTAGCACAAGCAACAACCAAACAACAGGCGGCGGCAAGGACTACGTGGCGCGTGTTACACTGCAGCTGGACAAATGAAGGTAGCACCATCAGCGGCAGCAACAAAACGTAGTAACTGGAGCAACAAGACCAGCACCAGCGGCAAATGCACTTGGATAAAAACGAGTCAAAGTCACTTAACCTAAGAAACTTTTTATAAAAAAAAAATGGAATGAGGAATTGGTTGCATCCTGAATCTACAACCCCTATTCCTCTTGATAGACACTTTACTAATTATCCAATTTTAACTGCAATTATTTATTTCAAGTGTAACAGTGGCTGCCACACACAGCTGAAAACAACAGCACAAAAGGTGTAACAAGCAGAGGAACATAAAATGTAAAGGCGAAAAAGTGTTGGCTGCCTGCTTTTTGTTGCTGCTGCTGCTGCTCCTGTTGCAGTGGCAGTGGCAGTTGCGCCAATGTTGGCAATTAATATTATTGCATCTCCCGTCTAGGTGTGTGTATGTATGTCTGTGTGGGTCTGGGTGTAATGAAATTAAGCACAACAAGCGCCAAAAACGGAATTCTAAACAAAATGGCAACAAAATGTTGAAAACCGTACAAAATGTGTATAAGTGTGAAGGGAAGGAAGTGTGGCCCGTTTTTAGGCTTTGGCCGGGGCTTGGCGCGTCCAAGGAATTCCCGACCGAACAATGCAAATTTCGAGGAGCGAGAGAAGGTTGCTGTAACAGAGGCCCCTGACCAGTTTCGATTTATTTCCCATCGAACCACAAATAACGTAAATTGGCATCATATTTTAAGCAAATTGCAGTCAAGATTTATGGTAATTGTGCGCCATCGCAGCAGCCACTCTCGCTGGCTCTGTCTCTCTCCTTTGCAGCAGTAGTGCCACCCTCGACCCACTGCAACAACCCAGCGACGACCACAAAGCGACGACGAATCCTTTGCCGTTGTTGGTCTACCAATCCTGCCGCTACTACAGCTATTCCTCCAAGTTGCCGGCGAAAAACCAAATTTGCAATTTATTTTTCCAATTAACCTCGTGACTTTTATAAAGCGTGGCATAAATTCTCGCATAACAAGCCAGCTCGCATAGCCAAGTACATACATCCAAGGCCACCCAGCCCACCTGGCCACAACCCTCAACCCTGCTTGGGAAAAGTGTAAAGATTTCGAAACCGAAATTACCTTGGACGCAGGGAAAATAAATTTGGAACTGCATTAGTGGCGGAAATGTGCATTCAATCTGCACAAAGATTAACCTTCAAGCGGTTTTAAGGGATTGCGAATATGAAATGGTAAAAAGATTGCGGATTTTTGGGAAAAAAAGCTCCAAGGGTGTATTTAAAAGGTAGAGTAAGTTCCTATAAAAGTCTGAAGCAACAGGTTTATGATTTAGGGATATTATAATATTGAAAAGTAAATAAGAATCAACAGACTGGGCGTTACGAGTTCATTGAGATGATATTTACTAAAAGCAAAAAATTCAACTCACCTGGGCGCCCGTAAGCGTGGCCATGTCGAGGATTATATTGGCCTTAAGGTCCCTACTGGCGAAAGCAACGCCATCGGCCAGGACGAGGCGGCCCTCGGCGTCAGTATTGTTAATCTCCACCGTGCGACCTGAATACAAGGTGTGGATGTCATCGGGTCTGCGAATAGAATAAGATTAATCTTTATAATAATGTTTAGAGAAGTCAGATACAATCCATACACACCTAGTTGCATTGGGACCCACGGAGTTCTCCGCCAGACAGAAGACGGCATGAAGGTTTTCCTTGAAACCACACTTAACGGCTGCGTAAAAGGCACCCAGTATAGCTGCCGCTCCTCCGCAATCGCGTTTCATTCCGGGCATGCCAGTCTTGCTCTTGATGCTCAGGCCGCCAGTATCATAGACAATGCCCTTGCCGACAAGAGCTATGGTTTCCTGGGCACGCTTGGGCAGGTGAGAAAGCACAACGAGGGCCGGCGGCACAGCCGCAGCCTTGCCCACGCCGTAAATGCCACCAAAGCCGCGCTCGCGCAGCTCTTCGCCGCGTATCACTTGAGGCTTTATGCCCAACTCGCAGCCGAGCTCCTCGACAGCCTGGACAAAATGATCGACATTCATTTCGTTGCAGGGCATATCAACGATACGTGCGGTCGTGCGGATGCCCTGGGCCGTCACATTGAGGCACTCAATTTCGTCTTGGGTCAGAGGTTCAGTCTCCACGCCGCCCTCTTTGTTGATCAGGATGAACTCAACGTTCACGATATTCCTGCTGGTATCATTGCTTCCATCCCCGCCGCCAGTTGTCTGTCCATTGCCAGTCTTGCGAGAGTACAGGGGAAAGGCACGGACAACAGCACAAGCGCTGGCGAACAGATTCTCGCGTTCGCAAACAAGGACTACGCTTTCTTCGGAAACATTCAGCACGTGATTCTTCACCAGCCGGGTTACAGCGTGAGCCCGGGAATCCGTATTATGCCGGGAAGCCTTCAACGGCAGGGCGGCCAAGGTGGCCAAGTCCAGGTAAAGCGAAACCTTATCCGTGGGCGCCGGATGAAGGCTGGCGACGGCATTCAAGAATGTTTCCTCGGTCACCCGCTGGTTGAGCTTGTTGGCCAAGTCATTGAATTTCAACAGATTGAGGTGGCGCAGCTGGCCAATGATCAGCACGGGATGCACCTGGGGATCAGTGGATCCCAAGGAGGCGTTAAACTTCAGGTCCGTGGCCATCTGGAAGAGAAGTCAGAGTCGAATGAGCAAAGATCTAGCGCGGAATGCCAAGTTAAGCCAAATCTCAGCGATAAGCCACTGTCCCCTACAGTATTTATATCTTATCAATGCTAATCTCGGGTTTACCCTGCCATGTGTTGTGGCCCAGTTGCTTATCAGTCGACGACTTTGCACTACAATTGATGCACTCACTCATTCCATAAATCACGAGAGCACAGAGCGTGGTGATAATGAAATGTTTGGGTGTGGTACATACAAAAATATGTATTTATTTTGTAAACTGTATGCTTAATTATAATGGGGTAGACACTTAAACAAACATATATATAGTTATTATTGAAATAGCTCAAATTTGTTATCATAGGTAAAGAACAATAATAATTGGGGTTCTAAGAACAGAGAAACATACTAGAGAGAAGGCTTTCCATAAATATCAGCAGACTTATTCACTAATCATTTGTATTATTAAAATTCAATTTTTAATTAACTAAACATACAGTTTATGTATTTATGTTGAAATCGTTAATTTAGTTCCTCCTATAATTGCTTTCTTTTTAAAAATTATTATTATAATTTTCTTTTTAGTGTAGAAAACGGAATGCTTCCACTAGTAAACAAGTTTATTTACTTTATTTTTTTACAAGACTCGTGAGCTTCCAATGAATTCCACTGAAAGATGGTAAATCAAAGCTAGTTATTGTATGCCATTCCCGTTATATTGCAGCAACAAAATAGCAACAATTTTGGGGCAATAAATAAACGCCGCGACGGCATGACCTTGAATTTCGCGAACCAAGAACAACAAGTGGGTCGTTGACCGATTTGCGGGGGAGGAGAGGGGGGTATTTCTTGGATTTTCAAAGATTGCACGCATTTTATGGAACAAACGACACGAACGATAGCTATACAGTAAAGAATTATGCAAATGTTGGCTCTATTTTTAGACTCTTTGTTCCTTTTTTATTCATTTGGAAAATAGGAGGAAAACCTAAATTCGCAACTTTGCACATTTGTCTACTTGTCTCACCTTTCCAAAGCGGCTGCTGCTATAGGTGCGAGCGAGAAGGTGTCGTAATGCCGGGGCGCCTAACAGCAAGCGCATTAGGTGATTTTGAACAGTACTTCTTTAATTTCTGCTATAAATGCGTTTTTTTTTGCTGATTTGACTTGCAAAATTTTTTGGTTGCCGGCTCCCAGTGTTGTCAGTATAGCTATTTTCCCGCTAAATCTGGCGGATTTCAAAAGCTCAAAGAACTAGCAAACAGTGTTGCCAATACTTCAAGGCATAAAAAGTAACTCTAGCTTTGAAAAAATCTAGAAACAATCTGAAAATAAGATTAAATTGCTTGTAAAAAAGCTATTATTCGAGCTAGCCGCTAGTTTACAATTTATTCCGCATTTTGCTTTTGAAAACCGCCTGATTTAGCGGGGAAAAAGCTAAATTGGCAACGCGACCCGTCCCGGATGGAAAGTCTGGCAACGCTGATCTAGATATACTATCGATGCCAACACCTATTCCTGACGATCTGGCAGCACCACTAACTGGAAGTGTCATCGCTAGTTGGAAACAAACAAACAAATGCCTGGAAAACTAAGGCGGTGAATTTTTAAATTAAACCCGAAAAACCACAAAAACTCAGCTAAACTATGACCCAAAAGGATATTAATGTGGTGCTATTAAACTACCACAACCGATTACAGCGTATGTACGACAAACAAAACAGCATGGAGCTCCGGGAGAGAAGATTGACCAAGGAAGTCTCCAAAATCCAAGACAACTTCAGTGAGTTGGAATAACCTACATAGCTTGTCGCATTTTATTAATGAATTAATTTAATTAGTGGCGATCAAAGAGGCTTGCATGGAGCAGCAGCGAGACTGCAAGGTGCAAAAGGTACTTCGGCAGCGTCGCCACGAGATGGAGGAGCGAGTCGCGTTCGAGAAGCTGCTGGCCGAGGAGCTGGAGGACACCAGACAGCGGAACCTGTCCATGAGCGAACAGCTGAAGCAGCAGAGGTCGCAGAAAAGGCAGATCAGCAACGAGCTCATGGATTGGTAAGCTTATACCGAGTTTATTTGCATCCAAGAGAGGATAATGGGGTTTCTCATGCTTGAGAACTATGAAACTTGTTCCATTTTGTTCCTAAATTTCCAATTGTTCTACAAAAACCTCTATAAATGTTACCTTAAGAAACAAACCTATATTACCCTGTTCCAAATGTGCACAATAATTATCTAAAGCCCCAATTATGATGATACACTTTCCCCCATTATGTATGTTCTATATATGACTTAATTAACGACACATGTTCTCCTTTGTTTATATTTTTATAGCATTCACACGCTGAAAGAGACAACGGGCATATATTTAAAGCAAGAAGCTTTGCCGGCACGTGTGCAAGGTGTCGTTGCACGCACGGGCACTAATTGCGATCAGTGGATACCATTCGATCTGGGGGCCACAGATACCGAGGGATTTGAGTCCCTGTTCCAAACGCTTCAGAATGCAAATGTTGACGTTGAGAAGTGGCGACAGCTCGTCTCGTTGGCAGCGGATTTCTCGACCACCGAGTCGAGGTCATCTACCACACCGCGCAAGGACGACGCCAAGTGCATTCCCATAATAGAGATCGATCTCACCTCGCCACCAAATCAAGTCTAACTTCCGGCCTGTACTATCAGCCCCTTACGCTGCCATCGGAACTGTACATCAAATTTAAATAGTTGAGGTCAGAATAATAGCTCTAATATGTATAACCACTATTAAAAATAAGGAACTATTAAAACTGTATTAAACTGTAACTAATCAACAAAACGCTGAGTTTACTTTTAAAATTTTTGATTCATAGATTTGAACTCTTTCTTCACAGAATTGGAGATATCTCCAAAGTCTCCACTATGTAAAATTTGGAGATATCGTCGTTGGCTCATACAAAACGAGTTTTCATATAGACGACACATAATTTAAGCGTTTGTATTTTGAGATCAAAAACTTATTTTTTTTATCCGTACACTGATGGACATTAAAAATAAATATTTTTAATATTTTGTAAACCTACTGACAATTAAAAAAAATTTTATTTTTGATATATTGACTCCAGTTGATTGATTGATTTTTAAATGATAAAAAATAATAACACTTGCAAAACAAGAACTTGAATACTTACAGGTAATTAACAGCTGTGGATAAATAACTAGAATATTTACCTTGTTTTCAAAAAAGATTTCTGGAGTAATATTAATATTTAATAATAATAAAGAAAATAAACAGGAGAACAATTCATGTTTCTATATGCTATGACTCTAAGCTTTGGGTTAACTCTTAGTTTAAAACTAATTTTAGCTTTAAATAAATTGAAAAAATAAATTCTAAAAAGTGAAAATAAAAAAGGGACCAGTCATAACATATTTCTTGGATTTTGGGTTTTGACCGCGACTGTCAATGAAATCTCAACAAGAAAAAAAAACGAAATGCGAGACAAAGTGCCTCAGTTAGTAGACCGTCCGACCGACCGATCGGCCGACCGGCTAACCGATGCGATTCAAGTATAACCACCGATCCATATAGATTGGCGTTGTTTAATTGCTATTGTCCGGCGAAAGTGTGAGTGACTTATCATCGCACAGAGACCGCTACAAAAACGCAGCTGCACGGCGGAGAAGCAAACAGTCGGTGGACGGACTTCAAAATGATCACGGAACTTCTCCTGGCGCTCTGCACTGCGGCGTTCCTCTGCCTGGCATATCGCTATGCCTGGTATCGACCCAACGGCTTTCCACCGGGTTCGTCATCGTCTCGTCACCCCTCGAGGATCTGCAGGACCTAATTGGATTATTCACAGGTCCGCCGCGGATACCCCTATTCGGGAGCTACCTCTTCATGTTGATGATCAACTTCAAGTACCTGCACAAGGCAGCTCTGACCCTCAGTCGGTGGTACAAGTCCGATATAATCGGGCTGCACGTAGGAACCTTCCAGGTGGCCGTCGTCCACAGTGCCGAGGGAGTACGCGAGGTCCTCAACAACAAGGCATTTGACGGACGCCCGGGCATCTTTGTGGCCGCCATGCGTGATCCCGGCGACGACATACGAGGTGAGATCAAAGTGCCTGTCCATTTAAAGCTTCGTGGCTAATAATGGGGTCAATCGCAAATTAATTGTGGCGAACAAAACACTCATTATCACTTGATAAGACAACAAGGCACACTTTCATTTAGGCTACTGCGTCTGAAGAATCAATTAAATCGGCTTCAAGCACTGTGCTTGTGATAAGGTTTTGTTTGATGGGGAGAAAAGAAACCGTAAAAGATTGAAAGGATATATAAAATATAATTAATGCTTATATAATAAGGTTTTATCCTTTAGCTTTTTTTAATATCTCAATCAGTTCTGTCTACTGAAACATGTATTCCCATTTCCCATGCTAATATTCGATCATCACAATGCAAGTACTACCCACTAATATTTATTTTCATGCATAATTCACATCAAGGTATTTAGTAAATAATATGTAATCCACGAAAAACAAACCAGAGCGTTAAAGTGACTATAAATCAAGAGTCCACAGATAAGAATTGTGTCATAAGTTTCGCTTTCATTTGTCTAAAAATAATTAATGTTTAAGATGAGATAAGGCTGGCAGTAAGCAGCTTTCTTTTGACCGATAATAAAAACTATTTACTTTTAAATAAATATTTAATATTTATATTTCCACTTAGGCATATTCTTCCAGGAAGGACCTTTGTGGAAGGAGCAGCGCCGCTTTATCCTGCGCTACCTCCGTGACTTTGGATTCGGTCGACGCTTCGAGCAACTGGAGCTGGTCATCCAGGAGCAGCTGACCGATATGCTCGACCTAATCCGCAACGGGCCAAAGCACCGACACGAGCTCCAGATGGTCAAGCCCGGAGGCTACCGGGTGCTTCTGCCCCTGCTCTTCAATCCCTTTTCGGCGAACTGCCACTTCCATATCGTGTATAATGAGTGCCAGAGTCGGGAGGAGATGGCTCGCCTGGTGGAGCTCTGCCAGGTGGGCATGCAGTTCCAACGGAACGCAGACGACTACGGACGGATGATAAGCATCATGCCCTGGATACGGCACATCTGGCCCGAGTGGAGTGGCTACCGGGTGCTCAATGAGTCCAATGTGTTTGTCCACAAGTTCTTTGCAGACTTTGTGGACCGAGCTCTGGATACCTACGAGGAAGGTGTGGAGCGTCATTTCATGGACGTGTATATTGCCGAGATGCGCCGCTCTCCAGGGTACGGTTTCAATCGGGAACAGTTTATCATGGGCCTGGTGGACTTCTCCTTTCCTGCCTTTACCGCCGTCGGAGTGCAGCTTTCGCTGCTTGTCCAATATCTCATGCTGTATCCGAAGGTGCTGCAGCGGATGCAGCGTGAGATAGACGAGGTGGTGGGTTGCGGACGCCTGCCCACTCTGGAGGATCGAAAGAACCTGCCCTTTACAGAGGCCACCGTACGCGAGGGCCTGCGCATCGAGACTCTGGTGCCCTCCGATGTGCCACACAAGGCGCTTGAAGACACAGAGCTGCTGGGTTACCGGATTCCCAAGGTACGTACTCTGCTTTTTTTATAAGGAGAACCTTTACATTTCGAGATATTCCCCTAGGACACCATTGTCGTGCCCAGTCTTTATGCTTTCCATTCGGATGCTCGCGTTTGGTCGGATCCGGAGCAGTTCCGACCCGAGCGATTCCTGGATGCGGAGGGCAAGCTTAGCCTGAAGCTGGATGTCTCGCTGCCATTCGGAGCTGGAAAGCGGCTCTGCGCCGGCGAGACCTTCGCCCGGAACATGCTCTTCCTGATGACGGCAACCATGTGCCAGCACTTTGACTTTGTGCTGGCACCTGGCGATAAGCTTCCCGACCTGTCCCAGAACCTCAACGGACTGATTATCTCGCCGCCTGATTTCTGGGTGCAGCTGCAGGATCGCCATTGAACTGAACCCGACTTGTAGTTGGGTTGATTGACTTTAAAACTAAACAAGTTCGTAGATTTAAGAACTTATTTTTATTTCTAAGAAATCTTAATTCCCCCAAAGGTATTCATTAAATTACTTCTGATTTAAGCTTGTCCTAATCCTTCAATTTCCTGAATTATGCCAAGATATCCCTTTAAGATAATCCCTTGAAAAAGCTGATCACGTCAAAAACAAACTAAACACGACATTAATAGTTGCTGCTTCTAAAAACTCTGTTTTTGTATTGGAACGACGAAAGAGTACTTGTGTGTAAAACTGCTCTTGGAATTAGGCGTCACGATCGACATCCCAGTTGGCTTCCATGAACTGCTGCGAGATCTGCGAGATCTGCGACAAGGGCTCATCATCGTCATCATCCTCATCATCACCCACCCACCCACCACCCTCGTCTTCATCCTCCATCTCCTCCTCGCCCTCATTGCGGCGCCATGGTGGAATAGGATTGGGATGTAGTTCAGAGTCCTCCTCAAGGAGATCCAGCTCGGATGCGGCCGAAGCGGAACTGGCCAGCGGAGACACGGCACGTGAAAACTGAAACAAATCCCACTCTGGCATATAGTCATCCCACTCCAGCATACCATCTTCAACGGTCGATGTCGATGTGTCCAGTGTCTCGGGCTGCATTACCGAAGCAGCGCGACACTTCCTGCGCAGCTCCACCAATTCGCCAACGATGACGACCTGCTTCTCGGCGATCTTGGTAACCAGCCGCTTCAGTCTCTGGATCGTGGCCTCGGACTCGGTCAGCTTCTCTTTCAGCTGGGAATTTTCGGCACGACAGGTGGTCAAGTCTAGCGAGGCGCATAGGGCGATCTTGGTGCTATCCGACTCGGCGGATTTGGTGCTGAATGCGAACCAAGAACGAAATATTCAGTGCTTGCAACTACTTGAGGTACACGGCTTAAACTTACATGGACAGAACAAGGGAGTCCCTGGCATGGGCTGGGGTAATGTGCGACATTTTGAGACTTAAAATTTTTCCCGAAATACAATTGATTAGTTGTCTCAAAAATAGACCGACTTGACTCAGATATTCTTTCGAATTTCTCCGAGAAACACAAACACTGACTTTAATAGCTCCGATTTGAAAGAGAGCCAGTGGTATTATGAATCGAACAAATGCTTAAGACACTAATTCAAAGGCGACTATGATCTGGCTAGGGGACCTTTGAAAGACTTCATAGGCAACTAGGATCGCTCACCAATAGCATTTTACCCTTAAAAATGTGGGGACAATAGAAAATTATTCTTGAAATATTGTATTTATGGTGACTTGCCCAAATTTGTTGGTACCTTGCCGTAAATTCATGGAAACTTCTTTTTTATTATTCCAGACAAATTTTCTTATTTTTAAGGCGATTTTGTTTTATGCGCATTTTTTTCACTGTACCTAAATCGCTATGTTATACATTGCAAATGCCTTTAATCTACTGATAACCCATTTAAAGAGTAAACCAAAAAAAAATATATATATATATATATAAGCAAATAATCAACGAAAACAAAGGTGGGCGAACTCATTAACTTTCGGCTCGCAAAGACCAACAAAAATCAGCCGATTTCGTCTATATTTCTTTTGATAATTGATAATTCGAGCACCAAACTCTGATTAGGCAACTAAAGAAATGCAAAATTTGTAAACGACTGCAAAATACCATGCAATTTATAGATCCTATAATAGTAGATGCAAAAATATATGAAGAAACTTATTGTTTGTCGAATTTTGTTTTGCATAGTTGATTTTATTCAGATTTTTTCTTGTTTTCCATGTTGATCAACAAAAAATGATAATTAAGATACATGTAGATTCTTAAAATCAAGCAATAAAAACCAACATATTGTGGCCAAAAATATGTTTATAATATCTGGCAATTAATCTATAATGTAAAATATAAGTTCTTTCCAACTTTAAACTCAACTTTAATTAATTAAATTATGGCAGCAGTTTTCTGGCACAAAAATTCGCTGACTCGCAGAACAGGACCATTGAAAACCTAATTGTACTTAGAAACCATTTTTTCAGACATTCCGAGTTATTTATCAATAAGGTTGCTCATCATTCTGAGCCTGATGTAAATTCATATCAATTCCTGTAAATTTTGGATAACTTACCCCTATTCTCCTGACTAAATCCTTAGCTTGGAAACTTTTTATGCTCAATGAGCTTCTTCGCTTTCGCTGGGTACGGGATCTTCGACAATCAGAGTCTATTTCGGACTTGCATTTTCGCGGGCAGGAACGCTTGGGTTTCCGAAGTTTTCGCCTCAGGCGGGAGTATCTTAAATTCGCCTTGCTTGAATTTAAAGACTGAGGGTATAGGGAGTTTTATCAGAAAAAATTTTGCAAAATGAATTCAAGCAATTAACTCGGGTTTTTACTACAAATTATTCCGAATGAAAAATTTCTGAAGCTCGAGATCTTAAGATCTTGGTTAACAGATTTTTGGTTATATTCATACCTTTGGCCGACATAATTTCTTTCCGGCTTTTGTTAATTTGACTGAGATAAAAGTATTCTCACTGTGGCTCTGGCTTTTATCAATGGAATACATTTCTTACACAATTAATTTTTTAGGTATTGAATTCTAAGATTTTTTATACAGAAATACGTGTACCAACTGATGCGAAACAATAAAAAGTAATGGCTTTCCCCAAAGAAATATGAATCAAAGCCTGCTAGTATTCCTTAATATTAAAAAAAAATTCAATAAATGTTGGGACACTTTGTAATCCTTGAAGAAGTTACTGTAAAAGAATGTAAACCAGTTCAACTCGATTTAATACAACTGTCCGTTGGCCTTATTTTATTATAATGTATATATATTACACTCTTTCGTTAAAAACTGTTTGTTTGCTTAGCCTAATCAACAAGCAGTTTAACTTGAAACTTACAGCTAATTTGTAATTACTTTTAGCCGTATTATTAGTTAAGCGAGAGTCCAACCAGAGGCTCCGTTTATTGCTTCGAATCTTAAATATCAGCTTATGGACTAATTGATATCTATTCACGTTGCGCATGGACCCAGGTCCATGCCGCTAACTTGGCTAATACTGGCCACGTCCAGTCGGTCCAGTCGAGGGGGTCACCTCGATCCTTATCCTCTCCTCGCCGGTTTCAATTGGTTAGTAGTAGGCCTGCTTAATGGCCGCACTGGTGATCAGGAAAGCGGAGCCGATCAGCATGAAGGTGATGATTTTGAGAGCACTGGGTCTACCGGAAGAATCTGATGAGGGATTAAGAATATATTTAAATTAAGAATGCTTCAAGTTAATTTGTAAGGCCTTACTTTTCTTGCTGGGCATCATGCACTGCTTCTGATTGGAGCTAGTCTGGTAGCCGACCTTGCATTGGCAGACTGAGTTGCGGCACTCCACATTCTCGGGATCCTTCTCGATGTAGCACTCCGTGGCCTTGGTGCAGGATTCACCGAGCTCTGCGGGGCAAAATAAAGGTATAATAGGAGGCTGTATTAAGATTTAAGGGGGTTTTCTTACCTCGCTTCGTCTCACAGATGCCGTTCTTTTCGTGCTGCTCATCTGTGCATCCGCACTTGCCCTCCGAGTTGCAGCTAGCCAGGAGTGGCTTGCACTGCTCATCCTCCACGCACTCGTCATCCAGCTCCTCAGCTGAAAGGATAAAAACCAAAAGGAGTAAACAATCTGCTATGAACATATATTTTGTATGACTACCAACCTTCCTTGAGGCACTGATCCTTGAAATGCACATAACCCTTCCGGCACTGGCATGTGCGCGACTGCTCCTCCTCCTCCGCCTCCGCCTCATTGTCCTCGGCTGCGCAGGTTGTGTTCTCGGCTATGCAATCATCCTCCTCCGAGCAGTCGGCACCGATGCCCCGCACACAGGTCTCGTCCTTCTCGAAGTAGTGGTCTGCGCAGACGCACAGGCGATTGGAGCAGACGGAATTATCCACGGGGCAGGCATCGCTGGACTCACACTCGGCGCCCAGACCCTGCTTGTACTCGCAGAGCTGCTTGATGGCATCGTACAAGGCGTACTCCTCGCAGGTGCAGCGTCTAGGGATCTCCGGGTGGCAGTAGGAGGCACCAAAGGGGCTGCATTGGCTGTTTGAGGTGCACGACAGGTGGTACTGAATGGCTGTCAATGGGAAGTAAAGGAGAAAAGAGGTGTTAAGATAGTTTCCTCGGTCTCTAGGCTAAGACTGTCTTACGTTTCCGGCAGTTCCTCAGATCCCGCTCGTAGAAGTAGTTCTTTTGGCAAACGCAAGTCTTGGACAGCTCATCGAACTCGTACTCGCACTCGTTCGTGCTCTCCGCAATCTCTCCCAGCTCTGTGAACAAGTAGGAGCTGGTTAGGTACTCTGACCAAGTTGATGTATCTATGACTTACCCGCAAAACACTTTCCATTGCGGGCATAGTAGCCCTGACGACACAGGCAGATGTTCTTGGAGCAGATGGAGTGCGGCAGGCCCGAACAGGTCTTGCCATTGTCCGTGCAACTGCTGCCGTCTAAAGGGGGAAGTAAAAATAAAATTAAATTATTCCTGGCTTCATAATATCCTCTGAGACCACTCACACTTCTTCTCATCGGCGTCGTCATCGTCGCGACTAGATCCCAGTGTGGAATAGGTCTTGATGTCCTCGTCATCGAAGCGGAAGAGGGAGGGCAGGCGGCGGCGCCGTTGGTTGCGGCTCAGGCTGTGGCTTTGGCTGTGGCTCTGGTTGCGGCTGGAGGTGTGCCGGCTGCTGGTGCTGGTGGATGCGGTGGCGGTGGCCACATTCCTCACGCTGCGCAGATCGCGCATCTCGTACTTCTCGATGCTCGTCTGCACGGCGATCTCGTGGGAGCGCGGCGAGATGAGCGGCTCGGTGTCGGTGCCATTGGTGAGAGCCGCGAAGGACACCTGGGCAGCAACATCGTGGTGCGTGGGCGGGGGAGCGTGCACAAAGGCCTTGGTTAGCTGTCGCCGGCTCCTGAAGGTGGTCGTCTCCGGTTCCGGTGTCTCGGTGATAGCCTCCGCTGTGGTCGAGTCCCCGTCTTCGCCCGGTTCCTCGGTGGTGTCCTCGCCGCCGGGCCCGGTGCCGGGAGTAGTCGTAATCTCGTCCACATAGGTGCATACTAAGCCAACGCACTCGGCACCGGCGCCCAGTGCATCACAGTCCTCATTGACGACGCAGGCATCGTTTTCTTCTGCAAATAAAATAAATAAATTCGTGGTCAATCAATACTCCTGGACCGTACTCACCCATTGATTTGCGACGACATATGTTTCCATATCTATTATAATAGCCATTTGCACAGCGGCACACGTTTTGCTGACAGCTCACAGACGAACGATCGTAGGCAAAGTAGCAGTCCAAGTCCTGCAGGGCAGCAGGATTAGCAATAGTTGGGTGGAAGAGTGTGGGGTTCAGCAGGACTCACCGTGTCGCAGGACTCGCCGAGTCCGTTTAGAGGGCGGCACTTGCCACGCAGATAGGTTTGGCCATCGGCGCAATCGCAGACCCCGGCTTTACAACTGGCCCCCGTTGGCATAAGATTGCACTGGACGCTATCGTCGCACCGGTCACCAACGAGCGCCGTCGCCAGGCATTGCGTGAAGTTCTCCGCGAGCACCGCGTCGAATGTGGAGCACTCGCACTGCCCGCTGGCCAAGTCGCAGCTCGAGCCGTCAGCTGTGCAGTCCTCCTCGCTTTCACATGGCCAAAATACAGCCGACACGCCGCCGTCTCCTGCAATGTTCAATAGTGGGGTTGTCGGGTCAAAAAACGGCGGAAACTAGTGTTAGCTAGTGCTAAGTAAGACCCGAAGTTGCCCATTTAAATATGAACGCCTCATGCCTGTGTCCAGACGACCCAGTTTCGGGCCCGCTCTCAGACCCATTCCGGTCCACTCAATTATTCAGGGCCGTATCCAGTTCTCATCCTCGGCAAATGGCGTTCTCAACTTTTCTGCCTTGCACAATTTTAGTCACCTATAATGGGTTTTGGCTGCAACCTACAACCGGTTATTTTTACAAAACCACTTTACAGTATATTGCATTTTCAGTATCAAAATGAAGCTTGAACCCGCGAATTTCTTTATGTATATTTGGGTTTACATTTACTTTATAAAAACCTATATTTAAAAATTATTTCTGTTTATAATAACATCGTTTTAGTAGGTTTGAGCAATTTTATTTTCAAATTGTGTTGTTAATTTTTAAACAGAGTTTTTGAACCTGAGTTCCAACCCAAAATTATTGCAACCTTAATGAGATCATTATAGACGAATATTCACGTAATTCTAAAATCATTAAAAATGTACGTGTCTTAGAGAAGATGGAAATATTTATACTTTTTTTTGCCAAAAATATATCTTTCTGTTTTGTATATAAAAAAATGTTTTAAATATATTATTATAAATTAAAGAAAAGTCGTCCTAAAAATATTGGCCTAAAACTAAGAGCATTTTTTTACAATTAAGAAAAAGTTTTAATGAATTTAAGGCAAGACCCCACAAAATGAAAGCAAGCCACCATAAATACAAAATTTGTTTGGTTAATTTTTCTATTTTTCTCAAATTTAGGATGTTTTATTCAGATTGGCTTCGTTTACTTTATCTCTTAATTGCTTTCGTTTTGCAGGTAATTTTATCATAAAAACAATTGCTAATTTGTCCTACAAATTTTACATGGTTGCACGAATAATTCCCAACTGGTTCTAACATCTCTGACATAATAAGACGGTTACCTTAATTTGTGTTTTTATAAAATATGCTCTATTAAATATGTGCTAATAAATGGTTACTTGAGTTCAAATTAACTAAATTTTTGTATTAAATTTAGAAAAATTTACCTTGAAATTAGAAAAGAAATTGTCTATTTCTAAGGGTCAAATATCCCTAAAACTAAGAAAATCTTTGTATGTATATGTAAGAAAAATTTAGCTTTAAAATAGGGAAAATATTTTTACGTTCAAGGAAAAGCGCCCTTGATTTGAAAAAGTCTGGGACGACTTGCCTATAACTCATTTTTAAAGCAAATTTCTAGATATACGGCCAAAAAACCCTCTTTTTTAGAGGAATTTTAGGTAACAATTGGTACGACCCTATTACCCATAGCTAGAGTCTATGCCTAACATTACATTTGTAGATGAAAAAATTTATATTTTTAATAGAAATAATATCCGTTTTCTCTTGTGCAGCCTATTTGCGATACTCGTTCAATCACAAGCCCAATCAACTCACAATTGATTGAGCAGCCTCGTCAATCTTGGCGGGGCCACGCCCACTTATACACCTGTCCAGCTGATTATTAAATTTATAGAAACAACCCCGAGAGCTGTAACCGAATTCCCTGCGTCTCGTCGGCAAAGCTTCTCCTGACACGCAACGTGTCGGGGCCGCAATTTATTACGTATACGCCAACGACTTCCGGATGAGGTTGCGGCAAACGTAAAAACTGAAAAAATTTCCATGCAAAAGAGTATCAACGCATCCGCAAGCAAGAAAACAAAATAAAAAACAGAAAAACAACAACAAAAGGGCGAAAAACTATAACTATAGCGCAGAAAAGAAGGAGAACTGGAATTCGCTCGACGCTTTGCCACTTTAATTTCCATTTTCCGTGGCCGGCAAAACAATTTCTCAAACCGCAAAGGACCTTGGGAACTGGACGGTGGACAATGAAAGGTGGGCCATGGTGTGTGCTGGGTGGTGGTGGTGGTGGAGGGGTCAATAGGGCAAAGTACTTGACCTTGATTGCGTTTGCATTAATTACTACGGCTGTTCTTTAATGTTATGACTGCCGTCCGCCCACGATATTTGTCAACCAATTTGGCCTGCCCTTTCGAAGGCCTCACACCAAATTAATCGCGGCTTTAATTCAATTACCGGAAATTGCCTGCAACATTTCGGAATGCCATTCAGCCGCAACTCTGGCGTTTTTTTTCGGTTTATTCGCTTTTTCGCTCTTTCTATTCCCTGTCCCTGTCTTTACCTTGAGGACTGAGAACCGCGCAGCACAGGACGCCGAGGACGAAAAGCCACTGGAAGTTGGACATTGTCGCGAACAGAGAAGGTTTCCCGAACAACTGGCAAAGGCAACTAACTGACCATGCTGAGCGGAGACCGGACTATTTGGAGTGTTCGATTCCGGTTAATCTTATCTGCGGGTCGGTCGGCCGTAAAAATACACCCGTACACCTATGATTAACCGGTGGCAAGTGGAGTGCCGGACGGTGGTTTTTCCAGATAATCCCCATTTCGGTTATCGCGATGCGGAGTTTCACTTTGTCACCGGAATCGCGAATCGCAATCGGTTGCCAGGGCTACAGTGATTATCCGTTTGGTTGGCCTATCGCCTTCGCCGCCGATCACCCAACACAATATCAGCTGCGAATACTAAGTGCCAGCTTATCAGCAGCCGACACCTGGCCGGGCACACCTGTTCGGCGATCTAATAATGGCTGGTGTAGTAAAATGTTAACCCCTTCAAGTCCCTTTTAAAAGAGTTTAGCTGATAACACTGAGGCAGCATTTTTATTTCAACGATTAGGCTACCTCCACCTACATTGTCACAAAATAAAATAATTAATCAATGAATCACTTAATCAATTCAGTATTTACCCAGCGTCAAAATTAAGGGCAATTAAAGCTTGTAATGGGTTAAACCTTCACTAATGACAATCAGGTCCATTAGAGTATATTAGATATCAAGAGAAGTTTTGCTTTAAATTTAAGAGGTAGGAAATCAAAGGAACTGTCGACTTATGATGGATATGGACACCAAACGAATGTCCTTATTACTCAGGCTTAACCTCACGGAATGCAGGACCATGATACATGATCTGAAGTTACGCTGGTCACAGTGGCAGACCTTTGAAGGAGTGCCAGCGACGTGGGACGGATATAAACACATATAAGTTAATATTTAAGTATTATAACTAACGGATCTCGTGGGTGAATCCATATTTCAGAGTACTTCAACTCACTTAATACATTAAGTAAGTTTACTTTTTTAAAGAAAATAATACATAGTATATGCTATAGTTTTCATTGATTAATGGGCGCGTTGCCAAACTTTGAAACAAACCTGATCTGCATGCAACAGATAAGAATATTTTCTCAATATTTGATAGCTCTGGATCTTGTAGTTTTTGAGATCTGCGATTCAATAGATGGATGGAATGGATCAATCGACTCTATGTGATTAAAACTGCAAGGGAAAGTAGAAACATTGTGGATTACAATAATAAAACGATAGATATGGGTAATCCACTTTGTTGAGTCATGCTCGAATTTATGAAAATTTTAATTACTTATGAAAATTTATATTAAACATGCCGGAAAGCAGAAGAAAATGTTGATAAATTAAGACAAATGTTGCCAGAAACATGGTACATTTCATGCTTTCAACACAAATGTATTTGTTGCAGAAGTTTAAACAAAAACATTTTTTTCTGAATGAAAATGCCAAGGATGCCTTTAATATTAACCATTTAATCCAATTTCTTAACTATAAATATTATTGTAAACACTATATATATAGAAATAGAAAAACCCACAACAATTTGATTTGATTACTCCGTGATAACACCATCCATAGATAAGATTACTCAACCAATATATTCATAAGTCAAAAGTTATTTCTTAATGAACTCATCGTTAGATGCAATGTGTCAATGCCAGAGATTGCTAACTTTTCCGTGGGCGTTCGTAGTTCACAACTCGTGTCTCCAATTTTTCGAAGGACTCGTCGTCGTGCGCTTCCTTTCCTCCTGCTCTCATTGCTAACGTGGGTTTGTAAATTACTAACGTGTTGTATTTATAATTCAATATGAATTATGTGTTAAAAATAGAGTAACAACAACGTCGAGTGTTCAAGTGTCGCAATAGGCGACCTTGAAATTATTTATAAGTGAAAAGCAATCGAAGTAAAAGGGGTTAATTGGAGACCTCAAGTAAGTGACATCTAGGGAAAAACTAAGCATGTATCGTCTCCTTGAAAGCAAAGGGCGATATACAAGTTATAGAACACAGGATCTTCAGAGAAAGATTTAAAGTTGATTAAGAAATCCATATCCTAATGAATGGGACTTCGAGTTGGCTTTTAGTTGGCTTGTTGGCCGCATTCGTTTTAATTTTCCCGCCGATGTTGTGGTTTTCCCTTCACATTTTTTTCGGAGACATAACGTAAAAGGACATTTTGTGGCTATAAAAATGCTTTGCCACGCACGCGATGAAGTGAAAAGAGCAGCGACAGGTGCAAGAGAAATTATAGCCCGTCCACCCCATCTATATTGTATATAATACAACTTTATATATATACTTTGATATGGATTTGTGTGTCGCCTTAAAGTTATTTCGTTAGTAGTACAAGTGCAAGGACGCACAGTGTCGCGGGATTTCCTTTTTTTTGTTTTTTTGTCTACTCACATTTAGCTTTAAGGCTTCCGTTATTCTATAACATCCAAGAAATAGAGAGAGAGAGAGGCGATGTTTCTGTGTCCCAGGTATCAAATATTCAGGAACTTTGCAAGTAGCACACACTCACTATCTTCTGCACTATGTTTGGTGTTTTGTTTATCACTCATTAATCAATTGGATCACTGGTAACGAGGGCGTTTGAATAATTTGAAATTTTCATCGGTTAACATCTTGAATCCATCTTTAATCAGCTAATGCATGCAACAATAGAGTCCACAAATAATACTAATAATAAAATAAATTAGTGGATTTCAAGAACACATGCGATTGGGGCTCGTTAGTTAGCTGGGAATGGATTCGGTGGCGGTTTAGGGAGTGGGGAATGGGCTCGGAACTCGAAACTCGGAATGGGAATACGAATCGAAATGGGAAATGGGAATGAGTTCCACATTCGATATGTAATAAATGACGCCCTATTAATGCCCGTGTGCCCGTGTAAGTGTGCTGGTGATTTTGGTGTGGTTATGCATATAATGGATTGAAATACGTTAAGCTTTGGCGGCCCGTCGAACGTTATGACCTCCGTGACCCGTCGATGTCGTCTATGGGAAACACGTTTTTATTCTTTACATCTGACACAATCGATACTCATTAAAGTTTTCAACAACAACAGCAAGAAAAAACACCACAATATGCATAATTATGTAATAAACAAAGTGGTTAACTTCACGCTTAATATCCTTTACGTTTGTCTTGGATTTTTTTCAGGGATTTCAAGCCAGTTAACAGCAATTAGCACACTGCACTCGTTTTGCGGTTTGTTAATAGCTCGCACGATTTGTTAATAACTCGAGCGCTCACTAAAACGTATCCTTTTACGCGCACTTTGCTAAAACGGGACTCTGGCCCGATGGCAACATTGCCACCCACGATTATCCAGTTGATCCTTTCGTAGCAAGCTTCAAGCCGCTACTAATGGCTTCGCCGTTAGCTTCGCATGTTTACGGCTCTCGGCGAGAGCTAACTAACCCGCAAAGCGAGAGAGCGAATGCGACTAGGAGAGCGGCAGGAGAGCAGGACCAAGACGGCCAGTACACCGAACAAAATGTAACAGGAAAAGGAATTTTCTAAATGCATCTTGGGAGTTATAATGTGGCCACGTAAGAATCCATAAAAGGAATGGACAAGACCGGATCTATGGTATAAATTATTAAAAAAGGATTACCAATTAATTAACAAATTAAGCGTAAAAAGAAAATCTTGAACAATTCAGGTCCTGAGATCCTTTTAAATGAACAAAATATATATTCTTAAAAAGCCTTTTAAAATTTATAAGTTCATACATATGTATATATGTATAAATTGTTGAACCTTGAAATTTTTTAGCATTCTGAGTTGCCGGCTACGAAAAGCAACTTGGGAATTATAACGTGGACACATAAGAAGCCACAAAAGGAATGGAAAAAACAAGATCTATGGTATAAATAATAAAAAAAAAGAATTATACATTAATGAATATTTTAAACGTAATGAGAAAATCTTTAACAATGAATTTTTTCAACTGCACAGGTAAAGAAAGTTATCTAACTAATTATATAAATTCAAAAGGAACTTGAGAAAAGTAACTTTCGCAACTTTAAATCAAGCTTAAAAGTCTTTTTAATTTTTTTACGTGCAGAACCAAGTTCAGAGAGAGCGTTTCGTGCTCGATTCACGTCTTCGGGCTCCTAATTGTAAGTGTAACTGTAACTGTATTCTCACCTGCTGGCGGAGCAACAATTTTCCGCCCTTCAACTGTCGCGAGCTTTCGATGGTGTGCGTGTGTGTGCGGGGGCAGGTGAGTGTGTCATGAAACTATGCACTATTAGATGGCTCATAAAATTCTCCCAGCCAAAAAAAATTAATAATATAAAAAACACACATACTTAAAAGTTAGTCAGAAACACAAAAAAACCACGGGCGAAAATAAATTATGGAAAATTACTTTTAAGCCCTTTGCCACGTCTTTATTACAAAAAGAAAAAACTTGGGTTTCCCACCAAAGAGCAGACTACAACTTTACATAAGCCGTAATAAATCCCTGCCAGAAAGCGAGGCAGGAATGAGAAAATTTGGGTCAAGTGGCCGCATTGGAATTGAACCCACCTCCAGTTTCGGACACCACTTTGTTTGCTCTCTATCTCTCTCGCTCTGCGGCGACCAGGTGGGAATATAAAGGATTCGTAGGAAATGGTTAACCACAAAAAAATACAGTAACCGAAAAATAAACTGCAGAGAGAGAAAGCCTAGAAAAAGCGCGAGAGAGAGGAAAAAGTCAGGTGTGTTTGATAGAGTGTGTGTGTGTTACTTCCTGTTGGATGGATATATAGCATAATATCAGGGGCATATCCGGTGAATAGTACGTTTTTATTACCTCAAGTTTTCCTTGGTATATTGCATGTGTTGAAGTTTTAAGATTATCAAAAGGTAAAGGGCTTGTCTGAGCAAACTACTGAGGAATTTAAACTTGAGGCAGAAAATAAAATGATTTACACTATTATGCTAAACTATTATTTACTTTGTTGCTATTTTATGTGATCCCGATTATAAATAGAAATCAAAATAGGCCTTAAGTGACTATAAATTAAAAGTTATTGTTTTCCCTAGAACAAGTACCACTTGAGTGTGCGGCAATGGCACAGCTGGAAACAAATGTGGAATATTAAGTCAAGCAGTTATGGTCATATGGCGCCCATCTCTTATGGTATTCACGTGCTGACGTTCGTGGCCAGTTTGTGGCCAGTTACAGCGACAGATGGCAAATGGGGCCATCAAAGGACCTCCCTCCGAGAGCAGAGTCTTGGCCGTAGAACGGCATACGGAAAACCACAAATCGCCACTCAGAGACTATTGTGCCAATCATCTATTATTAAGAGTCCTCTAATTGACTTTATTCAGTTGCCTATATCAGCACTCCGTGCTTGCGAAAGTCTTCTAACCTATTAAGCGAGACAGCAGAGTCAAGAAAGTCAATTAAAGCAAAAGATTTTCGTAGTTACTGAAACAAACAAATATATTTATAAAAGAAATCAATTTTTAGGAAGCTCAACGTTCAAGACAAGAAGTTCTTGCTTTCTCTATAGCCAATCCTGGCTGTAGTTGCAGACATGAAAAGCGTTTACTCCTTGTTTGGTGTTAAATTTAGTCATTTTCAGTTTTAGGCGAAGCATGCAGTCATGGACGTTGTACACAACAGTCGTTTTTACGGCCAGGCGAGTGTGGAAATTTGCTGGATTTGCCCCAGAAAAACCTCCGCTCCCTGGCGGCCGACATGGCTATTTTTAGACCGAAAACAAAGTGTTTTGCTGGCCAGCAGGACACGCGACCAGGACAACGTTCAGCGGTACAGTAAAAGGTAACATGTTGGCTATGCAAATGCAAACAATGCATTGCCCTCGAGAGTCGATGGACGACATATGCGCTCACAGCAAATAGGGGGTGGGGTTAGGGAGCACAACAAACCTAAGAAGGAAAATCCCAAAGAAATGGGAAGTGGGGCACGAGCACGGGAAGTTTAGTCGCTCGAATGGGACGACATATGCGGCTTATAAATAAAAAATCAATCAAAAAGTCGGCGTCCCAGTGCCTGGCGTATACCCTGCTACCCCAAAATGCCTCCCCCATATGCATGCCAAATGAGCTAACAACTGAACATCACAAAAACAACTAAAACTAACATGCGCGGCTCATAAAAAATTCACAATTTTAATCGAAACATAGTGCAGGCGAAGCGAAAAATAGAACACACGGTGCCATGAGTAGTATAAGCGATGCGTTCAGCCAGATAAGCAAAGTGCATTTGTCTGCAAATGCATTTGGGAATACGGAGAAAAAAATTATATCGAATATATCAGAGGATATGGGGGGTAATATTTGCTAATCCTTAAATAAACGCCTTAAAAAATGTATCAGTTGGGGAAGTCTTTTAGTGGGTTTATTTTTTTAACTTCTGAATCTAATTATTACATAATTATTTATTTTCATGAAACTACACATTGTAAAGATGGTCTAAATAGTACTTATTATTTTCCTTAAGGTTAAGTGCTTTACACTGCCACTTATTTGATTCAGTTAAGAGGTTCGTGTGAACATCTCAAATATGTTGGTAATTAAGCCATACCTTTTAATGGGTCTAACGTAATCACTTTTAGAAATTCCAGAAAAATAAATAGAATTACTGCATGCGATATAAGAAATTTTTATTATAAAACGTTCAAAATATTATACAATTGTAGTTTGTAACATGACAAGTTTTTAATATTCACAAAGCCAAAAAACACTTTGGAAAACAAATTATAGACACGTTCAAAGCCCACAAGGAGCCCCTAAGCAGCGGTCTACTTAAAAACTTTTGGTAACCACGCTGAATGTTAAGGTTGGTCAGCAAAAGTGGCACTGATGAAGGCCCTATGTCTAAAACCCAAACCTGGGGGTTTAAAATATAATATAATACATATATTTATTTTATTTCAATTTAAACATTTAATAATAATTTAATTTAATAATTTTTTGCTGTTTGTAATTCCTTTCTTACTTTATGAACACCACTTGCCTTACTTTATGAACACCACTTGCCATAGAATCATATTTATTATTCCCTTTGGTATATAAATTTACCCCAAAGTATATAAAATATTGCCGTAATAATTGAAGAATTATTATATTTTCAGTGCATCCATTTGGTCATGTGCGGCGTGTTGCCAATCCATGTCCATATGTGAGGCACAACTGCCACTGACACGGGCCATGCGAAAGCCAATTGGCTGTCAGGAGTGGACTTGGCCAAAGCGTGCACTTTGACCGGACTCCTCTCATCACCCCCTCCTATTCTCCACCCGTCTGATTGCACAAATCAGAACGTGAAAAACGCTTTCCGACGTGCCTTGTATGTACATACATATATGCTTGTTTGTATGTACGACATACCATTCATTGTTTACAACGTTTTTTCCATGGATTGCTTTCACTCTGTTTGCCTTTTTCCCCTTTATTTTCTTCAATTTCCCTTTTTTACGTGTGTTTGCCAGTCAAGGTGTGCAATCTGTGGGGGTTTCCCTTAGATGGACCATAGGATTAAGAATTTTAGGTGACTCACTGTTCCAGGAGAACCTTAAAACATGACATTTATAAATATTAACTAAGGTAATTACAACATATTATGCGAATGACACATATTTGTATTTCAGAAATAGATTTAAAATCACGTATAATTATTCACAGTTTTTTTTTTATAATAAAGCTTTATTTCAATTATTTTTTAAGCCACCTTGGGGCACCCCTTTTCTATCCTAATTTAAATATTTCTATTAATGACCCATCTCTCCATTAAAACTAATCAACTACTTTAAAGCTCTCTGGTAACTGGCGGGGAATAACAAAGAAAAACGAAAACTAACGATGCTGGTGGTGATTAAGCTTTCCGAGCTTCGATCTCTTATCGCCGCCTTTGCCAATTACATGTGTCTCGTTTACAGTTGGCAGATAAATTCCATGTTCCATATTTCGGCGAAACCGCGCCACATTAATCTAGTCGACAAATCGTGACAAATTGCACATAATTTCGCGCTTGTGTTTTTTTTTACATCTCCAAAGCGATCGGCCAGACTGGCAGTTGCCCAGACGTCGTATTACCAATCAGTCGCTTTGGGCTTACCTCCAGTTTTCTGTCCCATCACCTGTGCTCAGTGTATTTGCATGTTTGTAAATATTAGTAAAACCTGTGCAACATGACCCGCAGCAGGTCGTGGACCTTGCCCCGCCTCTCGCAGTCGAGTGTGTCCACCACTTATAGCCTCCTGGGATCCGTCCGGCTCACCTATGCCGTGTGTGCTTTCATAGCCACCAGCCTGCACGCCGCCATACGCAACATGCTCGGCCTGATCATCTTGAGGATGGTCAAGTCCCGGCCGGAGGATGCTCTGCAACAGGCTCTGCAGGCGGCGAGCAATGTCACAACTTCCAGCCGGTGCAGTGGCTCTCGGATTGGGTTTAACAGCGCGATCCATGTAGAGGATCTCTTACAGACTGGCGACTTACCATGGTCTCGCAACCAGGAGCTGGCATTTCCCGGAGTATACTACTATGGCTATGTGGTTTCCATTCTGCTATCCGGTTACCTGGCAGACCGATGCAGCAGCAAGACGCTATTGATGGTATCCCTAATCTGCCAGGCGGTAGCTTACATCCTCCTTCCCGTAATGGCCCATTACAGCTTCGAGGCGGCTGTGATCGATCTGGTGGTGTGCGGCCTGCTGGCGGTATGTTCTAGTTTCCAGCGAATTCGTATACATTTCTCCTCATTCAAGTAATGGCAGGGCTGCGGCAATCCGTCGCTATACAAGCTGTTCGTCACCTGGGCCCATCCCACGGAGCGGACGGCGCTGCTGTCGTTCGCCTACAGCGGCATGTTGGTGGGAGCCATGGTAGTATTCCCGGTGGCCGGCTATCTCAGCAACTTTGGATGGGAACTGTCCTTCTTTGTGGTGGGTTCAGTGGCTCTTCTCTTCGGCATTGCCTGCAACTGGCTCATCTATGATACCTTGGATCAGCATCCCCGCATTTCGAATGAGGAGGTGGCCTACCTCAGACAGGGAAAGAGTCCTCCAGAGCCTCATGCACCGCAGGTAAGTTGAATAATTTGGCTGTCTTTTAATTACAAATTAATGTTCTTATGTCAGGTGGTGAGTGTTCCCTGGAAGAGCCTGCTGAGCGCTCTGCCGGCATACGCTTTCGTTTTGACCCACGTGTTCCACTGCTACACCTTTCTGGTGCTCTCGCTGCTAATGCCCCGATTCATGAGCGAAGCCATGGAGTACGACCTGAAAGAGGTGGGCTTCCTATCCGCGGCCCCATATCTGGGCGGGCTGTGCTCGAAGGTGGTGTGCATTCTGGGAGGCAGCTACTTGGAGCGACGCTTCGGCCCGGATCAGAGCTGCATGCGACGGACACTATACGGAATCTGTAAGATACCCAAGCTTTGAATAATGTACTTGACAGATTTGTTTCTTTTTTTCAATCGTGACTAATGAGTAAAACTTGTCTGACCTTAATGAATAAGTTTAGTTATTATAGAGCGCGTCGAAATGCATTTCCAACTAGAGTAAATTTATAATATATTTCTTATTTTTTATTTCTAACCAGGCAGCATCCTAACGACTTTATTTCTGGGTATTATTATCCTGGCTGATTGCGGAAACAAGACGCTGGTCCTGCTCATGTTTATACTCCTGATGGCGTCCACGGACATGGGATTCAGTGGCTATTGGCCCACACTGCTCTACTTTGCCCCCTCCTTCGCGGGTTTACTTTCCGGATTGGCCAATGCTCTGGCTCATCTGACCGGATTTCTGGCTCCATATCTCGTCGCCGCCCTGGTGCACACCGTAAGACTAAATAATTAACTATTTTGTTATACAATTTCACTGTTTTTTAAAAAACTTTAGGGCAGCAAGGAGGAGTGGAATGTGGTGCTGATGACTCTCATAGCATTCAACACGCTGGCTATGCTTGTGTTTGGACTATGTAGCAGTACCAGACTGCAGCCCTGGGATCCACGCAACGGCGATACGCATGAGAGATCTGCGTCTGCCAAAGAAAATATCAGTTAGCCCTTTGCCGCATATTTATAAATTGTTTTATCGTGTGTGAGTTTAAAAAGCCCGCCGAAATGCGTGTTCTAATCGATACCTATCGACTAGAGATGTGCATGTGAAATTAGATATATCGTGTCACGGTTATTGTAATTTAAATATTTAAATGCTAAAAAATAATTATATTCTTCAGAAGAATTGATAACAGCCAACAGCAAATGTTTTAAAAAATAAATAGTACTGTCTTTATAAAATGTCCACTGTTTAAGTTAAAAAAAAATTAAATAAAATTATAAATTTCTTCATACATATAACAACTTTTTTTTACTTTAAGCTAGTTTGTGTCAATTTCGGGTATTAAAATAAAATCTTTTATTAATAAAAAATTGTCCACACAAGAAAGGATAATAACAAGGGTCTTAGAGGTTTCTTAAGGGTACTAGAGGGAATTTAAGAGGAAAAAATTGTTTAGTCCGAGTGTTTTGGAGCCTTTACAAAGCATATATTATTATAATATTAAGCCAAGAACTAAAAAAAAGTTTTAATTTAATTTGTTTAAAAATAAAAATGGTTGCAGTCTTCGCTAAAGTATGTTTTACCGATTACCAGCAATGCCATACTCTAAGCTTATGACCGACGAATGTTGCTTCGATGGCATTCAATAATTTCAAATTTCTTTTCTATTGCGTTTATTTTTATTTTTTTATTTTTATTCTCAAATTTATTAAGCTTAAATAGACTATGAAACACATATTAGCCAAGTTTTCAGCGTTTTAGTGTGCCCAGGTGTTTGATTTTTTTTAATTTAGCGGGTGCCCATGGATATTTTAGGAAGAAATTTAAGCTTTTTGAGATTTTTTAGGCACCTCCACTTGCTTTATAAATCATTTCAATTCGTTTGCTTGACGTTCACAGTATCCGCTTAGCACATAGGACTCTCGAATAACTTTCGCAATAGATAAATCCAAATTCTCCGTGTGGTTTCTCCCCGAATGCACTAAATTGGCCTGTGTTTTCACATTTTTATGACGTTAAAATTCTCAGTGCAAGACAAAAACTACCATTAGCAACGAAAAGCAACACAGAAAATCATCACCACCAATAAGCAAATAGGCATCAACAACAAGTCGCTTCAAAATACTAACTGGAAATCGGACAAACTTCTCTCGACGATATTGGCAGTGAGTAAAATTCGATCGCAGGAGATATAGACGTTCGATCGGCGAAGGAACCCGGGGGCAGAGGAAGAGGAAGGAAAGGCGGAAATCAGAAGCAGCTTCCTGGTTATTCGTTTGCCTTTTGGCGCTTCCGCAAAAGCACGAGCACAACAACTCTTTAGTGCTGCCGTCTAATTAAAATTGCTTCTTGACAAATCGATAAGTGTCGGAAACATACATATCTTCCATGAAGCTATAGCATCCCATTGCGTATGTATTTAGTGTGTGTGTGTGTAGGCCAGGCTTTAGGTACTTGAACCGCGAGAATATTAATGTTTAAACTTTAAACACTTGTTACCTTGAGCAATACGTGTTGTGTTTATTATCATTGCCGTCGCTTTTTTTTTTCTTGTTTTTGGGTTGAGGGAGGTTCATTCAATCAACCGCACCAACACCAGCGCACTTGCATAAACAATTTCTGTGTGTGTGTGCGTGTGCTGCCTGCGTTTGTGTTTACCTCCTTTGTGTTTTATGCATATTTAGTTAATGCTTGCATGAATTTGGTCGGGCCGTGTAAATACATTTTAATTTTCGCAATTTCGATTAAAATATGGCAGCTCAGGCCTGTGTGTGTGTGTGTGTGAGTGCTGGCACGTACACCAGCGAAGGGCTGCCAGGGTTGCCAGCTGAAGTTCTGTTTGTCAGTGTTTTGTTGTCGTTCGTTAAAGCCAGCTGATTTCTATAAATAATTTGATAAACAAGGCGAGGGGAACAACAATTCCAATAATTGATAACTGCATATAGTTGGAGAAAACAAAGTATTGAGCAACAAAGCCAAATGCACCCAAACACACACACCCACGCACAAACGCTAAATAAAACAGTAAACAAGCGCCGACACAGTGACCGCCAGAATATTAGTCGCATTTAATTGGCCCTTTTAAGTTCTAAAATTAGTCTGACAAAAAAGTAACAAAATAAATAATCTATAGAATAGATAAAAGATATATAAATTTGTAAAAATATAAAATCTACTATGCGCCAAGTAGACGCCAACACAGATCCGGCCAAGTTAATAGTTACGCCCGTGAACCCACTCTTTCTGTTGACCGATGACGATCATCGCCACCGCTAGCTGGCTTATTGCGTTTTGCATAAATTCCCTCTTTCGAGTTTTGTGTTATTTCACACGTTTGCCCGTTCTGCTTGTTTCGGTTGATAACAGCACCTCTAGACGCCGTTAATTGTTTAACGAGTGCTTTTTTGATACGAGTAATGAACTGATACTGTATATACTTAGCCGCCAATCGGCACAAGTTCGCACTGACCTGAGTCGAAATCCATATGTATAGATGCCCCGGCGGTACCAATTATTCGGGTCTCTTTTCGCTCTTTTGCAATTTCGAGCTGAGTCATTTTGTTTTTAAATTTTTGTGTTCCGCGGCCACAACGCAAAAAATAGACATCGTTCGTATAAACAAACACAAAAAAAAATGTGTTGCGCAAAAAGAAAAGAGAAAATGTTCGCGTATTTATAAAAACAAATAGGTATTAGTGTAAAAAACACTCACCTGTAGTGGTGCGATTTCTGTTTTGTTTATCTCAGGCAATTGTCGGCAAACCGGTTCTTTAGAAAAACAACGCAACTGGTCGCCGGTAGAATATATACATAATCATAAAACTCAGATACAGTTTGACTTGGATAAATTAAACTTGATTGTGATTTTGTAATATATTGAAAAAAATAACTTAAATAAGGATATACTCCTTGCAGAAATGTTGTTAAAAGTGCCATCTGTGGACTGGACGGATCAAATCATCTACGTGGTGGACGACGACGAGTCGCTGTCAGATTTCGACGATGAGCCAGATTTCTCGGAATACATGTGGATGGAGAACGAGGAGGAGTTTGACAAGAATGTAAGAATTTTGTATAAACTCTTTTTCCAAGTAAATGCGCTCGATTAAATAAATTCGTATGTTTTTAGGAGCTGCAGCGGCTGGAAGAGGAGGAGATCATGCAGGAGTGTTTCGAGGCCATGATCGAGGATGAGCTGGAAGAACAGATCAACGAATGGGAGAAGGCCAAGTGAGTTTTGGGCCACCACCTGGCCGTTACTTATAATTCAAAAACATTACTAATCGCGTACCGCTTCTCCCACAGAACGGAAGAACAGAACACAGCTCTTTCCGCACTGCCCAAAAGTCAGTGTAATGTGGAAAAGTCTGTTCTGAACCCCATGGCCGATGAGTTTATTCCACGAAGTCATATTATGGAGTTCCCTGCCTCATAAAGCCAGCTCATTCTCATCCCCTGCCCGCCTGCCACAGAATCACAAACCATCCCGCCCCATAACACGTGGACCTCATACGCGAAAATCCTAAGAAAAACTGAAGAAATCAAGTTCCACTAATGAGATTGAGATTGAAATATCCTGACCAAGTTGAGACACAATACACGGTTATCTAATTTCTAGATACGAAAAGAAAAAGCTGGATAAAAACTCAACTCAAGTGCTGGCCGAAATGCAAACGAATCGTATTTTACAAAAAACCATTATAAAAACGACAAAATATCAAACGGAAATATATACAAAAAAAAAAAAAACAAAAAGTTTAAACGAGGGAAACCAACAAAAAAAAAATAATACAAACTAAGAACAGACAAATAACAATTAACAACTATGCCACGTACATCAACCAGTACATCGTAATTAGAGTTAAAACACCAATTGTATGCCGAGGAACGCGGAGCCGGAGCCCCTGAAATTCCAAAACCAAACGCAAAATGTTACCGAAACAAATGCAGACGCAGGCGCTTGCTGAAGCTAGTGAAAGAATACTTTGGTATTAACGTACAAAACGAAAACAAATGACTTTTTACATGCGATTTCTATCGAACTATAAACTATAACTGCAACTAAACTAAGCCAATTTTCCAGCTAAAGCAACAAACAAGACTCGAGATTGTGTTAGAAAAGCGAGAAACGAACAGAATGTTAAATTGAAATTGTATTCAAAGACTTTAATTGTAATTTAAATCGTATTTAATTTAGCGTCGTCCCGCCCCACTGTCTACACTCGTTTTAAGTTGACCTTCCTTGGAATAGTGCTTTTCCTTTTCCTTTTTTTGTATTTTAAATAATTTTGCACCATTGTTAACTCGTTGTACGTTCTACGCCTAAGTAACAAGAAGCGCTAGTTGACTAACACCATACCCCCTTCTGACTCTCGCAATACTCGTAATTTACAATTATAATTTAGACTACCAAACCGAATTGAGATACTAATGTTCAACGTCTCCCTATACAAAACAAAGAGCATGCAAAAAGATGTACATTTAGTATTAATTACAAACTTAACGAAAGGAAACACCAATTCTGCAATAACTTGTTAGTCTCTAATTTTAAGCGAAAATAAACTTATTCGTTTGGAATGCACAAAGGCCTCCATTAACCCGATTTTGTTAACGTTTAAAATTCCAAAATTCGGCACATGTAGACAAAGATTAATAATATTTTTTGCAATCAGCTTAGATTTAGTAACTTAAGACAGCATTAAAAGATCTACTACATTACTTACGTTACGTGTGATATAAAGATAAAAACAAACAAAAAAAAAATATCAAAAACGATTTTAAAAATCTCAATAAAAAGGAGTATTATAGCATAAAATTGTGGTTTTTATTAAGGGTTCTGAAGAGTTTGTATTTTTTTAAGAAAAGAAAAAATAAAAAAAAAATACAGTTGGTTCTATATTTAGAACGATATTGGGAATTACAAAAAAATAATAATTTAAGAAAATATATATTTTTTAATGAAAATAAAGTATAAAAAAAATATATATATTTTTTAAAGAAAAGAAAAAATTCAAAATATATACAGTGGGCTCTATATTTAGGACGTTACTGTAACCCTCCGAAATTGCGTTATCTGGCAACGCCGCTCAGTGAAATGCCTCAGCTGTGCAATGTGTTATATCAGAGCGAAAACGTGGGATTCAAATAGTTTATTTTCGCATATTTGGTGAATTAAAACCGCGTTGGTTTCTCCGTAGCTCGAGGAGCCATGCAGAACTGTAGGCGCTGCATCAGCCTACTGGGCCGGCGGCCGTGCCTGGGGACCGTGACAGACGTGCGACAGCTCCACCGGGCGGCAATGCTGCTCTCCCGGAAAAAGCAGGAGGCGAACGTGAACGTGTCCGCTCTGTTCAAGCCGGTACAGGTGCAGGCCAATGCCGACGCCGAGGACGTGGGCTCCGAGCTGGTAGGCAAGCTGGAGAAGTCTGAGCTGCTGAAGATCCTTAACAAGTTCACGCAGCGCCGAGAAATCAAGTCGCTGTGCAGCGAAAACGGACTTGACGGTAAGTGATTTCCTTGTTTTGCCCTCCACTTTGTCTCTCACCTGGACTCTGTTATCTCTTCTCAAAGCCTATCTCCAGCAGCAGGCCTTTGGCTCGTTTCGACGCTACTGCATCGAGGCGGACAACCTACCCGTGGACCTGCACATAGTCTTTAGCGATATTACCCAGGGAGCGGGGCACATTGATGACATTTTCCCCTACTTCCTGCGCCACGCAAAGACCGTGTTTCCCCACCTGGACTGCATGGATGATCTGAAGAAGATCTCGGATCTGCGCCAACCCGCCAACTGGTATACCAACGCCCGGGCCATCACCCGCAAGATCGTCTTCCATGCGGGACCCACCAATTCCGGCAAGACCTATCACGCCATGGAGCGATACCTGACGGCTAGTTCTGGTGTCTACTGCGGGCCCCTCAAGCTGCTGGCCACCGAGGTGTACAACAAGGCCAACGAACGGGGCACTCCCTGCGACTTGGTCACTGGCGAGGAGCGCAAGTTCGGCATCGGCGAAGGCTCGCCCGCCAACCATGTGGCATGCACCGTGGAAATGACATCGGTCAACACGCCTTGTAAGTCCTGGCATCCTGTCTGTCTTAGGAGATGTTCAACATTATTCCTTCTTACAGATGAGGTGGCTGTTATTGATGAGATACAGCAGATCCGTGACCCGCAGCGGGGCTGGGCCTGGACTCGGGCATTCCTAGGTCTTATCGCAGAGGAAGTGCATGTTTGCGGAGAGGCCGGCTCCCTGGAGCTGCTGGAGAAGATATGCGAAACTACCGGAGAGACAGTAGAAGTGCGGCGCTACGATCGTCTAACCGAGCTAACGGTGGAAAGCTCGGCTCTGGGGTCGTTGGACAACGTGGTACCCGGCGACTGCATTGTGTGCTTTAGCAAGCATGATATATACACGGTCTCCAGGGAAATCGAGGCCAGGTGAGTCGAGGAAACCAAGTCATTCGAAAGCCATTTCACGATCGATTCTTTCAGGGGCAAGGAGGTAGCCGTTATATACGGAGGCCTGCCTCCTGGCACCAAGCTCGCCCAGGCTGCCAAGTTCAATGATCCCGCCAATAGCTGCAAGGTGATGGTAGCCACAGACGCCATTGGCATGGGCCTAAATCTGTAAGAGAAACAATAATTAATCCATAGCTCAGTCTGCTTCAACTCCAATTTCTTTTGCAGGAGCATTCGGCGTATCATATTCTATTCCCTGGTCAAGCCCACGATGAATGAGCGGGGAGAGCGTGAAATCGACACCATTTCCGTGTCGTCGGCCCTTCAGATAGCAGGCAGAGCAGGCCGCTTCCGCACCCAGTGGGAGCACGGTTATGTGACCACCTTCAAGTCCGAGGACTTGCAAACTCTGCAGCGTATTCTGGCCCAGACCCCAGAGCCGCTGAAGCAGGCCGGCCTGCATCCCACAGCCGATCAGATAGAGCTGTACGCTTATCACCTGCCCAACTCGTCGCTGAGCAACCTGATGGACATATTCGTGAACCTCTGCACGGTGGACGACTCGCTGTACTTTATGTGCAACATCGAGGACTTCAAGTTCCTGGCCGAGATGATACAGCATGTGCCGCTGCCACTGCGCGCACGCTACGTCTTCTGCTGCGCCCCCATTAACCGCAAGATGCCTTTCGTGTGCTCCATGTTTCTGAAAATAGCCCGGCAGTACAGCCGTAACGAACCCATCACTTTTGACTTTGTCAAGAGGAACTGTGGCTGGCCGTTCAAGCTGCCCAAGACCATTTTAGATTTGGTGCACCTGGAGGCCGTATTTGATGTGATGGATCTGTATCTATGGTTGAGGTATAATATATCTAAAGTTTTGTTAACTTTGTTATATCAAAATGTAAAAATATTACTTCCTTGCAGCTACCGGTTTATGGATCTCTTTCCCGAGGCGGCGCATGTGCGCGAGGCTCAGAAGGAACTGGACGAGATCATACAGCAGGGCGTCTTCCAAATAACTCGCCTGCTCAAGAACACCGAGGCCAGCCAGGAGGGCGGGGATGTGCCGAGCTACCCAATGCGCCGCACCATCACCCATGTCAAGGAGCCACGCCTGCCCAGCTCATCGCGGGGTCGGCTCACCGAGCGGCTGCTCGCCCAGGGTCTCCTCACCCCAGGCATGCTGAGTGAGCTGCGTAAAGAGTGGGATGCTCAATCCGGTCCAAGTACCAGCTCCAAGGACGCCCAGGAGCCAGCCACGGACAGTGACGACGAGGACAACTACTCAGGGAACGCCAGGAAGGTGAGGCGGAAACGTAGAAAATAGAGCAGAGTAGAGTCTCCCACTGCTAAGATTAAGGACGTAGTGATAGGCTGTAAAGGTCGTTTGTTTTATATAATATTGGTTTATTCTTTAAGTGGCAATTATTATGTAATATTAAAATTAATATTTTGATAATCAACAATGACAATTGAATTGTTTTTTAAATTGAAGAGTAGAAATATGTAATCTGTTTCACAAAAAATAATCACTTTGTTCGCTTTCAATTTGTATGGAGGGAGGAGGAGAGAGTCTGAAATACTTGACATTTAGTCCGCACTTTGGGACTCCCGCTTAAGTTCTGGAACTGTGTAATACTGTCTCGTTTAGTGCCCTCGATTAGTGGATTAGTCACCCAGCAGTCGCTCCATCCAAAGTGGGTTTGTAAGTAGATTTAGGCTTATATATCATCATCGCATTTGTTGTAACAACGAACGAACAAACACACACAATATTCGACACTCAAAACATACAGATTTGTTAAAAGATATAAATACTATGCAATACAAAATAGTACACATCCATATGTTGTACGTAAAAATGAATACTAAGTTCCTTGCTGCACGACGATGAGCACTGCAGTGTGGCTTAATATGCGTAGTTTTTGGGTTCTTTGATTTAACTTGAATTAAAAAATAAATTAGTTCCGATATTTATTAAAGCTTTTCATTTCTCGTGTATAAGTTATACTTATGTATGCATAAACACCGTTCCTGGCGACTCTCTAGCGTCTCTCCAAGCCAACTCCAAAACCTGCCGGCCCAACTGGGCTCTAGTAAAATCTCTGCCTCCCTACTCTCTGAGGGAATCCAATTGTTTCTTCATCAACTGTAGCATCTTCTGTAGCTGCTCCTCAACTGCCCTTCGCTTGTACAATAGATCTTTGTGCGTTTGAATTCTAAGGTACCGATATTTATGTTTGTATCTTCTCCCCCTGCTCTGGAACATGCTCATGTAGGGTCATGATGCGATGGCTCTTGCTCACAAATCACAAGGTAGTTAGTTATGTTAGTTTGCAGGTATGAGATGTCTATATGTTTGTATCAACTACAATTGTTCCTATTTATCTTCAATATTCTCTTTGCTTTTCATATTTTGTTGGTATTAAAAAAGTGCTAGTCTTAAAAGACATTTTTTGGGCTTAATATTTGAAGATAAGAATGCAGAAAGGTTTTTAATTACAAAAATTCCACTCACCGTCCGCCGGTTATTCATATATAGTATATTCCTTTTATCACAAACAATCATAAATTTCAAATTTCGAGTAATAAGTTAAGTACTTGGATGCACCTCAAAGTGCCATTGCGTATAAAATTTCGATATTCTAGGTTCTGTTTTTGAGTTTTTCTTCTTTTTTTTCCACGTCTCTCTCTTGAGGAGACGTGTGCCAAATGGTTTCCAAATTACAAATATTTTTTGTGGCCCAGTTTGGCCCAGATCGAGCGGATGATCCGACCGAGCTGAGCCGGTCGGTCTCACCCTGGTTCGGGTGCGTCGCGTACGTCGCCCCTCGTAAAAACAAATCACAAACACTGATCGCTCCAGACAGAGTCCAGACATGCTGATCTAGACAAAGTCGAGCTCCAGGCCCGGCTCAATATCGACTGCAACCGCATTGTCTGCAGGGAATTGATCGCCGCCTTCGTCGTCGTCCGGATGCGACTCCTTTGATGCCGTTTTCTCGCCGGACCGGTCCTTGAACGCAGCTAGGCCCAGCTTGCGGAGGGCCTTGCTGCTGCGTCCCGAGGACTGGCCCAGCTGCTCGAATCAGGAGTCCACCAGCACGTGCCAGCGGGCGAGCATCTCGCCCTTGGGCATCTCGCACACGTCCGCCCAGTGGGCAACCTCCGCGGATCCGGATGAGTTCAACCCGAGGCTGAACCAACCGACCATCTCGTTCTTCTTCATGTGCCGCTTGGCGTACACAGATATCATCAGCGTGACGTCGTTGAGTTGGAAAAGCGCCACCTGAAAGGCGAACGTCTCCTTAAACAGAGGATTGGGCTGGCCTCGTCGCACGGAGGTCTTGGCCCGGGAGATCTCCTGCCCGATGCTGCTGACCATCACCATCTTCACATACGTGTCCGGCGCCTTGTTCAGCGACAAGCTGCGGAACTGGCTGCCCTTGATGATCTCCACACTTAGACGCCCGGTCACGCCGTTGTAGCTAAGGCCGAGCAGCAGCTCCGAGACGCCGCCGTGCTGCATGGACGATGTGGAGCCGGCGCTCTCTGATCGGGCAAGGCTCAACAGGTCACTGGTTGAGCCCAGCACAGAGGAGTTGTTGCGCGGCTCCAGCGGCAGCCACAGGTTCGTCTCCAGCTCCAGGTCCACGGTGGCGAAGCTCACATAGGCCTCGCCAATCAGCCGCTCCTTGCGCAGACGCTCGCATCCGTACAGGCGGACGCGCAGGCCCATGTTGTTCACATCCTCCGGGTTGACGCGATGCAGCAGGAAACTCTCCATGTACTGCGGGTTCTCGCCGCTGCGGATCTTGGTCTTGTGCTTCTGCTTCTTGTTCGGCAGCATCAGCATGCGCACCTGTGTGTGCGTCGGCTGTCCGCTGGCCAGCGGCGGCAGACTCCTCGCCTGCATCACGTGCACCGTCATCTTCCGCATTGGTGCATCGTACAGCAACGATAGCTCCAGCTCGATGGGGCCACGCGGGGCAGACGCCGCCTTCGAATCGCCGCCGACCACTAGAATGTCGTCCGATCGGATGGATCGCAGGTCACTGGTGTCGAAAAGGGGTTCCTGGGAGAAGTGAAAATATATGGGTTAGGTCTCAGAGGTAAAGCTTAATAGAGAACTATTTTTGGATTCGATATTAACTAATTTAAAAAAATATTAAAATAGATGCCCAAGACCTTGGGCGTACTTAAAAAGAAAACTATATTAAAATGTAAGCATTTCCTTATAATGTCAATCTTTTTACGTCTCTAATAAGTTCTAGTATATGTAAGTTTTTCTAATATAAGTTCGAAAGAATTTAAAAAAAAATTAAAAAAAATATATAATATATTCTTTACTAATTTTACAGGTAACCTAAAGACGATTTTATTGGATAAGCCGGTAGAATACCCTTTCATTGATGGTAAGTTATGTGATACTGCAAGGATTTTATTTATTAAGATCTAAGGTCTTCCTTAAGCTGTTCACAGATCCTAGTGTAAATTTAATATCAATTTTAAATTATATTTTAAAATATATTATAAGTAAAAAAAAAAATATATATATTTCCAATGGAAAGAGAAATCTGTAGCCCAAATGTATTATTTTCTAGTCAATTAAAATTTTTAAATAAACCATACATCTTAATAATACCACAAAAAGGTAAACAAATGGACATCCCCTTATTATTTTATATTTAAGGGGGTCTTCTCATTCAAAAGCCGTTTTTTGGACCCTTTTTAAAAAAATTCTTATTTGAAAACGCAAAGAATAATTGAAAACTTTTTTTATTTATTGTATTCAAAAATGTTCAAAGTAACTAAAAAAGTTGTTCTTGCCTCGATACGAGGGTTGTTCAAAGAGTAATGAGACTTCAAACTTGGTGGTCGAAAAAAAAGGTGTCGTCCTGGCGGCCACGATTCAGGGTCTCCAGAGCGTCCGAAATGAAAAATAAAAACGGGGTTATAATCAGAATAGATGTCATTTTCGGCTGACGGAACAGATTTTTTTTTTAAATTTTTAAAACAAAATGGCGGCCATTCAAAAAAAAAAAATTTGATTTCGGTCGTTTTTTTTTTAGTTTAGTGTAAAAAAAAAATAGAAAAAAAAATTTAAAAAAAAATCTGTTCCGTCAGCCGAAAATGGTGACAATTCTGCGGCGATTCCACTTTGTTTCATGAAAATCGGTTCAGTTGAACTGGAGATATCATGGCCGCCAGTTCGAAAAACGTGGTTTCGAGATAAACGCGTTTGAAGTTTGAAAAAAGCTCATTTTGCATAGATCTTGCTTCACAAAAAAGGCTGTATCTTCTAAAGTATTTCGAATTTCTAAAAATCCTTTTGGGGACATATACACACCATCCCAAGCTATAATTAAATGCAAAAAAAAAAAAATCGAAAAAAAAGTTGCCCAATGAGAAGACCCCCTTAACACTTAAATAATGAGCGAGTGGGGGACTCAAAAATGTTTCCTGCATTCTGAAACAGCTATTAATTATTCAGAACCCATATGGTACGTACAAATATTAAGCAATCAAAACCGATTTAATAATAATCATTTACAAATTTAGTAACTATAATGAGGTTAGTGAGTGATTAATTTACTAGCTATAGTGTAGAATTGATCTCCTTTGTTCCTCCAAAGGATATAATGACTCCACCCCTCTGATTCTAATTGACTAATAATCCCTAATGGGGGATTCCCAGTTTGTTTAGAACTTACGTCATCGTTGTTGTTGTTGTTGTTATTGCTGTTGTTGTTGCTGTTGGTGCTGTTGTTGGTATTATTGTTGTTGGTGGCATTCGAGTTGTTGTTGTTATTATTGATGTTACTGCCAGCCAAAGGCGGCACCACCACCACATTATCCCGCTCCTTGTCAAACTTGGGTGGCCGCACCACCTCGACCCTGTGCTGATACCTGAGTGCCTGGGTCTTGGCCCGATGCTCCGCATACGGATTCCGGAACGAAGTGGCCAACGGGTAAGAAGCTGTCAAGATGTCGCCATTAATTTGGTTACCCCATCTACCGCGACGCTGGTCATGCTCACCCTTGCTGTCGCCCGTTGTCAAGATGCCCGTGTGACTGTCAACCGATGCCTCCATGGAGTCATTCGAGCTGCACTCGCTGTGCGACGAGGGGATGCCGACCTTGCCCCTCTCGGCGATGGCCAGCGGGTCACGGGTCACGGTCACACGCTGCAGGTCAGCGCCGGCCTGATGGTAATTGAAACTGTGACCCGTCAGCGGATTCGCCTGGCTGAGCCCCATGCCATAGCTCCCGCCGGATTTCTCCCCGCCGCCCAGCTGATGCTGCTGGTGCCAGCGCAGCCGGCGGAGGATGTCCTCCTCGGAATCAGAGCTGGTGTTCTCGTAGCGCCGCTTGCGCGCTGCAAAGTTGCATCTAAGGTTAGTCCAGGTCCCGGTCAGAAATGGGATATATACTCACTGATCTTTTGCACGCACTTGGCAGCCAAGTGACGCTCGTCGCAACAGTTGATGGCATGGCGGTAGTGGAAACAGCACTTGCGACTGATGTACAGGAACAGCAGGAGCAGCAGCACCAGAACGCCGAAGAAGGCGCCCAAAAGTGTGGTCACCTCAACGGTGCCTACCAAAGGAACAGGAACAGGTAAAAAAAAGTGAAATACAGATAGGGGGTGAGGTAAGGGGGAGGCGTACCCAATGTGGGAGTGCTATCCAGGCCAGACGTGGACGTAACAATCATCTTGGCTCATGCGAGAAATCGTGGCTTGTCCAGCGCTCTTCTACAAGGACCTCATTGCGCCAGGAGCAGGCGCCAATCGTTTTTGTTTTCACTTCAGTGTGAAAGCAAAAGCGACAGCCAAAACGAAAGCGAAAGCAAAAGCTCGGGATATGACAGCACAATGGCGCAGGATAACCGAAATCGATTTTTCGCAGGACAATGAATGGCTCCGAGTCGCAGCCAATGAGTAACTGCCTTTTAATTTATAACGCTGCCTGGTCCTCTCCAGAATCCGAATTTGATTTTCAAAGACTTTCTAAGTCTTGATTAAGATTAAGATTATCACCGAAAAAGTTCCGCAACAAAATCATAAATAAAATAATTAAGCCTTTTAAAGTCACTCCTGCGGTTTCGCGGCGTTGTGTTCGGTTAACTGCGTGTGGTAACTCCCGTCTGGAGCGGACAGCGGGCTGCTAATAAATAAAAACTAGGATTGGACACGGGATTTATAGATTTCCACTGCGATCAGAGCAGCTGCCCGTACAGTCGATGGGGAAAACTGCCTCGACTCCCGAGCACTGGCGAGCTTAATCCCTCCAACCCCCCAATATGGTGTGTACATAAAGCGCTCGGGAAAGCTCCGCTCTGACAGATGCATTGCAGTAACAACTGTTGCTTATAATATTTATTTTATTTTCAGAATACTACTTAAATCTTACCCGAAAAGCTTATAATATTTATTTTCCTTTCAGAAAATAACTTAAAAGTTGCTCAAAAAGAAAACTACTTTAATTTTGTTATTCCATATTTATTGAGTATAATATTCTATTACTTCTTGAAGTTAAACATTAAGTTACTCAAAAGCAAGTTGTAAATATTTTTAAGGACACACTGGAAAAGCAATATTATTTTCAAAATAATATTAATCTTATAAAGACGTGACGCGCACAAATACATATATACATACGATATAGAATAGAAGTATTACTAAAAACAAGAGAAAATTATGAATATGGGGAAACTTAAAACGTCGAATTGAAACCAATATATTTAAAAATTTGGAAGGTTTGCTGAAAAAACTTGGTCTCAGTGTCTAGTACTATCTTGCCACAGGCTTCTTGGTAGAATAAATGCGGCAAATAATGCTAGAATAAATAGGCACAAATAATCATGCTTTTTGGATAAATATGAATGTAAAATTCTTTTGAAAGTTATTCTTATTATCTGGAATAAGTACGAAAACTAAAAATTAAGTGGGTTTTTTCATTAAGTTTTTTGAACAAATTTTATAGGACTTGAAACAAACATCATACGCACAAACTTATTTTTTCGGCCGGTGGTGTATCTCAAGAAGGATCCTCCTCCACCCCGGGCCCAGTGGTATCTATACACCTATTATTTTGTCCAGCCAAAATTGATGGAAATATTAAACTCATTTTAATAGTACATGGAGAAAGTATTTGGTATTTAGAGTGCATATTAGGATGGCCAAAAAAAAAACGAGTATTATTAAAATAATACGATAAATAATAAATTATATTAATATTGTATTCGTCTTAAAGCTTTTTAGAAAATAAAAGTTTCTTTTAATATAATTATATGTATAGGTTAAACAAATTAATTTTTATATATATTTATTATTTATTATACTTCATAAAGTATATTCTACTCGTCGATAAATTTATATAAATATATACATATATTTTTTTAATATTCCTTTATTTAAATAAATGTTCATATAAAATATTTTGCCAAATTTTTCATTCAAAAAAGGCCTATTTTTCCCTAGTGTTGAAAAATGTTGATATCCGGTACGATACAAGTACAATATATCGAATGCAAAATAACGGTGCAAAATGTACCGCGATATATCGCATTTTCTATAATTATCGATATATTGTATCGATAGTGGCATTTCGCATTTAGAAACAGCTGATGTTCGTTCGTCAAAGTGAAAGGTTGTGTGTGAAAATACGCTCGCGGTTTCTGTCGGTTACTGTTCAAACTGCAAAGTTAGCAATTGCTAAAACGCGGGCCATTTGACGCGAATGCGAAACCGCAACAACAACAACAACAAACCGCCAACGCCCCGCCCCGCCCCCACCTTCACCCCCCAAAAACTCGATACAATTCAATAGCCGAGCGTGACGCAAAAGAATTTGAAATCGCCAATGCCACTGCCAGTGCGCTGGTGTGAGTGCCTATCTGTGCGCGAGTGTGTGTGAGTGTGTGTGTGCGCGGATTTGAGATGCTTTTGGAGCTACGGGCAGTTACGAGCAGCAGCTAATTAGCATCGAACCCGCGTAAACAGTGCTTAGTGGGCCGCTCCAAGCGGCTACGGAATTCGGGCTGCAGCAACAGCAACTCCGGTAATTAACGGTGGAAACTCAGCTCAGTGTGACTCGGGGGAAACCTTGGGAAGCCGCTGCAAGACGGCAAAGCCGATTCGACGACGTCATCTGCAACCATTTCGCTTTTCATTTTCGCTCCCCAGACACAGCACTGGGTTTGGGAAACTCGATAGGCGTGTTTCCCACACCCGTGCCGTTGCCGTTGCCATTGCCTGACCAAACGGAGCATGTGACCGGCCAGGCGGCGGGGGAGAGAGGGTGTAGTCTCCGCACCCATCTCGCACAGCTGGTACATGGAGTGCTCTCCGGCCCGGGTCAACAAACCAAGCCAATCGACTCGCTCCTCCGCGCGTGCACTTAGTCATTGATCGCGTCCGGTGACTCCGCCGGGCATGGCGTCTCCATCGCCATTGCCATCCTCGTCTTCGTCTTCGTCTCCGTCTTTGCTGCTTTGTTTTTATTGGTGTCATTTGAATTTGTTGAATGGAAAAGGTCAATACACAGGCCGTCTCTGGGGTTTCGAGAGTGAAGTAAAACCGGTTAGCGGATGCTACATTTTGGGTGAACCGACTGCGACTGCCTAGGCTCCTACCGCGCGACCCTCCCTCCCAACCACAGGCAGTTTGCACGCTCAAACTTCATTAGCTGTCGCACCGAAAGAAATATCTAATATCTATTTTATTGGTTCTTGTTTTACTAAAAAAAAAACACTTTATTTTGGACTGTTCCTATGGAATTATATTATCAAAAAGTTATATCTTTTGAATGATCAAAATGTTGTTAAAAAAGTATATCCCTTGACCAGCATTTCATTTCAAAGAAAGAATCTTAAATAAATACCTAGTTTCCTTCCTTTTATTATCTTGGAAATCCATTGATCCTGATGGATCCAATGAATATTGTATCAAACTACCAATGGTTATTTAATAGCCACATTCTTGTTTAGTTTCGAAGAATTATATAATATCTAAACGTGATCAAAATCCTCCTGAATGATCTTTATCTGGAAAATTTATACATAAATTGTCAGGAACCATTATAACTAAAGAATACCTTGAAAATTTCTCAAATTTCTCTGCAAAATGTATTGCTCAATAATGTAGTCCGAGTTTCGAAAACTTTATATAGTTAATTTTAATTTTAAATTGTTTTTATTAAACTTTTTTGAGTATATAATAATGTATATTGTATCTTTTTATTTGGAGTTTCAAATATCAAATACAAATTTATATCGTGGTTATATAAGAGATTTAAAAATATTTGTTAGATTTCCACAGAAAAAGATCTTATAGATTTTCTATATAAGAAACATATCTCATATTTCGCTTATCGTACATAGTATAATGTTATTAAGAGCACGTTTTTATGTCTGATATCCTCTCAAAAAAGATCTAATTTCTCTTAGTGTTCATCAATTTTCCCACCTAGCAAGTAACCCATTCTGTGAATGCCCCTCATCTGTGCGGCATGCGCATCAAGAGCCAAGAACTTGGGCCAAAAATGGATTGCCAGCAGTGAGCGTCTCAGTTTGTTTTCTTTTTTTTTTTTGACGGGCTCGGCGGTCTCACCTTGCTGGCAAGATTTCAGGGGCACTAAGCAGCAGTCGGCAGTGAAACTCTGCACTGATGTCAATGCCGCGGTCGTTCTCATTCTGCTCTCAACTGGGAGCGGAGTCACGGACGCGGACGGTAAAGCGTATCTTGAGGTAGTAATTTTACGCGGGCTCTAGTTGCGTGGGCGAGATTAGATTGTTGAATAGCTTTACTGCTTACAGTGAGTTTATTTATACACAGATGCATTCATGTTTACTCTGAACACATTTTTTATGTCATTCATTTCCTTAGGCTCCTTTGGTTGCCAGCGACAGCCTTGACTTTTTGACTTGTTTTTGGGCTTGTGTCATTCTTGAAAGGGGTCAAGTTTGCACCAAGTTCTGGAAATAAACAGGGAGAAAATTGTTTAAATTGTTTCATTTATAATGAAATATTTATAAAATTCCACTTGTAGATTTCTCAAGCTATATACTCCCACCGGCATTCGTGCTTATCGTGGGAATGATATCAGGCATTTTTCCCTCTATCAGAAATTGAATTAAACGCCAGATACTGGCATCGCTTCTGCTGTTGTTGTTGTCGGCATACATTTCCATTTCACGTTAATGATGTTTTGCCTTTCGCCTCGTCAAGCGCCGGGCAAAGGCAGAAATTCAATTCACTTTCAACTCGACGAAGTGCCAAGGCCCGGCTATGGCACCTGTAACTGTGGCGCTCGTTGGTGTTTGCCGCTATAAATATACGCCTGCCATGAGACAGATGTGGTCAAGAGTATAAGAACACCACAATGACTGGACTTTCTTTCAGGAAAAGTTAAAATAATATGAACTTTATATTTTAAAAGATTATAATTTGATACACAATACTTGTTCTATTCGAAAATTTTTTGATGTGAAATGTTAATTTTTATTTTAATATTAAAAACCCTCACTTTTTTGTATACTTTCTTTTATAATAACATATATTGCACCTAAAATTCTTAAGTACAAATTTAGGGACGAATTTAAATATATCCAAGCAAAGTGTAGAGCTTGCATCCATCAGGAAAATGAACTCTCATGAAGTTTTTCTTTTTGAAAAACTGAAACATTTAAATTTATATACAAAATGACATAAGTAAAGTTTAAAATTAACAAAATGAAGAGCAAATTTCCTACAGCTATGACCATGGTTGTAGGGTTATCTTATGTACGGATGTTTGTTGTTTTATATCTATGCGAAACTAGTTGAAGTTAATTGCCAAACAAGCTGTTGCTGATTTGCATTTCCCCGCTCACTGGTAGCTCTCTTCGTCTGCCAAGTGCGTTTAAAGATATAATGAAACAGCTGGAACTGCTTCGAGTAATTAAAAATACAAACAAAAGCTTAAATTAATTGAAAAGAGTATCTTTTGATTCGAGTGGGCTTGGTAATCGGCCCACAATCATCTCGAATCTCGTATCTCTAGGTCTGCAAGTAACAAGCGTAGCAAAGACCAAGCGGCGCTTAGCTTTCCTTGGGAACTGCTTCTTTTTTTCTTATTATTTCTCTGTTGGGTGAATTCGATCGGACCGACTGGGAAAAGCAAAAACTATGCCGAGAACAACGAGATAATGCGATGCATATGTACTTGCCACTGTGGCCAGCACTTTGTTCCTGCATAATTGCTGCAAGCGAAGCGTTAAACTGTAGCAGCGCTCTGTTAATTTTCTTGAAAGACGCACGCTCGTGGTGTTTTCGTATCATAAAACCCAGAGATTGATATACATATGTGTGAGTGTATATGAGTGGCAATTACACTGTCGTAAATGGGGTCCAAAACATTAAAAACAAAACAGGCATTCAACTTTTCTTACGACTCTCTTGATTACATGCAAATGTTTCAAACTTTCCCAAAGAATTAATGAATGAGAAACCTAGAGGGAAAATGTATTTACGGGGCAACAACTGTACGTAACGACCTTCACACTGCTCAAAATTAAAGCTAGCTATTCTGGGACAATAATTAATAATTGCTCACTTAATAATTGCTCACTTCATTAATAATTGCTCACTTATAACAAGTTTTTGAACACAAAACTTGAAAAATCTCCCACTTAAGGAGCTCAACTCTTCTGACTTTTAGTCCACGTCAGTCCTGGCAATTCCTTTGCACAGTCAGGCAGCCCCTAGTTACCGCTCACACTTTTGATTCCCTATGGAACCCCTTGCACTCCTTGACCAGGCACAGACTAAACTAAACATATGTAAAATAACATATATATATTTACCCATGCAAAACATAATGTTTGCTTGGGTAAAGGCATTTGTCTATAAACCGATTGTTTACTTTTCGTCAATAAAATGAAAAGAATGGCTGTGCAGTGCCACGGCTACGGGAGAGTGGCGGCGGGTCTGCCACCACCGCAGCAGGGGCAGGGCTTGCAGAGGAGAGAAAACGGACAGGTGTTTTCCGGCTTTGCACATGTAACTCGATGTTTCTGCTGCCTGCTCCCAGCAGAGCCAATTCCCTGCCCAGCGCCCAGTCTTTCTTCGTTCACTCCCCTGACTGCACAAGAAGGTGCAGTTCAAACATCTTCCCCGGCTTCCCTGGCATTTGTGTGTGCTTTTTGTGTGCTTCACGGTAGACTGCCGGTTGGATCGTAGGAACGGAAAAACGACGTTAAATAATAAGTTCTTTGTCTTGTTGCCATTACAGAAGCGACGTGAGCGTTTTGCGTGAAGAAATGACGACCACAAGTCAAATGGAGATGAATCCAAATGGGGGAAGTACCGGCGAAGGCTTGGAATCCACTGGCGAAGAGATGGCAGTTGCTAACAACAGCACAAACTTGATGCCAGGCAACGTCGTCGTCCAAAAGAATGTCGCCAGCGTCGTGGGCGCGACCAGCACACAAAGAGGTAAGAATCCTTGGCGTAGCCAGGAAGTGGAGTGGAAAGAGCTTAAACGATGCTAATTCGACACCGCCGACACTGCCACACGTGCCACTGTTCGACACGCGATGTGACGCCCAAGCAAACACCTTGTTTATGTGGGACTCCTCTTAACAGATTGATCTCTTGATTGATGGTCCGGGGCGAGGCGGATATGATCCATTTCTTTGATGAATGGCTAAGCTCTACGTTGAGCATGGAACGGTTTATAAATAGAGTTGACCGCACAGTAAATCATCTCTGATTATCTTATATTAATGCCACTTTTGCTTCCGCTTTCACATTGAAATGGTGACTATTTATATCTGAAGAGATAGACTTCCCTAACATACATATATGTACATATGTACCTTGAGGATTCGCATAGATATGTTTTCAGGGGATTTTTCTTTGTTTACATAATTCAATTCTATTAAAAACCCAACCCTTTTTGAAAATTGGCAAAACGTTTTAGTTCTATGATGGAATTTAGGTTTTCCAATCACTTTTTTTGACTAAACGGGAGACTCTTTTTTCTAAATAGGCCTGTGTTCACGGTCAGTGATTGATGTAATTGCGCTTTTTCGGTTGTTATGAAATCTATACACGCGATCTGGCATTGAAATTCGATACTTAGGTGATGTGAACGTAATTTAAATTTGGAACAATGTACTCAATGGCTTATAGACGTAAGAGTGGCGTAAATATAGTTAGTATATCGGTATTATTCGACTTCCTTGTTAGTATTCCGCTATTGTTAATGTTAATTTTCGTAAAATAACGTCAATTGTCAATTAACACAATGATCATTTACTTAAATGTCCGACTTAAAACCTTGAAACCAAGATACAACCTTGAACCCAGATATATTGTACTTACTTTACAAACTATAGCTAAACCCTCATATGAATCATTTTCTATTTTTATGAAGAATGATTAGAATGTTTATTTATTTTATTTAAATATGTATATGGGATCTGGTGAAATAGGAACCACGCGTGCGGCAAGGATTAAAATATAATTAACAAAAAAAAAAACGGCTTAATGTTTTTAATCCAGATACATTACTAAGATCAATCTATGCAATATACATTAAAATTGATTGCTTTAAAATATTTCTATGCCTTAACTTGTTTTTTGAAAACGTTATTTCTGTACGGTGGCGTGCAAATGCCATACATTTTTGTAATTATCTTGAAAACGAACAATTGCCCGAAATCGATTAGAGTCTAAGAGCTAAAAGTTAAACATTTTTTAAATTAAAATAAAGTCATGCCACATGTTTTGTTTTTCAATTTGAATGAGTATACTTTTCGCGTTCGACAGCAGAGAATTACCCATACACCATACCAGTTTAAGTTCAGTAAAAAATAAGAAAAAACTGCTGAAAGGGAAAACCCCAATAAGATATCCAGGGCATTCGAAGAGCCCTTGACCACAGCACATCAACCACCATGATCGACTTCCGTTTATAATTCGAAGTTGTGCTATTTATAGCCAGCCCCTGGCATCCCTGCTGATAATATGAATCGAAGCGAAGCCAGGCCACTCCTCCAAGAGCAACCACCACCGCCGTCCTTCCTTCGATCTGTGCTAATTTTAACCAAGCGTCCCTGGGGGAAACATGAAATGCCACCGAGGCCTAAAGAGTCCGCTTCAGAGTCCTCAGTGTAAATAGTGTATAGAGAGAGAGCGGAGGCTTCCACTTGAAACAAACTCTTTCTCCGATTTCCCTTACAAACTTCAAATAGTTTTGGGTAAACTTATTTGTCGGGAAATGGAAATCGTCGCATAGACACAGCCGTTTTTCGCCCAAAGCCAAATATTTACTTAGCAGAAACCAAAACAAATCCGACAACTGAGTAACCAATGCGAACGAGCCAGCCGAGCCGCAGAAACTCGTTTTGAGACCGCGGCTCCCGCGACATATTTGTGGGCTGAAATAACTTGGCAAAGTCTCGAGTCGACTTGACTCGGCTTGAATTCAATACGTTCCGATGGCTCAACGTGAGTCACTTGCGTTTTTGCAATGCCAGGCTCCAGTTCGATCAAGCTAGAAATGGAGAGGTGTAAGTCCAATTGATTATTGGATTGAGCTATCAGCTATTTACGGGCTTTCATAATCGCGAAATCCTAACATTCTCATTTCCCTTTTCTTTCAGCTTTGGATGCCACCAAACGCAAGAAACTCAAGTCACGCAGCGGAACAGCCACAGCGGAAACCCCAGCAGCTGTGAACAAAATTAACCGATCCGGCTTGAGCTACTCCAAGGATCATTTGGATGCCTGGCTGGAGAACTGTTTACGCGACGCCACCAATGCCCAATTGTCGTCATCCTCGGAGTTCTTGGACTTTATACCGCCCACAGCCAGCGCTCACAAGCAAATGTTTGTGAGTCAGCAGCAGCAAATGCAGCAGCAACAACTACAGCAGCAACAGCAGCAGCTGCAGCAGCAACAGCAGCAAGTTCCCAATCGTTCACAGTCATATGGAATGGGCACGGGCACGCCCTTCAGCCTGGGGATACAGCGCGTGAGTAGGAGCCATTAGGGCAAGCGTATTTCGTGAGCCTTGCCCAGCAATCTGACCTCCCACCTCCTCTTCGAACAGCACTCGCGCTCGCTGAGCCACCGATATCCGATGCTCTTTCCACCCCAAGGCCTCAACGGCTACGGCATGGGCATGGGCTATGGCGGCGGCGACGGTGGCCAGGAGTTCGCCAGCCTGCCACCCTTGGTCAACATGATGGGAGCCGGGGCCGGAGGTACTGGGTCCGAGCATGAGCCCAATTCCACGGACGTTTTAGATGGCAGCGGAAGCAATCCTAATTTTAGCCGAGGGTAAGCCAGAGGATGTAAGCCTGTAATAGTCGCCTTTACCGTTCTGTAATTGCAGTTTTCGGTTCAGCGATCCCTGCCTGCTGAACCCCTCGGACTCCAACGATTCCAAGTTGAGTGGACAGAACACGCCGGACTGCCGGAATGGCAATGCCAGCGGCGGCAGTGGCTGCGATCTGTCACAGCAGAACAAGTTCTTTGCGGCATTAATGGAGCAAATAAACATATTGCACGACACAAATTCAAAGATCTGTAGGAATTTGCATGAAACAAAAGGTTTGTCTTCAATCTGTAAATCAGGGATCGTAAATAATGATTATTTTTATTTTTAAAATATAAAAATCGTTTAAATTTATGATTTTTTTTCTATTATCATCAAAGGTAATCATTAGATTTGAGTAAAAGAAATAAAATAATTAATATGAAAATTATTTTTGTTTACAAAAATTTTATAATACAAGAATATGAAATATTATTTGGAAAAATTTACATTTTTTTTATCAAAAATAGTTAGTAAATTAAATATTTGTTTGTGCCCTTATCTAATGATCATCTTTAAAAATAATATAACAAAATCTAGACATAAACATTACCCTTTGATTTCTATAATATAACTTGTGATGATTACGGTCCCTGCTGTAAATACTTCTCTCCCTTAGATGTATCTTAGCTATGAATGGCTTTCTCTATTCCTCCCGTATTTATTTGTGTTTATTGCTATTACCAATTAATTTAGTCTCTTTGTTGTCCACTCTTGGCCTTCTTTCTATGTATTCTATATTGCACACTCGTAAACACTACAATCACAGTCGATATCGAAGCTTTAAAGCACCCAGCAGCAGCAGCAGCTGCCAGCAGCCAGGTTTGGACGGGGCCTGGCCTGGGCGGCATGCGGCACCGTAGAGATAGCTTGAGCGGATTAAGCACACAAAGTCAGCCCATGGTGTTTGGCGGCGGATTGGGCGGGACGCACAGCCCGGCGCCCACCTTCCATTCAGGTACAAAACTTGAACACGGCACCTCCACCTCCAATCTACTTCAGCTTGGCGTTCCACTTCCAATCAATCCAATTTCTTGCAGGTGCCTACACACCCGGCATGATGACCGACGTGGTGCGGGAGGTCAAGGAGGCGGCGCGCGTACGCGAAGATGCCATGCTAAGTCGGTAAGGAGTGGGACTCTGCAAGTAGCCCTTGAAATACTAATATCCTTTCTACGCCCAGCGTCAAGTCAATGGTTGATGAGCGGCAGTGGACCTTAAACGAGGGCAATGTCCGCATCCTAAGAGATATTGATGATCTGAAGGTGAGTGAGACTGGTCATGTTTACCAATTAATACATTGTTCTCGCCCGCTAGTCCCACGTGATGCAGCTGCGGCTGGAGAGGAAGGAGACCAACAAGCGGCTGTCACATCTGGAGGCTGAGAACAAGTACCTGCGCCAGGCCCTGGCCGGTTGCTATAACCAGCGGCAAGCCTCATCGTATCGCGACATTATCTATGAAAACGATAGGGCGCGCGGTTCGCGCAAGCCCTTCCCGAATGGCGGGGGAGTGCAGGGGCCACGGCGGGCGCAGTCCTTTAACCTGCACTACGGAACTATGCATCAGACGCCGACTCAAGCCACACACTCGCTGGAGGAGGATGACGAGGTGGAGGCGGAGGAGGAGGAGCAACTGGAACACGCAGAGCTGGACAGTGAAGTGCCAACGGTGGCCAGCAAGCGGTTGTCCAGCTCAAGCAATGAGTCCCGCAGCAATGGCCTGCACTTGCCCGCATCAACGCCCCCGCAACAACCACAGCAATCGGTCCGAAGTCCGCCCACTTTTGCGCTGATTTCGGAGCAGGTTAACCCGGGGCTGCCGCCGCCACTGTTGCCGCGCAAGAAGGAGCACGCTCAGCTCAAGCGGGAGCTCAGCGAAGCGGCCGCCGCACGTAAGGAGGCAAATCAGCGTATAATTGCGTGGGTGTAGTCTATGCTCTGTTCTATAAATTCTCAAACTAACCAAGCACCACTTACGCTCATCGCATGCCTGGCAATCTCACTCAAGCTAACACATTCATTAATTATAATCCGGTGACTAATCTCAAATCACTTACGTATTCTCTGCATTTTTGTTCTTCTCTTTCGACGGTTTCTCCTCCGCACTGACCATACTGTAGCCTTGAAAAATTGGTTAAAGACCTAAGCGCCCAGGTGGTGGCCAGCCAATCGTCCGGCTTGAAACCTAACGTGTCTAGTACAGCTCCAGCTCCAACTGCCTCGTCAGTCCTGGCAACGAAATTCACCGTGGCAGATGGAGGACCGTTTACAGACTTATAGTTTTAGCTATCAGCCACCAATTCGAAGAAGCGACGGCCGACGGTGCGCGTCACTCAGTTATAGCAGCAGCCGGAGCGACGACACTTTTACACCTTTTGTTTCAAAATTATTTATAACTCATTAACCTGCGCATAAGTTCAATAACTTAATTAGCTAGAACATGCTTCTACCAAGCCAAAACTCTAAATTTTTACATCCAAAACTGCGGGTTCATTCTTTTTTCGTGTGTGTGGGTGTGTTCATCACTGACTCGCACAAAACCGAATACTTTATTACTCTATTTATATTGCCTACACTTTTGTTGTTACTAAATATCTAAAAAATAATAATAATAATAACGAATTAATGATATATCAACAAGAGTACAAGAGTAGAACGATTGGCAAAGAGATGACTTCTGAGAGTATTTAAACTAACGTGTACCTATTGAAATGAACAAAAATCAAAAGTTAGCATATAAAGAGACGATATTAAATGAAAATGAATTGTCTTAGATTGTATAGTTTGTAAACCATATATATTTGTTAAGTGCCATTTGATTAAACAAGTAAAATACATTTGTAACTATTTAATTTTGCATTCATTCAAAGTTTTTCTTTTCTAGTAAGCTGCATTATTTACATGTTCTAGAGCTCTTGTAGGTGGGTAACATAGCTCAAATCCCTGTCGTTTCAGTATTCTTCAACTTACGTAATACTCTTGTTTCTAAAATCCTTTTCATATGCTCCCAATGTTAGGTACATTGGACTTTACTGTACAGACAAGATTATATTTCTTGGAACATCATTCTTAAAGTTCAGGACAGAAATTTATAGTAACCAGAAAGGAAACTAACTTTGAAAAGCCGAAATTTAAATGAGTTATCGAATCAAAAATCATTCATACTAAGCCAAAAATGCATAAAGCTTCTATAATGACCCTTTTTCTAAAAGTTAGCAACCAATATTTTAATTTAAAGATCAATTTTCTAGTATCCTTCATACATATATTACATACATATATGCGCATTTATTTAAAACATTCCGTCACATAAACACTCATACGTAGGTGTCGAAATTAAAAACTAAAACTGTTTCGTTCCTTATTGGCCAACCCGATGTGTCAATCGATGATGGGATCAATTCAACAGCGTCCCGTCAATCCAAATCTTACAACGCATCTACAACTGGGGAATACAATAAAATGAAATATAAATGTAATATTTGAAGATTAGGGAGACTACATACATTGTGCCGCCATGTCATTGCTGTCAATGCCCAGCATGGCCAACTCGTCCAGCTCCGCCTGGCGACGCAGCTTCTCGCTGCCGGAAGGTGATGCCGGTGGCTCTGGTATATCTGAGACATCCGCTTCCTTAAGAGCAATGGGCTTGCTGGTTGCCTCCTCGACGACCACCGCCGGTACGGGCGAGCATGGCATCGGTATGTCCTCCGCTTCTACCATCTGCTTGAGGTTCGTAGCTGCTACGGACGACTTGGCTCCGTTCAATTTCTGTGTCTCCTCTGTGTTCTCAGTGGATATTGTTTTTGAGGCTTCTGCTGCCTCGTCTATGGTGACCAGGTGAATACCCTGCTTGGCCAAGTCTTGAAGATTGTGTTCACTGAGCACTGGCTCGTCCTCGACGATGGTGGTGATTGTCTGAGGCACACTTTGCGGCTCTTCCGCTTCCTCCTGCGCCGCTCCCTCGCTGGGGAATATGATGTCAAGGGCTGCGGCCAAGTCCTTGGGCAGTTCCCCGTCCCGCGGTTGTTCCGCAGCATCCAGAGGCTGCGGCACCAGATCAGATTCAGCTTCGTCTATGCCCGGAGGCAGAACGTCCTTCTCATCACCCTCGTTGTCCTCGCGTTCTTCGCCATCTTCCGGGTCACGGCCTTCGCCCTCGGATCCTTCTCCCGGCGGTGGTGGAGGCGGGCAGGTAGTCATCAAGTGGGCGAATTGGACAGGATCCGGCATTAGCTCATCATAGTCCACCATCATGCCAGCATCGGGATGGAAGGGAGGAGCATTGCCGAAGGCATCTTCCATCATAGCCATCTGGATCTGGGCTGCAGTTGGTGCCGGTTGCCTAACAGCTAGCTGATCACCCAAAGGTGGTGGTGGCGGCGGAGGAACACCCAAAGCGCCGTTGGTGTACGCAGCAGCAGTAGCAGCATCGTAGCTAGAAGCCGTCACCGGCTGCTTCTTGAATACTGGCATCTTTCCAATGAAAGGGAGCTTCTTGCCTCCAGCGGCGGCATTGGTGCTCGCACTCGCCTTCGCCGCCGCCTTCTGTTTGCTTTCGGCATCCTTCTTGTCCCGCTTCACTTCCGGCTTGCGTTCGGGCACTGTACGTGGCCGGAACTCGGAATGCTTAATCACTGGACGCTCCACGCGATCCTCAGAGTGGCTGCGGCTTCTTCGACGGCGGCTTTCACGGGAACGACTTCGCCGGCTGCTCCTTAGGGGTGAACGAGAGAAGCGCCTGCGACCGCGGCTGCGGGAACGACTGCGAGAGCGACGCCTGTCCCGGTCGCGATCTCGCTCCCGATCCCGACCGCGATCTCTGTTGTCCCGATCTCGATCCCGATCCCGCCGATCTCGGTCAAAGCGACCGCGACTATTGCTACGCGAGCGGCTACGCCGCTTGGGACTGCGGGAACGACGACTGCCTCCGCGTTTTGACTTTTCATCAGCCGCAAAGGCTGAATGCGGCATCGCCAATTTATTGTCCTCGGCATCGCGCGGACCTTTGCTCTTCAGCCGGCCCTTGAGCTGCTCCAGCAGTTTCTTCTCGCTATCGCTTATTACCGGCTGGACAGTGTTCCACTGCTGTATCATGGCCTCGTCCCGTTTCTTTTGGTCCTCCCTTTGTTCCTCGCCGGAGGCCGATGACCATTTACCACGGCCTGCAGCATTTATGGAATCCTTGATGATCGGAGGCGGCGGCGGTGCTAGCGACTGCAAGGGCACATCCTGCTTTAAGGATGTTGTCAATGGGCCTTCCTGCTTTCGCATGCTCACACGTATGGAGGGGGCGCTGGGTGCCTGCTTCTCGGCTGGGCCACTCGACGTTTCCTCGGTGCGACCTTTCTTTGGTTGCTGCGTCTTCTCCTCCTCCGACGACGAGCTGTCGGAGTTCGATGATGAACTGTTGGCATCGTTGGTGCTTCGCTTGCTCTTTTTCCCGTGCTTGCGCTTCTTTTTCTTCTTATCACCACTGTGGGAGAAGAAGGAAAAATAAGGAATGGAAAATATAAAGGGACACTAGAAATGGGGAAAAATCGATTCTCAATGCATCGATTTTTTTTCGATCTTTTATCGATTTACAATTATTTATTTTTAAATTTCATAAGATTAATAAGAAGAAACAAAAAAAATGTATATGAATTAAATAAATAAAAATAAAGGTTAAATAACATAAAAAAAGAACAACAAAAACATATTTTCATAATAAAAAAAAAAACGAAAAAAAATCAAAGTTCCATGATCGACTGGTTTTTACAGGAAAAAAATAGATTATTTACACTGATTGTTTCAAAACCGAATCGAAACATCGAAGTTAAGTTATAGTAAAAATAGTTACCTTTTCTTCTTGCGTTTCTTGGAACCCTTCTCGTCGTCCTTCCTGCTCTTCTTATTCTTGGCGTCATCGTTCCCCCTTTGCTGTATCATGGCCCGCTCACGATTTGCCTGCCGTTCGGCCTCGTAGTTGGGATTCTGATTAATGAATAGCTGTAGGAAAAAAATATAATTTTTTAGTATTTCCAAACTAAGAATATAATAGTTTAAGTTAGGTAAATCTAAGTAAGACAAAACGCAAAAGCTCTTCGCACAGTGTACAGTATGTTTTGGTATGCCACGATTTGTACATTTTGTTTTTGTAACCTACGAGACCGTGTTTTTCTTCCAAAAGAACACACTCATTGGCCGTTACTTCGTTTTGGTAAGCCCCTTTTCGACGATCATTCAAAAAGAAAAGTAAGCAGCTTAAAAAGCTGGGAGTTGCAATCATATTTATCTCAAAAGATACAGCTCAGTTAAAACCCTTTTTTTTTAATTTTATTATATTTTTATTTAACATACCTTTTTTTGTCAAAATTTGGAGCTTTTAATTTAAATTTTGATAAATATTTTAGAATACAAATTTTTAAAAATTTAGAAGCCACTCGGGAGATTCTTCTATACCTCTAAATATTTTTCAGTACAAAGTATAACACAAAATTTAAACAATTTTGTGTTATTATATGCTATTTAGTTTAATAAGGTAACTAGTAATTTATCTTTAGTCAATGTTTTAAGCGGTTAAACATATGCAAAATCAGACTATTTTCGAATTTATAGCAATTTGAAGGGAGTGCTTTTGCAGCAAGCTAATCCCATAACGTTCCTTGTAATTAATATTTTTAAATCACTAGGATTACATGAATTTTTGTCGCTCTAGGTATATATTTGGTCGAGTTCTGTTGCTTGCCGCAGAAGTCCTAGTGCCAATTTCAATTTGTTCTTTAATTTACTTTAAATTTGTTTTCATTTATTTCAATTTCTTTAAATAAGAGAAAAAGGAATCGCAAAAAATTCGCTTGAAACACGCCTTTATTCACCATACAGACCTTGCGTTCAAGTGTTCCTTGAGTGCCCATTCTTGAAAGACAGCCAGAATTTAAAGTTTAAGTATATTTTTTCACTCTGAATGTCAATCGATTAAGGCATTAATTTCAGGGCTACATGAAATGCAAAGCCTGTGTTTTAATATCAAAAAAACATCAAAATGTATGTCAACAAATTTCATAAAAAAAAGACAGGAGAAAAGACTTTAATTATTTTTGTTTAGATATCTTGGGCAAGTTTCTTGTTCTCGTAATATCTGTATTTGATCAATGCAACATACCAGTTGGGAATTAAAAAGCAAATTATCTATTGTAAGGTTAAGGCAAAAAAATATTTTTATATATATTAAAAAAATCTACAAACTCCATTAAAAAACTTAAAAAATCACTTATCTTACCTCGTATTTATTTGAGTGCAGCCTGGACTTGAGATGGGCCGAGGCACAGTGCAGGTCGCCAATCCAGACGCTGCAGAGCTTGCAGTACCAGGCATTGGCCGGCACCAGGAAATGCATGCCTCGCACGGGGACCCGCTTAAGCGGTGCATTCTCGTATACGGGAAAGGGATCGTGGTCGATGCCCACATGCCAGGGTGTCTCGATTGTCTCACGGTTCATATGCTCCTCGCTGTGCAAGTGCTTCAAATAGTCGCGCGCAGATTTCGGGAAAACGCTGCAGCTCTCGCACCAATGGTGTTCAGGATCGAAAAACTGAAAATTGTAGTTTTGCGTCAAACCTGTTGATGATGACGACTTCGTTTCGCCGTGTCGCTGCTTTGACTTCATCGACTTGATGGCCCGGTTCTTCAGCCGATTTGTGGGTGTGCCGTCTTTGTCACCGTTCTCCTCCTCATCGTCATCCTCGTCTTCCGAGGACGATTCCGACGAACTGCCAGACGGTGAGCTGGATTCTGAGCTGTCCGCGGAACTGTCAGTGGTGGTGTGGGAACGGCTACTCTGCGGATCTTGTGCAGCCTTCAGATTGGGCTTGGGCTTGGGCGGATCATCGTCATTATCCTCGTAGCCAATGAGGCCGTTAAGCATGTCTATGACATTCTCGATGGTGTCCAGCTTCCTCTTAATTTGCACCTGAAGAAAAAATGAGATAATTAATAATCCCGATTTTGAGAATAGAGTACTCATCTCTTACCTGCAGACGATCGTTTTCCTCGATGAAATTCTTAGTTGTTGGCGACGGTGGGGCCTCGCCGGAAGCCAAGTCCTCGCGCTGATCCTTAAGCACCTGCATCTCCTTCTTGAGTATCGTCACCTTCTTCACATAGTTGGTGCGCTGCTTCTTCAGCTCATCCTTCTGCTTCTCCGCTTCCTGGGCCACGGCTGCCGTTCGGTTGTCATATAGATGGGGGGGGATAGAAAAAAGGACTCCGATCAGTAGGCATTCTCATTAAGAAATACAAGTTCAAATTTCATTTACAAATGCGCTTTCGAGTGCATTTCACCGGCTAGTAGTAGTCACACACATGGATGCAGTCGCCGGATGGGTTCGGATCTGACCGCCTTGCTTGTTTGCTTGCTCGGCCTGTCCTCGTTGGGGGCTGAAGAGTGCTTGTTGGGGGCGTCCACGTTCGACTACAGCTACACAAGAACGGCTAAAATGCGCTTTCTAATCTGAACGGAATGACATTTTTTTCGTTTTTTCGTTTTTTTTAAACCCTCGCTCGGGACAGCCGGCATGAGTTCTTGGCTATATACATATATATTCTTAGATATACTTTACAATCGGGAGCTCTCAGTATTTCTTTTCTGCGCGCTTTTAAGTTACAAGGACAAGTGTGTGTAATCATGACAACAGTAATAAAACATAATGTGAGAGGTTTGCATGTGAATTTTCGTAATGACCGCATTGTATTTCATTTCCACACTTACCGTCCTGTCCCGGCAAACCTGCGCCATCCAGCGCTGAGGACTTCTGCTCCTCCTCAAGCTGCTTTGCCGGAGGCGCCGTATCGAGCGGCTGGTGCTGCTGTGGGGCTAGAGCCTCGGGCACCGGGACCGAGATCGAGGGCTGCACTCCGGCCAGAGTCTGTGGCAACCACACCTGTTGGCCGTACTCTGAAATGTAAGCAGACTCCTTAGATACTTTTCTCTGGAGTTCCACACTCCCCACTTACCATTCACGCCCCATGCTCCGGTGGGAGGAGGTCCGTATCCAGTGCTGAAATTATTCTGTCCAGGTGGCGGTCCTGGCATGCCGTATCCTTGGCCCGGAAACGCGTTCGGCGGCATTCCATACTGGTGCCCGTAGACATCGGGCGGAGCTCCGTAGGGTCCGGTGGCGTACATTTGTGGAGCCATAACGCCGTAGCCAGGAGCCATTTGCTGGGGCAGTCCACCCTGTTGCGGGGGCAAGGGTGGCGAAGCTGGTTTCTTTTTGGGCGACCAACGACCAGCGGGACTTATCCCGCGTCCACCTCGCCGGAGCGGGGATATACTGCGAGAGCGGGAGCGTCCGTAGCGTCTGCCGCGACGTGGCGGAGAACGCCGGCGGTCAGGGGATCGACGTCGATCGCGGTCGAAGCGGCGGCGCGGTGGATACCGGCCATAGTCCGGCGAGTCGTAGCGGCCGCGGCGCGGTGGAGATGGTGAGCGCGATACGGAGCGCCTCCGCCGCGTGGCTGGCGGCGATGCGGCATTGCGGGAATCAGGTCGACCGCGGGATGTTGAGCGGCGACGCGATGTGGACCGTCGTCGGGAGCTCGATTTGCCGCGCTTACCCGCCGCAGCACCCTTGTCCTCGCTCTTTTCGTTTCCGTTTTTCTCATCGACGCCGGGTGGACCCGCAGCCAGGTCGGCTACACGCCTGTCCGTTGGCTGCTTGGGGACCGTGTCTTCGTCCATGTTAAAGCTGTGGATGTTTTCCACTAGCTTCGACGAGCGCTTTAAGCGAGAAATCAATTATCAATTTGGTTTTTTCTGCAGCAAAATTCCGAAATTACGTGTGGATAACGTGAAATAACAAAAACGCCTTCGGATGTTGCCTAAAATCCCAAACGCCTTTTCATTAGAGCTGGTCATATTTCTAAAATATATCGATAGTTGTAAAGTATCGATGTTTTCGGGGTTTCGATGTTTTTTAATAATTTATTATTTAACATTTTATTTATTTATTTAATTTAAGTATGCATTTTATCCACAGCAGGTTATATTTTGTTATACCCTTGCAGGGCGTAATAATTTTATTCAGAAGCTTGCATGGCAATGAAGAAGTCATTTTTGACGCTATAAAGTATATATATTCTTGATCAGCATCAACAGCCAAGTCGATATAGCCAGGCTATATCATATAGCTGTCATAGAAACGTTGGCAAAATGTTTAGAAAAAAAATTATAACTTCATAGATTATCAATTTACATTCATCTTCTTTGAGATTTGGCCATTTTTATTTATTTAAGAATTTTGGTTTTAATTTTATGAAAATTGAATTGAAAAATTAAGTAAAGTCGGTATGTTCTTACCCTTTCTTTTAGATGTGGAAGAATGGGGTTAAAATCATAAACAAGAAAACATTGTAAGTGTTCAGAACATTAAAAACACTTGTTCATTTTGTGTATATATATATATTTTATTTTTTTAAGAATAAAAAGTTAAGCATAAAGATTTTGATAAATGGAAAACTGACTCATAGATACAATTTTTTTTTTTAAAGGGAAAAAACCTTATCTATTCCAAGCTGTTTCGAGTGTGTTTGCTTTGATGCCCAACTTATAAAAGCATTTTCTGGTAATGAATGCACTTTAGCGTGCCGTTGCAGCGCCTATAAAAGACATGCAAGGTCCCCAGTGGCCATCATTAAAAAAATAACAAAATGAAACTACAGCTCGCCCTTTGCGCACTTCTCGTGGTTTCCTGCGGACTGGCCCAAGCCTACAGCGGCAACGGTCGGCCGGGCTGCAAGACCGAGGCGGAACTTGAAATTGGAGTTTTCCGCAACGACTGGGACCCCACTGCGTACTGGAAGTGCGAGGCACTCAACAAGGCTGGCGTCGAAGTGAGGTGCCCCAGCGATACGGGATTCATGGAGAGTCTCAAGAACTGCGTTGCCTGGGAGGAATGGGAGTGGGAGACCCCGGTGGCCCCGCTCAGCGAGCCAGATGAGTGACCCAACATGAAACAGAACAGCAAAATGTGACAATTTGTGTTGTTGTTGATATTTGAGAATAAAAAGCTGTGTTAGGCGGTGTTGGCGGCATGCGCAGCGAAACCAATTGCGTGTCGGTAGGCAGCGGGGTGGATTGGAAGGATTACGATTTAGTCACGCGTGCGCAGGCCCCAGATGGAGGTGCGACGCGTCCCCACAGTCGGCCGGGAAACCGAACTGTGTATGAACTTGTTGATCCCCATTTTGGGCATTTGCTTTTCAAGGACCTCCATGGCAGCATCCGACAGCATTCCGAATATGTCCAAATAGGTGAGCGAGGGCATTCCCTTCAGCTCGCTGCAAGTAAATTATCAAGTTAGAAATCTTTCCCAGGCTGGTGGTTAGTCGACTCACATAAATCTAGTAGCGGGAATAAGATAACAACGAGAAACGGACAAATACTCGAGCATTTTGAACTTCATTATGGCCGGAATGACCTCTGGGGTGAGGCTATTGCAGTCCGATAAATCAAGCTCCAGCAGCTGGGGGCATCGTCTCTGTAAGGTAGCCACATCTGGGAAAGATAAATAGAAGGAGATATAAGCCTCATCACAAGAGCTTGGGACCAGCAACACTCACGAGAGTCAAAGAGGACCCGCCGGCAACCGGCAATGTTCAGGCGAATGACATTGGGGGATATGTTCGTGACCAATGCAGTCACAGCATCGGCACTGAGGTCCGTCCACGATATGTTCAAGCTGCTCAGATTCGTTAGAGACTCCATCATCAGCCGCACACTGTTGGCAGTGAGGCCGCTGGCCATGGTCATATTGACCGCCTCCAGGGATTTATTCTTGGCCATCTCTGCACAGATGTCGTCATCAAGCTCTGTGCTCTCGAGGCTTACCTTCTTCAGCTGGCGGCACTGGGAGAATAGCGTGCGCAGTGAACTTTTGCTTATGGCAGCCATGCTCAGGTCAAGATATTGCAAGCGAGACTTGAAGGCAGCTGCCGATGGTGTGAATGCGGGCTCCTGCACCTGAATGAGAAGAAACATTAAAAAAAAATACTTATAGCTGGCTTATCTACTTACCGTTGTCTGGGCCAGACGCAACACCTGAACACCCCGACGCATTATTTGCTCGAGAGCCCCCGGCCGAAACGTGCGCAGGCCAAGATCCAGTCGTGTCCACAAGGTTTCGTCACGGGAGCAGCGGTTGAAGCGCTTGCTTACAGTGGCCATCCGCAGCAGGGTCTTCTTTGGTAGCCACTTGAATATACCCAAAAGAATCTCATCCGACAGCCGGTCAAAATAGTTGATTCCGCTGTTGATGTGGGCACTCATAGACGGCGTGCGAAACACAAAGAAGCTTTCTGCCGCGGACCCAAGTCGGCGGGTTGGCGGCAGTGGCGATGATGCCGCAGCTGCTTTGTTTGCCTGCCGCACCTGAGCCAGCCTGCTGGTGGAGGGCTGGAAATTGAGCGGAGACTGCGACTCACTCTGGTTATTGCATGTCACGGCGCTAAGGGGGTTTCGGAAGCGTTTGGCGGGCGAGTTCGAGTTGCTGCTGCCGCCTTCCGAGCCCAGTGCCGTGCGCTTGGCCTGCGCCAACGCCTGCAGCTTCTCGGCCGACTGGCGCAGCAGCCGCTGCTGGGCGTCCTCGACGACGGTAGTGTTGCCGCTCACGCTGCTGTCCAGCGTGGTGTCGGCCGTTGAGTTGAGACTCCGGCGTTGCTGTTGCTGCATCTGGTGTGCCATGGGCGGCACATTTGTGCTCATCGGGGTCATCTCGGAGGAGTTGTCATCGCTGGTGGCACTGGCGCTAATGGCCAGCGCAATGGCCGAAAGGGCGGACGAGCTGCTCTCCTCAGAGTCCAGCATGCCGATGCCCATCTCCTCGAGGGCCTCATAGGTGAGTGCCGATGGCGATGATGGGTGCTCGTAGTTGGACGATTTCGTGGCGGAAACCAGAGCGCCCGAAGCAGCAGCAGTGCCGTTTTTACTTGTTGAGCGTTTTCTGTGACACGGCGACGGGGCGGAAGGGAGGGGGGATTGATTAAAAAGTGCATGTCTAGCCCTGGGGTCAAGCACCCGGGCCAGCAATTTTAATTAGTAGTCACTTTCTTGACCTCGTTTACTTCACTCCAAGTACACATACATACATATGTGGGACGTCACGGGCGCAATTGCAATTCGTGCATTTCGAGGATAAACGGAGGCCATACCAGTGGGGAGTGCACTTACCGGGTCACGGGACACAGGTTTTCCATATTTTCAGAACCTCTGTGCTTACGCGCGCTCATATTTTCATTAATTTCACTTCAGTTTTCTCCGACGTACAAAATGTTCGCGCTATTTTTTTGCCGGGTAGTGTGACCGATAAGTTATCGATAACATATACCTACTGACAAAATACCAAAAGTGTTTATTTTCAGTAATATGGCAACGCCATGAAATTTTGTACTTTTCAACTTTTCATTCTGGAAAACACCGGACAAAGCTAGAAAAGGGTGTTTTTGGACTTTTCTTTTTCTTTTTCGCACTGCTAGAACAGTTTTCTTCGATATGCGGTAGTTTTGTGGCTATTTTTAAACCATTAAGTGTGACCAGCTGCCAATAGGGCAGTAAGCCGGCCACACTTTACTTTCCGAGCAAAAACTTTGCGGCAACCCAAAGCCCAAGAATTAAATAAATAAATAAATCCGTGTTTCTACAATTCTTGGGACTTATCAGTTACCGTGCCAGCATGCCTACCATTGGGGTAAAACGTGACCTGCTCTTCGAGGCCCTGGGAAAGAGCTACAGTGAGTTTGAGGAGTCCACGTGTAATCACGTTGTCGCCGAGCGGATGAGACTAATGTTTACCCCTTTGCATCAGCCGATGACGAGTTCCAGGATCTGTGCTTTGCCTTTGGCCTGGAGCTGGATGAAGTGGTAGGATACGCCATTGATCTGACCAAGACCGTGCTCTGATGCCTTTTGATTTGTCCTTGCAGACCACGGAGAAGCAGATGCTGACCAAGGAGCAGGGTGATGTGGCGGCGACAGCGGATGCCAGCGAGGAGATCATCTACCGAATAGACATCCCGGCCAACAGATACGATCTGCTGTGTCTGGAGGGCCTGGTCACGGGTCTGCTGGTGTTCCAGGGCAAGTGAGTGACCAATGGTATTCTCACTTGTGGACATGACATAAAGTTTTCAACAATTTCAGGCTCAAGCCACCCAAGTTTGAGTTCGTGGAGCCAGCTAAGCGTCAGGTGCTGAAGATTGACCCTTCGACGGCAAAGATCCGGCCGCACGCGGTGGCCGCCGTGCTTCGGAATGTCACCTTCACTAAGGCTTCGTACAACAGCTTCATCGATCTGCAGGACAAGCTGCACCAGAACATTGCCCGCAAGCGCACGCTGGTGGCCATTGGCACCCACGATCTCGACACCATCCAGGGTCCCTTCAGCTACGAGGCTTTGGCGCCGGAGCAGATCAAGTTCGTGCCGCTCAACCAGAAGCAGGAGATGAACGGCAGCCAGCTGATGGACTTCTATTCCACTCACGCCCAGCTGAAGCAATACTTGCCCATCATTCGAGACTCGCCGGTGTATCCGGTGATCTACGATGCCAACCGAGTGGTGCTCTCTCTGCCGCCGATCATCAACGGCGACCACTCCAAGATCTCGCTGCAGACCAAGAATGTGTTCATCGAGTGCACGGCCACGGATCTGACCAAGGCCAAGGTGGTGCTGGACACCATTGTGTGCCTGTTCTCCGAGCACTGCGCCCAGAAGTTCACCGTGGAGCCGTGCGATGTGGTGCAGCCGGATGGTAGCGTTGTTTCCTATCCCGAGTTGGCGGTGCGTGAGGAACGGATCTCGGTGAAGCGTGCCAATGCCTACATCGGTATCGAGGAGCCAGCGGCCAAGCTGGCCGATATGTTGACCCGCATGTACTTGGAGGCCAGGGTTGATGGCGGCGACTCGCTAGTGGTTAAAATTCCGCCCACGCGGCACGATGTCATCCACGCCTGTGACATCTACGAGGATGTGGCCATTGCCTACGGCTACAATAACATAAAGAAGTCCTTGCCGGCCTTCATGCAGATAGCCAAGCAGTTCCCCCTTAACAAGCTCACGGAACAGTTGCGTGAACAGGTGGCCCAGGCTGGATTCACGGAGGCCCTCACCTTCACGCTCTGCTCCCGCGATGACATTGCTCGCAAGCTAAACAAGCCCATCGAGGCCATTCCGGCCGTGCACATTGGCAATCCCAAGACGCTGGAGTTCCAGGTGGTGCGCACAACCCTGTTGCCTGGCCTTCTCAAGACCATAGTGGCCAATCGCAAGATGCCGCTGCCGCTGAAGCTCTTCGAGATCAGCGATGTGGTAATAGCGGATGAGAGCACAGAAGTTGGGGCCCGCAATGAGCGACGAGTATGTGCGGTGAACTGCAACAAGACGGCTGGCTTCGAGGTGGTCCATGGACTCCTAGATCGCGTGATGCAGTTGCTATCGGTGCCCTGGAAAACGGGCAGCGTGACCAAGGGCTATTACCTCCAGGCAGCTGAGGGTGAGTTCAAAAACGAGGGGTTTATCGGTAGCACGTGCATTTGGTTATTCTATTATCCTTGCAGATCCCAGCTATTTCCCCGGTCGCTGCGCCAATGTGATGTACGACAACGTGGCCATCGGCAAGATTGGCGTCCTGCATCCCACCGTGCTGCAGGCCTTTGAGCTGACCACGCCCTGTTCGGTGGTGGAGTTCACAATCGAGCCCTTTGTCTGAGATAAAAAATCGATCAAAGAAATGTTCAACATTTTTCAAGAGTTCACAAATAAATTATCACAAATCTATGTAAACTATAAAGACAATTTGTTTTAGGCTAATATAAACTGGAAACTAAAAAAAAATTAAAAAAAAAACAAGAAAGAAAGCTAACTTTGGCCAGCCAAAGTTTGTATACCCTTGCAGGTAACAATTAAAATATATCATAACTAAGCCAAAAATGCATTAATTTCGATTCGGAAAGCAGTTTTGTGTTAGTTTTTATTAATTTAAAAAAACTGCATACCAAATTTAAAATTTTAAGAAATCAACATTTTTGGCCATTTTTGCAAATTTTAATGATGTAACCCCTTATAAAATTTCGCAAAAATGGCAAAAAATCGATTTCTTCCGGACATGTCTAGAAAGATTCGCATGTTAATGCTGATCAAGAATATATATGGTTTATGGGGTCGGAAATGATTCCTTGACTTAGAAAAATATTATTTTGTATTATAAAATCTGATTTCCCGATCGTTCCTATGACAGCTATATGATATAGTCGTCCGATTTTCATAAAATTTTTACCAAAATTCTGGAATAATATAAAATGGCTATATCTAAAAAATGATGTAAAAACATTGAAAAACAGCCAAGATATAATTTTTTTTCTAAAAATTTATCGAACATTTGTATGGCAGCTATATGATATAGTCGTCCGATCCGGCCCGTTCCGACATATATAGCAGTAAGAGTATATAGAAGACTATATGCAAAGTTTCATTCAGTTTGCGTAGAAACGGACAGATGGACAGACGGACATGGCTAGATCGACTCGGCTGTTGATGCTGATCAAGAATATATGTACTTTATAGGGTCGGAAAGGTCTCCTTCACTGCGTTGCAAACTTCTGACTGAAATTATAATACCCTGCAAGGGTATAAAAATCTGGGAAAATATCTATACAGCTAAATAGGTTACATTTTGTCCAATTTAAAATTTTAAATATTTTAATTGTAGAATTGTGTAATTTATTATTTAGTATCCCTAAACATGTTTTATAGAGCTAGGAATGATTTTTCTAAACAAATTTTTTAATTAAAAAAAAATTAAGAAAAACAGAGCTTACAAAGTCTAAACTTCTGTCATTTTTCTTCTATGTGAACAAAAGTTAAAAAACTTTAAAAAAGCTAAAAACCATTTGCATAAAAAAATTGAATAAAGTCACCCAAAATGATAAGATATAGCCGATGTGTAAGAGAAATATTTAAGCGTAATCTCCCAAAATTATAGAAATATAAGGGATAAATATCCATTTAAAGAATTCGAATAGACCCTCTTCTTAAAGGGTATTATGATTTTAGTCAGTGGAGCAGACCTTGCCGATAGTTATTCTCGATCAGCATCAACAGGCGAGTATTTCTAGACAAAAGAAATAAATATATATTTATTTTTTTCAAATTTGATCCTATGGCAAAATGAAAGGGTATACAAATTTCGGCTTCCCGAAGTTAGTATCCTTTCTTGTTATTATTACTTATAGTAAATAAAAACTAGTTTGAACCCTCCATAAACACAAAAAGGATGTTTTTTTATTTTTTATTTTATGCTGTTTAATGTTCTCTTTTATATTTTTCCTTCAATACAATAATAATAATTATAAGAGTAATAATAATCCGTAGTATACTCATATAGTATGTGTGTGTATTTAATATATGTAGTTTTTTATTTTTCTTTGCATTCTTTTTCTTTTTTTTGCTGTTGTGTTTTCATACTTTTCATATTTGAAGTATATATTTTATATTAAATATTTAAATTAATAAATCTATGTGTGTGAATTCTCAATTTCTTTCGCTTGAAAAAAATTCTACATTTATTCAGTATGCTTCTGCTTCTGCGTTTGCGTTTGCTGTTGCTTCTGCCTTTGCTTTCATGTCTCAATCAAGGATGATGGATGCATCATCTTATATAACGGCTGTGTTGTGTCCTCGCCTCAGCTCCTTTTCAGCTATTTCATCTTTTCGTTTGTCAACAAAAACGGTTGTGTTGTGTTGTGTTTTGTATTTTCGAGAATAATAAAGATCCTGTAGGGGGGGCTTGTGTGTGTTTCCTTGTTTTTTTTTTTTTGTGGTTTATATCTTTCCGTAATTTGCTTGCATGACATACATAACTTAAACGAAACAACTCCATTCTCATTATATTATTTGCTTGCAGCTAAAACATTGAAAAATAGAAAAAAAAAACGTAGTTTCATGCTCACTTAATTTTATATTATTTCGTATTTCCACTTTTATCGTTATCATTATCGTTCAAGGATATCTTGTGGGTGTGTAGATAGGGATCTTGCGTGGCTTGTGTGTGTGTCTATAACTTTCCTCCAAGCATTATGCATATTCTCAAGCATCATCGGATTTGTTTTTTCTCTAGAATTTTACAAAGCAATTGCCTTAGCCCTGACTAATCGATAATAGGTCGATCGGAGGCAAGCAGCAGTGTGCATAGAGTGTGTCTTTACATATCTTCGTTAAGTTTTGTTTCGTTTAGTTTAGCTTCGACGAAATAAAAATTTGTGTATGTTTTTTTATATGCTATTCGCTAGGTATATATGTAGGTATATATATATATATTTATGTATGTACGTCTATGAGCAGTGTCGGAAAAGCGTCAAAGAGACGGCCAACAAGCGCCGCCTGCCGCCGTCGTCATCTTCATATCTCGTTTAGTTCTCGTAAATGGAATATTAAAATGTCTAATCTGTTGTTGTTTTTGGTTGGTATATCAGTTGATTTCGATATTTAAGCAATTTCAATTTCTACTAGCTACGTTTTTGGGACTTGGGGCAAGAGGAGGATGAGGATGACCGCCTTTGGCTCGGCGGCTCCTCCTCCTCCCATGTCGATCCTTTCCGGGCTTTCCTTCGTTTCGTTCTTGTCTGGTTTGTATCATTCGCATTCGCACTCGAAGTAATGATAATTAAGTAATTTCTGGTCATATTTTCTAGTCTCCGGCTTCCTGCTTTTCGTGAAGTGATAAGGGGATAGAAAAGTGTGCGCCTAAGATGTACAATTTGGACATTCATTTGCTTGCCATTTTATTAATGTTATTAAATATATATGCATATAGATGTAATTATGGATAATTGTTTTTGAATTAAATGTTTCTCTGTGTGTACCTTCTTAGCTGGCGCTAAACATTTCACTTTAATGTTTCATTCATAAGACTGACTTTAAACTTAAAAGTAAATGTATTTGTGTGTTTTGTGGGAGTGTAGAAGTGTGCGTGTGTGTGGATCGTGCATCACACACACACACCAAACAGAAACTTTAAACAATAACTTCACTTTACGCTCTTGCTTCAAAAATTATTCAATACATTTTAAAAATAAATAATATATATTGCGAACATTTTTTTTAGTTGCGCTTTTCGCATTTTCCGTTTGCTTTTCTCTGTTCTGTTCTGGTATTGGGGGGATGGGGGGCAGGCACCTGTGGATCCAACCCAAGCACCAAACGAAGATGAATGGATTATCCTCGTTAGGACTCAATGGCATTGGCAGGTTTAATTTGGAAGAGTGGCAAGTGGGAAGTGAGGAAGAAGCCGAGAGTGAGAGTTCGAATTGAAAACGAAAGAATTCAACAATCTTTCCCTTTTTACATGGTTCAAACCAAGTTAGTACTACTGCTGCTGCTGCTGCTGCTGCTGCTGCTGCTGCTGCTGTTACTGTTGCTGGGTACTGTGGCTGGTAACTCGGAAGACCCCTCTGGTCTGCTCGATTCAGTTGTTGTTCGAATGGCAGGCCTAGAAGAGGTCTTCGCTTAGAATGTCGCTGGGCGGACATCAGTTGGACCAATTGGTGGTGTAGTTGGTCCAAGGCATCTAGGGAATATATTATTATTATTTCTCGTGATTTAAGGAAACAATCCCGTTAGCCTTACGTGTTTGTCGTGGTGATCCCACACCTCCATCTTGTCCGGCATGTGTGCAGAGATATCAGCTGCGCCAGGGGCTCCCACGAAATGCTGAAAGCCGTACGAGGGCATCAGGTTAACGTGCTGCTGCTGCTGCTGTTGGCTCATATTTGGCGGCGCCTGCATGTTGTGGTAGTCCATGGGCATCTGTAAGGTAAGGACACAATAAGAAGCCATCTCCTAGAGAGTTGAAAGATATTGGGAACTCACATTCATTTGCTCATGCTGCTGCTGCTGCGGATATGGCCCGTTGTTGTAGGGCCTGTACTGCTGCTGCTGCTGTTTCAGCCAGTTGAGCGGCTGCTGCTGCGACTGCGGTGGAGGCGGTGGCTGCTGTTGCAAACCTGGCGGCTGGGCCTTCGGCTCGTGAGCCCATGGTGGCAGGACGGTCGACAGTGCGTCGTCCATGCTCAGGGCCGAGGCGGCCACGTTGAAGTTGTTGAACTTCCAGGAGGCAGCACGTTCCGTGCCAATGGGGCGCGGCATCTTGCGGATGTCGTCATGGTTGGGCGACATGGCAGATGGTGAGCCCAGGCCCGCCATTCCGCCAGCTCCGTTCTCCAGATGCAGCATATCCCTGCCCGAGTACGAGGGATATTCCAATGCACCTCCATACCAGCGCTGCCCGCTGCCTGCACCTCCTGGCTGCCTAGCACCAGCACCCGGTGGCTGTCGCCCCTGGTTGCCGCCGCCGCCTCCAAACATATTCGATGGCGGCGCTCCACCCTGCGGTGGTGGCGGCTGCTTGTTGCCCTGGGCAAAGACCGAGGCGCGCGGATTCAAGCGAAGCATGTTGTTGCCATCGACAATGTACGGCGAGGACGACGGATCCATGGGATAGTTGAGCTGCGGTTGCGGCTGTTGCTGCTGTTGCTGCTGCTGGGAGGCGCCTACCTTGTCATAGATCAGACGCTGTAGATTCTGCTGCTGGCGATCGATCATGGCGGCGGCGGCTGCTGCTGCTGCGGCGGCAGCCACATTACCTCCGCTGGCCGGATTGGAACCGATCGCTCCGTATGTTGGTGGTCCTCCTGCCTCCGAGGCGGACATCGGCATTGGAACATGCCTCTGAATGGGTGCCGTGGCCGTTGGCGGCTTAATAACACCCGGTGAGTGGGCGGGGGCAGTCTCTCCCAGACCACTCTGGGTACCGTTGATAGAGGCCTGGGGGGCAACTCCTGAGGCATTCACCTCGTTGTTTGCCACCAATGGTGATCTGGCCGGCGGTGCAGGCGCTCCACCGCCACTACTGGTTATAATATTCAGGGCCTGCTGGACACTCTGTTGGCTGGATGGCGGTTGCTGCTGCAGTTGCTGCTGCTGCTGCTGTTGTTGCTGTTGCTGGATCACATTGCCCACGGGTGGCGAGGTGGAGTGATTCGACGAAGCCTTGGAACTGCCCACGGGCGAACTAAGGATGTTGCGATTGTATCCTGGTGCCTTAGAGGCATCCGCCTGCGGCAGAATATCGCCAACAGGTCCAGCACCTCCGCCTCCAACGCCTGGATCTCCGAGCTTGCCCCACTGCGATTGCTGGTAGTCACTGAACAGGGAATAGGCGCTCGACAGCTTGGCCGCCAACTGGGCACTGAAGCTATCGCTGGCAGTGTTGGCTGCACTGGCCGCCATCAAGTCGTTGAGAATATTCGTGTTGATCACCAGATTCTGCTGAGTCTGTGCTTGCTGCTGTTGTTGGTGTGCCTGTTGCTGCTGCTGTATTGGCTGCTGCTGCGACTGCTGTTGTTGGTGCTGTAACTGTTGCTGTTGCAGCTGCTGTTGAGTCTGCTGCTGCTGTTGTGCCTGTTGCTGCTGCTGCTGCTGTGCTTGGGTGGGTGATCCCACTCGCTTGCTGGGCGGAGCAATAGGCTTCACGTTGCTATTAGTTGTCACTGATGCCGCGGCAGCGGCTGCATTCACGGCGGCCACATCCGCCGCATTGAAGGTGCCAATTGGTCCAGCCAATATGTTATTGCCACCGCTGCCCAGTTGGGCAACGTGACCAGCTACCGCTGTTGAGGCGCCTCCTTGGCCAGGCCCAGCAGAGACTGGTTTGCCTCTGCCGAAGGGAGCCACCACGCCGCTGCTCCGTCCGCCAGCCGAGGTAATTATAGCAGCGGCAGCTCCTCCAGCACCCTCAGCCTTTTTGGGCGAAGATGTGGCCGTGACCGCTGCAGCCTTGGCAAAGTTCTGTACTCCTCCGGTAGTCCCTGTCGAGGACTTTACTTGAGCCGAGTTGGTAATCTTCTGGGCTGTCGTTCCGGATTTGGACGAGCCCTCAGAGCCCTTGCTGCTTCCCTTGGACACGCCATTCGAGGAGGTGGGGCCACCAGCATTTCGTCCAGACTGCTGCTGCTGCTGGCTGAGATAACCGCCACGGCCATTCTGTCCGCGGGAGGAACCTGATGAGGCACTCGCCGACGACGCCGAACCCGACGACTTGGAGCTGCTGCCATTGGACTTGCCAGAACCCGAGCTACGTCCACTGGAACCCTTCGCAGGCTGTGCGTGCAGGGGCTGCTGCTGCTGCTGCTGTTTGTGCGCATTGCTGTAGGCTGCTGCCGCTGTCGTGGAACTGGCCGACGAACTGGACGATGTGGAGGTGGTGGATGCCGCCGATGAGAAGTTGTTTACGTTTACGCCAGCAGCGGTACGATTATCCCAGGTGCCAACGGCCATGGGGGCACTTGCTGCGTTGCTGGCATTGGCGGTCTGCTTGATGCTGCTGTTAATCCTGGGCAGCATCTGCAGTATGTCCACATCCGGATCCTTGATGAGCGCCAGTATGAGCATATGAGCCTGCTTGGTGGCATCGGTCAAACCCTTGATCGTGATGCATCGCTCAGACTGGTTCTTGCCCTGCTTCTCCACCTCAATGTGGGCACCGGTGGTGGCTCGAATGGCGTTAATGTTGCTTCCACCGCGTCCAATCACACGGGAGATGGCGTTCACCGGCACCTGAACCTTCTTGCACGTCATCTCGGGTGCCGAGGAAGACGCTGACGAAGCACCAGTGCCTCCGCTCGAGTTGGAGCTGTTGCCGGCGCTGTTGTTGTTGGCCAGGTGATGGTGGTGATGCGGATGATGGTGCTGCTGCAGGCTGGTTGCCGAACTGACACTGGCTGTGGCAGGCACTGGAGCACCACTGGATCCACCTCCCACCGCCGCAGTGGTCTGCTGGGTGCTGCTCTTACGCACCACCTCCTTCCATCCATCAACTTCGCTGCGTTTAGCCGGATTCAGGCTGACGTTGTTGCTGCTGCTGATGGATTGCGCCACTGCTGGTTTGGCCACTTCCTTGCGGGTGGTGATAGTTGTGGCGGTGGCACTGCCTATGTTACTGGCAGAATCGCTACTCTGCAGTTTGCTGGAGTTACTGGGTTGAGTCGGTTTGGCTGCCGGCAAGGCCACCTCTTTGGGCGCTTGGTTCTCCTTCTCGCGCTTGTTGCTGCTGGTCGAACTGGTGGTCTTCTCCTCCTTCTTTTTCACTGAGGACGTCTCTTCCTTCTTGACCTCCAGTTGGCGCTTTAAGGGACCCGAGGCCAGCGCCACCGTTTGTGTGGGAGGCGACGACGCCTTGACGACACTTTCGACAGCCGCGGTTGGTTGCTTCTTCACAGAGATGCCCTTGGTGACGTTGGTGGTGGTGGTTGAAGCGGGTGAGACGACCGGAGGAGTGGGTATAGAGGCTGGTTCCACAGCTGCCACCGCCTTATTCTTCTGCTGCTGCTTCTTGCTCTTCTTTCCCTGGCCAGAGTTGGCGGAGGATTCCAGAGTTTGAGCAGCACTCAAGCGGGCAGCTCCCTTAGTGTCTCCGCTGGAGCAAGATCCCTGATCGATGCCAGAGTCACCCTCCGCCGGCGGACCAACCTCCTCGTCCTCGTCGTCCTTATCGGAATCATCGTCCTTGTCACTGGCATCGTCATCATCGCCCTGCTGGTCATCTCCATCGGCTCCACTGTGACCGCTGCCCTGCTGCTGGCGTCGCTTCTCCTCTTTCTTTTCCATCTTCTTCTTCTTCTTCCGCTCACGACGTCTGGCAGCGGCCGCCTTGCGGCTCTCCTCGCGTGTCCGCTCCAGATCCAGCTCTTCAAGCAGAATGGATGCATTCTTGTTGGCCTTGACGGCCTGTGCCTCCTTGGCGCTGCGCAGAATCTTCATGCAATCGTAGCACTTGTCAATTAACTCCTTGTCACTGATGGTGCCAATGAAGCGGATCATCTCCTGGTCGGAGGGGAACTGGGACACATACTGAACCATCCACTTGACAATCTTGGTGTGACCCTTGCGGAAGGCGGCCATCAGGCAGGAGACGCGCCGATTGTCCTGCGAGTCAATGTCAGCATTGTGGTCGTACAAGAGTTCTACGACACTCAGGTGGCCCCCGTGGGCGGCCAGCCAGAGCGGCGAGTTACCCTTCTTATTTTTTACCTCTACACTGGCCCCCCGCGACAGCAGGAGCTCCACAAACTTCTGGTGGCCCTTGTCGGCGGCAATGGTCAGCGCCGTGTCCCTGGATGTGGGCACTGGAGCGGCATTCACATCCGCCCCCTTGTCCAGCAGGACGCGACCCACCTCGATGTATCCGCCGGAGGCGGCCTCCATTAGCGGTGTGAGGCCAGTCTTTGCTCGGTGCTCGACATTGGCCCGCCGGTCGAGGAGCAGACTAACGACCTCATGCCTGCCCTGGAAGCAGGCCAAAGTGAGCGCAGTGTTGCGATTCGTCTCGATTTGAGCGTTGATGTCGGACCCCTGATCCAGAAGCAACTTCACCGCCGGCGTATGGCCATTCATGGCGGCTAGCATGAGGGGAGAGATGCCCAGCTTGCTGCCCGTTCGGGAATTGATCTCAGCTCCATGGCTTAACAGCAGCTTGATGATGTTCACATAGCCGCCACTGGCCGCCAAACTCAATGGTGTATAGTCTGACACATTGCGGTGCTCCTTGTTGGCACCGACGCTGAGCAGGAGCTCGACCACCTCGTAGCGGCCGCCTGAGCAGGCCAACGACAGTGGCGTGTCCTTGGTGCGCTCGGATTGGGCCTCCAGCTCGGCACTGTGCTTGAGCAGAATGTCCACGACCTTGTCATGTCCAGCTGTGGCCGCCAGTATCAGCGGTGTGAATCCCTTCTTGTCCCGGTGCTCGATATTCGCTCCCCGACTGATGAGCAGCTCAACGAGCTCCTCGTGCCCGCCGGCACAGGCCAGTGTTAAGGCTGTGTCGTGGTTCGACTCGGTCTCGGAATCGATCTCAATCGTCTTGTCCACGCAGGCGGGGGTGGCCACGGTCAGCTGGTTCTGCAGTTGCGCCTGCTGCTGGGCCGTTGCTGCCACCTGGGGCTGTTGATGCTGATTCGTATTCACTGTGAGGGGCAGAGTATATATATATATATTTTAAAGGTGCCTCTTCATCAGGGTCCTTATCCTTACCTTGACTGCCGGCTGGTGTTTGCCGGAATCCAGAGCATCGGCGATCCTTGCGCGACTGCTTGTCAATTGCCTTTTTGGCAATGCCGCCAGGCATTGATTTGGTGGTGGCACTCACTCCACTGCTGGGCGTGGGTGTGGGCGTGCCCATTGGCCAAATCGAGAGCTCGTTCTGCTGCTGTCCCTGCGGCTGCTGCTGCAGCTGCTGTTGCTGCTGCTGTGGAGGCTGCAGGGCGAACTGGGTATACTGTCCCACTGCTGCGGGCTGCGGCACAACCACGGAGGCAGGATGCGTCTGTGTGGCCACCTGGTGGAATAAGAACAAAGATTGCACATGACATAAACAGGGTAAAGGCAGGCAGCTTCAAAAATCTTACCTGATGCTGGACACAGGTGGGCGCCTGCATGAGCGGCGGCGGATGTAGCAGCAGCTGTTCCTGCAGGTTAAAGTGCTTTTGCTTAAGAGGCAATTGCGCTCCGGCCGAAGCCTGTCCGCTACTACGCTGAAGCAGCAGCTCCTGGGCCACCTGCTCCAACTCGTTCTGGGTGGGCGCACGCTGGCCACCGGCGGTTCGATGATGCTGGAAAAGGTGGGCCTGCTCGGCGTGCAAAATTTGCTGCTGCTGCTGTTGCTCAGTGAGAGGCTCTCCCAAGGCCTGTTGTTGCTGGGACATGTTGGGCGGCAGCTGGAAAAGCAACTGGACTGGCGGCGCATTCTTGTCGCCGCTTTCCACGTTGTACACAAAGTTGGTGGCAGGCGGCTGCTGCTGCTGGTGTTGGTGTGCAGCCACAGCCTTAATGATTCGCGCATTGGAGTACTGTTGCATCTGCTGCTTCAGCTCTGGATCGTTCTCCAAGGCGAGCTGTTGCTGGTGGAAATCGGCCGCTGGATGATGCAGCTGCAGCTGCTGCTGCTGCTGATCGTCCGTGGTGGTGGTGAAGGGCAGTAACGAAAGCGGAGCCTGTTGATGTTGCTAAAATATGCCAAGACGTAAGTATAGAATAATTCAATATATTGGTAATGACAGAACCCACCTGCAGGTGCATTTCATCCGCCTCGAGGAGTCGCTGGTCAAGTGGGATGTTTTGCCGCATGGGATAGTCCAGCAGGACGAGATTCGCCTGTTGCTGCTGTGCATCTGGCGGCACTTCTCCTGGCGATCTGACCACACCTACCAACTGCTCCTGGCCGGGCCACTTGGCCGATGATGATTGCGCCGCCGCTGCCCAGCTGCCGGCAAACCTACCCTTGCACATCTGGTTAAGGCTAAACTCGGCCAGCTCGGGGTAGTTAAGGCTGCTTGCCAGCTCCTTTTGAAAAGCATTTTTGAAGTTACAATTTATTTAAAAAAAAAAATGTATATAAATATTATAAGCACCTGGAATATGTCCTCCATTTCGCCATCGTTGGCAAAGTGCTCCAAGCCGGGATATAGCTCGCTGGGTCCAGCGCTGCCATCATCCTCAACTGCAATAAAAGAGTAGAGTATTTGGTATGAAAAGCTTAGTAATCTCTCTGCAAAACCTACCGCATTGCTGCTGCTGATCACTACCGTCCACTTGATGCTGGAGCTGCTGCTTCTGGTGAACAACCGCAGCTGCCTTGGCATGCGCTGCTGCTGCTGTGGCAGCTGCCAGCTGTTGCTGGAGAACGCTGTTCAAAGCCGCATTGCTTGTGGCCGCCGCCTTGAGATTGCTTATCTGGGGCAAAACGTGGACCAGCTCCGAGTTGGTGAGGTCGGGCGGGAAGTCGCACAAGGTCTGCGAGGTAAGGATCAAGTTCTCCAATCGTGTGGCCATCTTGCGCTGCTTGGTAGGCAGTGAACTGCTGCTAGAGCTGTTCTTTGAGTTGTTATTATTGTTGTTGTTATTATTGGCGGCACCCTGATCATTGACGGGCACATCCAAAAAGAACTCATCATCCTCATCATCGTCCTCATCCTCCTCTCCCTCGGCAGCGCCTTCATCTTCATCAATGTAATCCACCTCTCCCTCATTGTCCACATCAGCATCATCTTCGTCATAGGTAAGCTTATCGATGTTATCTCCGCTGTTGGTATCCTGCTCGTCATCCTCCTCCTCCTCGTCTTCTTCGTCATCGTCGTCGTCTTCTTCCTCTTCCAGAATGATGCCATCCTCACGGAGAGCCGCAGCCAAAGCAATGGGTTCGGGCGGCAAAGTATTCTCATCACCCTCTGCCCCATCGGCACCAGCCCCTTCAATGTCCTCATCGCTCTCAATATCTGTGCTTATCTCATCCGCATCCTTATTGGCTGCTGCCACAGCAGCGGCCGCTGCTGCCGCGGAACAGAGCGTAGCTAGATTTTTCATCTCGGCCCGTGGCTCCGTGCCTAGGCGATGATCATCGCTTTCAGTTGGCGACATGGTGGTCTCCTCCATTTCCGGCGGCGTCTCTGTGGGCGACTTGGGCTGATCGCCAAAGAAATTATGCACTCCAACCATATGCCAACCGTCATCGAAAAAGTTCAACTTTGGCTTCATGGTTGGGTCCTTCCTGCCTCCTCGCGACCCATTAACCGCAGTCTCTAGCATGCCGCGGAAATCCTCCATGGCCGTCTTGCGCTGCAGGGCCACATCCAAGGATTCCTGCTGCTGTTGGTCAGCGAAATTGCCGCTGCCTGTGGGAGAAGCGAGGGGCGAGGCCGGTGAATTGGAGTAGGCCACGACATTAGACGAAGAAGTCGCTGATGCTGCTGCTGCTGCCGCCGCGGCGGCTGCTGCATTGTCCAAAGCCACACGTTGATGATGCAATTGCAGATGTTGTTGCAATTGCAAATGTGTCTGCTGCATTTGCTGTGTGAAATAAGGAGAAGATATGTCGCGTGTGTCACTTGGTAGTTGGAATCTACTCACGAAGTTGTTGTAAATGGAGACCATCTGGTTCTGCTGCAGATTCGGTAACACCTGATGGGCATGCTGGGCTGCAGCTGCTGCTGCCGCTGCCGCCGCTGCTGCTGCTGCGGCTGCCTGCTTGCGATTGCTCTTGTTGGTGGCCTTGACCTTGGGCCTGTCGCTAATGGCTGTGCTCTGAAGAACTTCCGAGGAGTGTGTAATGACGGCTCCGCCACAGGTTCGCTGCAAACATGTAAAGTGGGTCATGAAAATGTATCTTCTGGTTGAAAATGCAAGGCTAACTTACCTGGCTATTGTCCAGCGCTGTGGCTTCGGCTTCTACTGGAATATAATAATCGGACATAAACTAAACTGATACCCAAAACAGGGGATTTGGGCTTACCTTTCAAGGCTGGCTCGTTGGGGTCTATGCCACTGCTGCTCGTGGTGGCATCCGGCGGCAGTTCGCCCTTCTTTACCTCAGGCATAAAGCCGCGACGTCGCTGCAGCCGTGGATCCTCTCCAGCGCAGGCGAACTGGGGAGATTTTCCATCCTCACCCAGTGGCTGTGAACGCACCTGCTCAGTGTGCTGTTGCTGATCGAGCGGGCAGTCGATGAACTCCACCACGTCGCCAGACTTCAACACACGATTCCTATTCGGCAGGATGCCCTTCAGCTTGGCCTGACCTTGAGGCAGTGGCTGCTGCTGCTGTTGCATTACAGGCTGTTGGCAAACTGTGTGGAAGAGCACTGGCGGAGCTGGCGGTGCCTTCTGCGGCGGCTGCAAAGAGTTGATGTGCTCCATGTCCAGGTCAAAGTGCTTGCACGGCACCAGCGGTGGCTGCTGCTGCTGCTGTTGCTGCTCAAAGCCCGGCTGCAGGTGGAATAGTCGCGACTTGGCAATAAGACCCTCCTGCTGCTGGGCGCCCAGGGTGGTCAGATCAATGCCTCCCACTTCTCCGTACTCCTCCATGCCAGCTTCACTCCCGGTGGTGCTGGCACCTGCTCCGGCACCGCCCATACCCGACGATGTTGCCGTCAACTGCAGCTCGCCGGCGTCCAAAAAGTCCCCAGTGCCCAGGGCCACGATGTTCGTGGATACATTGCCGGTACTGCTGAACTGCTGCTGGTGGAACAGTTGCTGGTTAGAGGCTCGCGCCGCCTCAGATAGCTCATGCAATCCAGGGGGAGCGTTGAGCTGCTGCAACTGATGTTGCAGCTGCTGCTGGAGGATCTTCTGTTGCTGCAGGCGCATCTGATTGGACCCAGCTGCGGCAGCGGCGGCGGCTGCAGCTGCGGCGGCAGCGGCCGCTTGTTGGTTGGCATTCGCAGCCGCTGCCATATCAGCCGTTTGCGAAATGTTGGGATAGCTGAATAGGAGCTCAACGACTCTCGTATGCCCACCTTTGGAGGCCTCGATTAGCATGGTGCTGTTGTCCTTCAACTTGTGGAACGGATCGGCGTTGTTCTTCAGTAGCAGTTCTACCACAGACTGATGACCACCGGCGCAGGCTAGCGACAGGGCAGTGTGGTCATTACTGGTCGTCTGCTTATTGACGTTGGCGCCCTTCTGAATGAGGAACTTGACGGTGCACAGGTGTCCGGCGCGACAGGCCTTCATCAGTGGCGTTCGTCCGCCTTCGGATTCATGCTCCAGCTCGGCTGCATAGGATAGGAGAACGCCAGCCGCATCCGTATGGCCGTTTTCGCAGGCATGCGTCAGGGCCGTATCTCCTGTCTGCGTCTCGGCATGAACATTGGCCTTGTTCTTGAGCAGGAAGCGTACCAGGTCAGTGTGTCCCTCCTGTGAGGCCTCCATGAGAGGCGTGGAGGCGCCCAGTTCCAGATTGGCGCCTTCCTTGATTAGAAAGGCAGCCACTTCACTAAACCCGCCGCAGCAGGCCAACGTGAGGGCCGTCTCCTGCGTTTCCTCCGTGGTAGCATTGATGTTCGCCCCCTTCCTAAGCAGCAGCGCCACCATCTCCTCGTGGCCCTCGCGCGCAGCCTCCATTAGCGGAGTGTAGCCTTCATCGTTCACCTCCTCAATATTGGCGCCGCGTTCAATCAGCAGGGTGGCCAATTCGACGTGCCCACCGCAGGCGGCTAGCGTTAGCGGTGACTCGAACGAGTCCGTCGGCATATTCACCTGGGCACCCGAGTCCAGCAGCAGCCGCGCCACCTCAACGTGACCATCCATTGAGGCTTCCATTAGGGCGGTATGCATTTCGTCGGTCTTGTGCTCCTGATCGGCACCAGCCTGTAGCAGGAATCGGACCATGTCCAGGTGACCCTTGTAGCAGGCCAGAGTAAGGGCGCTCTCCTTAAACTCGTTCGAGTGGGTGTTGATGCCGGCTCCATGTTCCAGCAGCACCTAATAAAAAAAAAGCAAAGAATGTAATTACCAAATTAGTACAGAAATGACATGGTAAACTTGGAAATGCGATGCACGGAATCAGATAAGATCAAACTAAATCACAGAGCGCTGGCATCTTGTCCAGACCAATCCGTAACTCGATTCAGGTCGCGGGTTAGAGCCAGCAGCATTCTCAAATCTCGGATTATAATCATTTTTTTTTTTTTAATCTTTATCGGTTCCCTCAATAATACAAATTTACTTACCTTTGCCACTTCAACATGGCCGGCGGAGGCGGCCTCCATCAGGGGCGTGTGTCCGTTTTCGTTCTGCTCCTCAACGTTGGCGCCGTGCTTGAGTAAAACCTTGACCACATCTACCTGACCGCCGGCACAGGCGAACATGAGCGGGGTATTACCGGTGGCGCAATGAGCATTTACATCGGCATGGTGGCTCAGCAACAGCTTCACAATGTCCAAATGCCCCGCGGAGGCTGCCTCCATAAGCGGCGTAGAGTCCTTTTGCCCCTTGTCCTCCACCTGGGCGGCAGACATGGCCAGCAGAACCTGTGTGGGTGAATAACGAGTGATTCGTGTTTAAGTAACTCCTATCTGTGTGTGTGGGGGAGTTGCAAATGAGAAATTTATCTAAATTGTTGTCTAGTTTTCTTGATCTTTCTCTCTGCGGCTGCTACCACGGTGGTATTTATCGATAAGCCGACGCCAGAAGGGAGTGCGGAGGTGGTGGCGTTGCCACACCGGCGAAAAAACGCACCTTTCGATACGATGGAGAGGCGTCCGCAAAGGCTGGCAACCATTGCGCTCAGCTGTTCATACAAAAATTTCACGTGCCAAGAATCTTAAAAATTCGTGTTTATTTTTACACTAAAAAAAAAGCTTCAACTTGAAGATGCAAGTTTTTTTTCCTTTAGTATAACGTATTCTATTTGAAGTAATGAGAAATTTTTTAATTTGGCACAAAATATGAATAAAGAAATTGAATATAAAGCTGAAAGCTTTTCCTCCCAGATAAACCTTACAGAATGTGGATTTCCGGTTGAATGAAACATACCTGAGCCAGCTCGTAGTAGCCCGCCGAGCAGGCCATCGAGAGCAGAGATTCGCCATCGTCCGTGGAAGCAGCGGCATCATTAAGGTTAACATTGCCCTTGCAGAGCAGCCGCTTCACCGTATTGACGTCGTTATCCGTGCAGGCGGCCACCAGGGATCGGGAGAAGCCACTGCTGCTAAAAATAATAGACGATGGGTAAGCTCTGGAAAAACTGGAATTTAGAAGCTCGAGTGAAAGACTCACTTCTTGTCGCGCGGGCTGCTGGCACAACGCATCTTGGTCAGCGCCTGCTTGGTCTCATCAATGGCATGGGTGGCGTGACGCAGGACGGGTGCCTTCTCATTGGCCGCGGCCTCCAGCAGGGCGGTGAGATTACTCGATCGCTTGTTGTTGGCGTCTAACAAAAAGGGCGCATCTTCCTCCTCGTCCTCGTCGTCAATCTCCTCATCGTCCGCATCGTTGTCCTGCAGCACATCTGGAGAAAGACAAACAGAAAAGGGGTTAAATAAGAGTTAAATAACAGCACAAACACAAGCAACTCACCTATCTCCTCCTCGTCCTCTTCGTCATCGCCATCAGACTCGTCCGAGTCCTCAGACTCCTCCTCCGTCTCATCCTCATCCTCGCGCACCTCGCCCTCGTGCGGGCAGCTATCGGGATCTGACTCGGGAATATCATCCTGCAAGAAAGAGGTGTACATTTTTGTTTGTTAGACTTATCTTGGCTAAAATTATGTATTTCTACGGACGAACGGGGGTGTGAGTATTAACATTTGTTGTTCTACAAATAAAAGCTGGAAGTTACAAATTAGAAAAGCTATATAGTTGATCAGTAGAGCACATTCTTGTTGTCTAAGGCCAGCAACAAAGTGGTGTGATTATGTGTGTCTCTTGGGATGTAAGTGGGCGAGGAGGAAGCGGAGTAGTAGTTGGGTTAAAAACCGATCAATCATTGTTGCGAGTTATTAGTTTGGACAGAAGCTTTAGGGTCTTTTGATTATTGGCTTCGGTAAATGTGGGCTCGTTTTTCTGGCGATGTGGGGTATGGGGAGCGGGGGTTATAACGCGAAACTGAAACTTACCAGGAGATCTGGCCTTAAACACAAGAATGCCAATAGGATCTACAAATAAAGAGAAACGAAAGAAACATACATAAATCATAAAAATTAACGCAAGAGCAGACAAAATTGAGAAGATTTCAAAGTTAAGAGAAAGCTGTTCCGGGACTATGCAAGGATTTACATCGACGAAGAACAGCTGCAAAAGGTCCATGCGGCAACGGGAACTCCTGGTCAGTGCTTTGGTCAATCTCAGTAAAAGTGTACGGACTAATTGCCAGGTGATGGTTATCATTGCCTGGTTTAAGTGACTCTTTGCACGTTTTCAAAAACCAAAATTTTAAAATGATATCGTATTTTGGGTAAATAAAACAACAGTAACAAATGTGACAACAAATGGCCGACGAGCACGACCGGCGGCCACAAAAAATAAAAATAAATTATACGGTAAAAATGACAAATTGAAATTAAAATGGCAATGCGGCAGAGTTGCCAGATAATCCACAAGCGAAGACAGGCCAAAAATTATAGTTATCGATAACAGGTGAAGAGTGGACGTGGAGGAGACCGAAAACTAGCAAACAAATAATTACATGGGGAATTTTCACTGAGCGATCGACCTACTGGTTTTCTGGGATGGTTTTTCTTCGTCTGTGTCGAATGAGCATCTATGTAAATGTTTTCCCTTACCCAGAATTTTCTTTGCAACAATTTTGACTTTTTGTTTTTTTTTTTTAATACATATTTATTTAAAAGACTTATGAGTCAGAACGTCAGTGCAGCTCGTACATCGATTTAAATACGGCACCACACACAAACTGCCCAAAAGGGGGAGAGCGGCCAGGTCTGCATGTGTGCATCTGTGCGTATGCGTGTGCTTACGCCCACGCCTTAAATTATTGAACCAAAAATAAAGATGCAAAAAGAAAAATTGCCGAAATACATTTCCACCACGAGGCCAAGTGCTGTCGCTTAACCTTTGATGAATGAACATAACATAAAAGAACATAACCAAGCAGATAAGCAGTGAGCAGCAACGGAACCGAAAAAAAGAAAAATCAAAGAACAGAAACAGAGGAGAAAATACAACAAAAATTCATCATGAACGAGTTCAACAACAGCAGCCCGTTCGTTTGTTCTCGTTGGCATTGCTGTGCAAGTATGTGTGTGTGGGTAAATTTGTAAAAAAAAAAAAGAAAGAAAATCAACCGTAAAATGTTTGCACGCCACTGCAAAATAATCTGCAAATTGTGTCTCCTGTCGAAAATTGGCAAAAGTTCGTTACACTCAACTTGCTTTATTTCGACGCTTATTTATATTATTGTTATTTCTGCTGGTTCTCTTTATTCGCTTCGCATACGTAGTTTTACTGCTGCTGCAGCAACAACAAAAGATAGCAGCTAGAAAGAAGCAGCAATAGCGGCTGCGACCAGAGTTGCCAGACAGCGAACGGACATCTTTGTCACGCTGCCCAAAAGAGAATTCGCGAACGCACCCGAAACGGATTACATACATATGTACAAGCACATATATGTATGTACATATGTACATATTGCAGGTAATTCCAACTAAACAAAAGAGTAGCAGGGTTGAGGTTGGGTCAATTACAATAATTTCGTCTATAATGGTAAGCCTGTGACGAAGCAATGACCTTTGCTTTTAATTGGACATTGACTAGCATAAAAGCTTTTTATTATTCGCATTTCTCATTTCTGTTTTGCGCATGTAGGCGTGTGCTAGACAAAGAAAAAAGTACTCTCACACATAGTCACAGCACCCAACAAGCAAACAGCTGATAAATCATTCACCAATACACCGAAGGAGCAAAGGGCCTCACTCACATACACTTCTAAAAACACGCGCAAAAGACAGCACAAGAGCGAACCGGAGAGAGCAACATAGAGATGAAAGTATCTCGCTGCAATAACACACAATATGTTTAACGATCAATTCGGTTCCGAGGTATTTCCCTGCCTTAAAAATGCCAGCACACCTGATATAATGGGAACCTGGAACCTGAATCTGTGCATCGGCAGGCGTGGATTTAGCTAGAATACAGTGTATTGCGGCGGCAGCTGATAACAAAACGCGTATATTTTGATGAAACCTTATCATGCGTTTTATTGTGGGCTGTGTGATTCAGTTACCTTTTCTTTTAATGATAATTTTACTTAATTGGGGGACATTTCTATTAAACCTGACTTTTGACCTAGAAGACAGTCGGAAAGGGATTGATCTGTTTGTACCAGAAACTTTTTCCTAGTGGACACATTTTTCTAGTTCTTTCTAGATTTCGAGTAACTAACCTATACAATCAGTTTAAATAAGCTTCAAACCTTTTTAATTAGTTATGGTTTTGAAAAACAATAAAATACTGAATGTAGATACTTAAATAGAAAACAATACATTTAAAATATATGTACATATATTCCAACTTGTTTAATTGGAATAGCTAGATACATATTTCAAAAAAAAAAGTACAAAGAGTATATACAAAAATCAGATTCATCACGATCAATATTCATACATCGAAGAAGCATAGCTAACTCAACCGAAGACCAAAAGGCGTAGAAAAAGAAGTTTTCTTTTTAGACGAGAAGCTGGGGCAGTTATTTAACAAAATAAACACATTTTGAGACAACTTGTTCGACTCTAATGAAGATGCAACCTGCTGAAATCTATACGAGGACCAAAAAGATATTCGTCAAGTCTACGTATAAGAATGGGGAGTGCTTGGATATTGGAGCCTGGGTGCAGAACACTCACCTCTGAGACAGACTCCTCCTCCGACTCTGACAAGTCGGTGGTGACAGGCTGGGGATAGAACTCCGTATCGGTGTCCGTGTCCGGCGTGATGATGTTCTGCAGCGCCGACGAAATGGCATTCACGATGCCCACTGATGACGACAGCGAGGAGGCGTTGGACGACATGGACGACGAGGCGGATCGATTGGAGGCGGACGCCGATGCGGCTGCGGCGGCGTCCTTAAGCTTTTGCTTGAGCACAGCCGCCGCATTGGCCACATCCACGGCGGGATTGAGGGACATGCCGCGGGCTCCACCGACAGCTCCCGCTCCACCAGTAGCAGCGCCAGCGTTGCTATCGACGGCAGCGGCGGCGGCGCCCATCAGCAAAGTGGTTGCGGCGAATTTTAAATGCGCCGAATCCTTGCTGGTCAAGTTGGGTGTATTGCCGGCTCCAGACGCAGCGGGTTGCTGCTGCTGCATGGCCACCTGCCGCTTAAGGGCGGCCACAGCTGCCCGTGTCTTCTTCGAGGAGGACGAGACGGAGGCGACAGTGGTTGCGGCAGCAATGGCGTTGCTAGAGCTCGGCGCCGGTGCAGGAGCAGGTGCGGTAGCGGGTGGAGGCGCGGGCGTTCCTGAGCTGGGCGCCGAGGCGACGGCAGCCCGGAACTTGGCAGCGCTGCCGGCGGCAGTGGTGGACACCGATGCAGGATTGGCAATGACCGTGGTTCCGCTGATGGTCCCACTCCCGCTTGCGCCGCTGGGGCTGCTGCTGCTGCTTGTGGGCGTGCCGCTGCAGACGCCGCTGGCGTTCGTTGTGGTTGTGGTGGTTGAGGTGGCCGTTGGCGGCGTGGGCGTGGCCGCCGCCTGGCTGCTGGTACCGGACATCTTGGCAGTGGCTGGGTGGTGGCTGTTACTGTTAACTTTCAATCTGCCGCTGAGAGGAGCTGCCAAGCTCGCGTTCGAGCTGGAGCTAGAGCTGCTGCTGCTGGTTGTAGTGGCTGCTGCTGCTCCCTGCTTCAGTGGCTCATTCTTGGCCGCTGGCACGAACTTCCGTTGGCCACTGGTGGCCTTAAGGATAGCGGCGGCTAACGGATGCCTGGCGGCGGCGGCAATTCGAGGTAAGTTGTGATTAAACTGTCTGTTGTTGGTTTTTTGATTGTTGTTGTTATTGGTGCTATTGGTATTGTTCTTGCCAGTGCTTGTTGTTGCTGCTTTTGTTGTATTGTTGTTGGTTGTTGATTTAGATGTTGCTTTGTTAATATAAGCCGTGGAACCCTGATTATTCAAGTCATCGCAATTATGGGATTTCGCATCATTATTCATTTTACTCTCTCTCGTCGGAGATTGTGTTTCTCGTATATTTTACTCTGAATTTGCGCGTCCTTTTATTGATTAAGTTTCGGAAAGCGTGTGAAAAACAGCATTTTATGAGTAAAAGATATACGTTAAAGGATAATCACTTCAATGAAAACTTGTTTTATTAAAGTGATTTTCCTTAATTTCTAAACATAAAAAAAAAACACGTCAACAAATAAGCGGAAAAGTAACGGTACTTGGTCTAGCTAAGTTTGTATTGATTTTTGATATTGTTAGGACTTGGATTATATATATGCAAGATATATATACGCGTATATAGGCGATGGTCGGAGACGCACAAACACACGTAAGTAAAGGCACCTCACACTCTCACATACACACACATGCACGAACTGAAACAGCGGAGTGGCAACGCCGAGCATTCTTTCACTTTACCATTGCACACTCGTTCGTTCGCATTTAATTCTCCCTTCCCATTCCCTTGCCCAGCATGCCCACTACCGACTGATTCACATTTTTACACAGAAAATTGTTCAGGTGCGAAACAAAACAACTGAAGATGCACACACGCTCAATGATAGCGGGAGGAAAATCACTTTTATTTTCGCTTTTATTTCGCCCCTCGTCTTTTATTTGCGGAGACAAGGCAATCGATGCGCAATTAGGACTTCGGAGACGGGGCAAGGCAACGTGCTTCACTATTTATATAATCGCAGGCGGCGACACCACCAAACGCCCGATCGATGGCTGCACTCGGCTCGATTAATAACTTTCGCACATATGCAATTGCCGTACTTTATTTATAAAACCATTCGAGCAGTTTCGACTTCGCCCGAACGAACGAAGAAAAAATCACTTTTCGACTTTGGCGTATGCCGTCGCTTGGTCGATAGCCTCATCTCGCTTGCGCACACGCGATGCCCCGACGCGGCCAGTCGGTCCGCTGTTGCCGTCTCATTCTCGCCCGCAAGCGAAGGTGGAAAATAGCAGAGCGACTGAGGGAAAATTTTTTGCCACTATTTCGAAGCGGATTTCCACCGATTGACCGCCGTCACAGGCCTGAAAACTACTGCACTGCGTGCCGCACACGCTCGCCAACAGTTTGGCTATACTTTCGCGTATTACCGTGTTGAATTTATAGCAAATTAATCAATTTTTCAGCAGTTAAATTCTCTGTCTATCGTTATCGTCAGAGTTTCGGATCGCCATATTATTCCCGGATGTTGGAGTGTTACCAAACCTTAAAATTCCAATTGTAGTGTTACCAGATGAAAGTTGGCTAGACCGTGTCAAATGTAGCAATTGGGTCGAATTCCGAATCGGTATGTAAAATCCAAACGATACTATCGATTACAGCCAAATTGTTCCCAGATGAAAATTTGCGTTAGCGGTTAAAAATCAAATGTAGCAATGGGGCCGATTAAACTGGCAGAACTAAAATGAGCCAGAAAGACATCGGTGTATACAAAATCAGAGTTACTAGACAAAAATTGGGCTACTATTTAATTTAATTTTAAAAAATCAACTGTAATGAGATGGACTGAATATTGAATTGAACCAGCAACGCCAAAAGAGTGATCTGGTTCCTTCGGCGGCTGCCATCTGGCGTGAAAATTCCATCTCTTATCGATAGCTGCAAAAACCTTAAATAAACCTTAAATAGATCCACCTCTGCTACAATATATATTTTAACCACATTTTAGGTTCTTTTTAAAATTAAGTCCACAAACCATTTTTCTGCTTTAGAGAGGCCCTAGAACACCGCATTAAAATTCATCATTGTGTCTTTAATTTCGTACGCAGAATTAATGTTTAGTTTAGGGACTTTTTCGAAATAATTTAACTTTTTAATATTTTGCTTACAACTAGAATTAAAGATTTCAAATTTAATTTGTTCAAAATATAAAATGGTTCAAGTCTTGTCTAGATTCGATTACATTGAGTTATTTTTTTAAATCTAACTATCGATAACGGTATGGGCCGATCAGGGCTTCAACTTTTTGGGATATTTTAGGGGGAAAGCCAAATTTGCATCTGGCAACCCGGCGTAGGATTTTCTTCCACTAACAAATTTACTACGTGGTCAACTTTGCCGACCAAGAACGAGAAATTCCAGCGATGCATACGGTTCTGACCCGCGGAAACGCCACCGTGGCGTACACGCTCAGTGTCCTGGCCTGCCTCACCTTCAGCTGCTTCCTGTCCACCGTGTTTCTGGACTACCGCACCGACGCCAACATCAACACTGTGCGGGTGCTGGTGAAGAATGTCCCCGACTACGGAGCCTCCCGCGAGAAGCACGACCTCGGCTACATCACCTTCGACCTGCAGACGAACCTCACCGGCATCTTCAACTGGAACGTTAAGCAGCTGTTCCTCTATTTGACCGCCGAGTACCAGACGCCGGCCAACCAGCTCAACCAAGTGGTGCTCTGGGACAAGATCATACTGCGCGGCGAGAACGCGGTGCTGGACTTTAAGAACCTGAACACCAAGTACTACTTCTGGGACGACGGCAACGGCCTGAAGGACAACCGGAACGTGTCGCTCTATCTCTCCTGGAACATCATTCCCAATGCCGGTCTGCTGCCCTCAGTTCAGGCCACCGGCAAGCACCTCTTCAAATTCCCCGCCGACTACGCCACATCGTCCATTTAGGATTAGTACTAGTTCGAAACTTGTATAGTTTGTATCAAATAAAATCTCTTCTCTGTAATGATTTCGGACTGAATCCGGAGAATTGGGGAGAAGCTTCTCCGAAGTTTTGAATGTGTTGTTGCAGTTTCTGGTATCGTTTAATGGGAGTTAAATGTAGGCAAGGAGTATTTTTAAAATTATATGTTGTTTTGTTATAATATTGAAATTTTTAATTAATTTATTAATCGAATCAATAAACTCTTCAGTTCCTAACAAGTTGGATTTCATTATTACTCAAAATAAACTAAACGTTTTTAGTAATCGGATTCCAAATAAGTGGGCTTGCAGAATACATGCCTCCATTGGAGGTAAACGAATATGGTTCCCTTATTAAATTTTAATTAAATTATTGCTGGATTGAGAGTTGGGGAGAAATTTCTAAAGCTAATAAACTCTTCAGTTCCTAATAAGTTGGATTTCATTATTACTAAAAATAAACTAAAAGTTTTCGGTAATCGGATTCCAAATAAGTGGGCTTGCAGAATACATGCCTCCATTGGAGGTAAACGAATATGGTTCCCTTATTAAATTTTAATTAAATTATTGCTGGATTGAAAGTTGGGGAGAAACTTCTCCAAAGTTTTGATAGCGTTATTCCAATTTCTGGTAGGGAGTTTAATTTCAAAAAATTTTGGACAGAAAATGTCCTTCAAATGGTCTTATATAGATGTTATGCGCTGTCATTTTATTTAAAATGTAATAAAATAAAATATAAACTTATTGCATCAATGAACTAACAGTATGATTTTATTATTACATTAAAAAAATAATAATTTTTTGGATCCTGAAGAATTTTGGCTTCTAAAGGATGTTAATATTACTTGTATTAATATTCTAACATTGCCAGAATTTAAATTCATGTAATTGTATATCCTTGCTGAAGGCATTACATACATATATCTTGATTTTATACCGTAATATTACTTTTATTAGATTATTAAATCAAAATTTGTCGACTATATCTAATAGGCGTCATAGGAAGGATTTAGTTAGGCATTCCGACTGCAAGGGTATACCTACTAAGACCGACTTTCAACTCCAACGTTGCATTAGGGTATTTTGGATGTGCCAAAACTAATGTCAAGGCTAACTCCTATAATTACCTGCAAGCCAGATATGAATAAAGACCTAATGGATTCACATATGTAGAAGTGATAAATACCTTAAGTGAGCTATGCCTGCTGGTTTCTTCCTGCCTTTTATCTAACAAATTAGAGACTCCCAATCGAAGTGAGCTCCCGAATTAAGCAAACAACGACTTTTGGGCCATCCGACCGGTTGTGGCCAATAAGTTGATAATAGCTCCCATCCACTGGGCGTGTTTTCAATGCTATAGTGCAAAAAATCTTGGCGGTTTGTTTTTTATATAAAGGAGTTCATTTTAGGCTCTCCAGTAGTGCATCAACATGGCTTCTGCTAAGTTTGTGAGTGCATGGAACCGCAATTTTACAGTTCTAATAAATTAAAATAAGGTTTTCGCACATTCCAGTGGTTTTTCATCGGCCTGGTTGCCATTATTACCGCCAACTGTTCGGCTGGTCTCCTAGATGACTTGTATCCAAAAATCGTAACGGAGTTCTATAATCAGGCCCCCACCGAGGAGGGCTACCGCTTCAGGTAGGTTTTATTTAGTTTCATTTAGAATTTGCCTTGTTAAGCTCGCAGCCATTTTTAGCTCCGAGGAGCCCAATGGAAGCAAGCGAGAGGAAATTGGGGTGATCATGAACCCAGGCACTGATAAGCAGGAGCTTGTGGTGATGGGCTCCTACTCGGTCCACGATGAGAAGACCGACACGGACACCGTTACCATGTACACCGCCGACAAGGAGGGGTACAAGGCGCGTTACCAAATTAAAAACCGCAAACTGAGTGCCGGTGCTCTCAAGTCTTCCGCTGGCTAATGGATTCCCAGATCTGCTAATGGAATATATATGTATGCCTGGCATAGAAAGGATTATATAACTTTTCTAGTTCTTAAAATTAGCTGATTTATGTATATTTCTGAAATAACCTTAATTGCATGATTCATACAGTACAAAATATTTGAGTAGAGTAATCCTAGTATCCAGGGAGCCTACATGAACTCGTAGCTGCCGTCGTCAAAGTTGCGATTGCCGACCATTGGACCACCCGCTCCCATTTGGTTTGGATTCTGGCCGCCCATCTGTGGTCGAAACTGGTTGCCAGGCGTGGTTTGGTGCTGCAGCAGCTGGCGCAGACCCGGATTATTATTACTCATCATGGGTCGGACCATTCGCTGCTGCTGTTGTGCCTGCTGCTGCTGCATGGCGGCCACATTGGGAGCCACCTGCTGCAGCTGTTGCTGAAGATTCGGATTGGGGACACCGCCAGGCCCGACGCCCACGCCAACGCCGAGGGGCATACGTTGCTGCTGCTGCTGCATCATGTTCATTTGCATTTGATTCTGCTGCATGGGCATACCGCCGGGACCGGGACCAGGTCCACCGCCGGGGCCTCCGCCCATCTGCATATTAAGCTGGTACTGGTTGTAGTGCTGCTGCTGCTGCTGCTGCTGGGAATTGTCCTGCTGCATCTGTTGTTGCTGCTGCTGTTGTTGTTGTTGCTGCAGCTCCATGGGGGACTTGCCCGGCTGCTGGAGCATTTGCTGCTGCTGTTGCTGCTGCTGCTGCACGCTGCCGTGCTGCTTCTGCTGAATAACCTTGCGCAGACGCTCCACGAACATCGCCTGATTGTTGGGAATGAAGCCGAGGAATGCGTGGCGATCGGGCGTGTACAAAAGAATGAGCACCTTGATCTCGCAAGCGGGCGAGTTGGGTATAGAGGAGAAGTGGACGCAGCCGGCGTACCCAGAGGTCATCATCTTGGCCAGAGAGTCTAGAGCTTCGCCAGGCGTGGGTCGGAAAACTACCATTTTGGAGTCCTTTAGAAACTGGCCTCCAATGTTGCCCACCAAGTGTTTGGGCATCAGCTGCATCAGCAGCTTGGGCGGCCAGTTCTCCGCCTTGATCTCGGGCACTCCGTCCTTTATGTTGGTGCACACGGTGCACTGGAGGGTGTGAGGTATCTTCTGCTGGTCGCTTTTCGGTTTCTCCGACCATTCTAGCACTCCCGTCCAGATCTTTTCCCTCAGGGAGGCCTGCTCCTGCTGCGGATTCGCCTGCTGTTGCTGCTGGGGATTGCCTTGTTGTTGGGCATTCGCCTGCTGTCCCACTTGCTGCTGCTGCTGTTGCTGTTGGGGATTGGGCATGTTGGATACCGCGTTGGACACCGGCATCATGTTGTTGCCGGCATTGGGGTTGCCTTGCTGCTGTTGCTGCTGGGCCAGTTGTTGTTGCTGCTGCAGCTGCTGATGATTGAGCATTTGCTGCTGGTTCAGCATCTGCATCCTTTGCTGCTGCTGCTGCTGCGCCTGAGCTTGTTGTTGCTGTTGCAGTGAGCTGACCGTCTGGTTGGGCGGCGGCGCAGTTATACGCGAGATTAGCGCCGAGTTGGGATTCTGTTGCTGTTGAAGCTGCATGCCACCGCTCTGACCCTGGACGCCGCCGACATTGCCAGCGCCCTGCATAAAGGGCGGTCGGGCCTGTCCCGGCTGGTTGGGATACATCCATCGATTTTGTCCTGGTCCCACGTTCGGCTGGAAGTTGGGGTTCTGCATCTGATTGGGTACAAACTGATTTTGCTGTTGTTGCTGCTGCTGCTGCTGCTGCATGAGCTGTTGCTGCTGCTGGGGATTGAGCAATCCCGCCTGGGGATTGGGACCCGACTGCTGTTGCATTGGGTTCATGTTCATCACTTGCTGGGGATTGCCCTGCTGCTGCTGCTGCTGTTGTTGCTGGACAGGCGCAGTGTCCATGGGAATGCCCGGACCTGCCTGCTGCTGACCCGCTGAATTCTGTTGTTGTTGCTGCTGCACGGCAGCCTGGGCAGCATTGGGGGCTGCCATTTGGGCCGCCATGCTATTGGGACTGGGAGCTCGCTCCTTGAGGCTGTAACCTTTGAGCAGCACCAAATGGCGGATATTCTTGGCGTAGTTCTTGCTGGTTATCGGCTGATCGCCGTCCGCCTTCATGAAGAGCTTGAACAGCACCGGCATCTTTCGCGGCGCAATGATGGATAGATTGATCTTGCGCTCGTTAAAGAGCACCGCTAGCTGCTCGCAGGACTTGCCGGGATATTTCCAGGACTCAGTGGTGGGCATTTGGTACGGTGGACTGTTGCATATGAGGATGCAGTGCCGCTGGACGCTGGTCTGGTCCAGCATCTGGCGACGCTCGCCGATGTCATCGAAGCAGCCATGGGCGGCCGCAAAGCCCTCGGCCATGTGGGCACACGACTCCATGCCGCCGCCCACCAGCGGCAGCCGGTCGATCGTCTCCATCACCTTTTGGGGCTGCAGGAAGGGGCCGTAGGTGGAGCAGACGGGCTCAAGCAAATTAGCGGCGGTCCGGTACACAACGATTCCGTATAGCGTGGCAAAGCGCTCCGCAATCAAATACTCGCGCTCGTCAATGGAGCCAGTGGTGAAGTGCTCCAAGGTGGGCAGGATGTAGTTGGTCTTCAGCTCGTTGATGTAGGCGCCGTTGATCGCGCTGCCTTCGATAACGAAGACCACGTCGGCCAGGGGCATCTGGTCGACCTCCATGATGCGACGGCGATTCTTAAAACCGAAGAACTTGTTGCCAGGAAAATGGAATCCTTCTCTGGCGTATGTTTTACTGCTTCCCCTTCCTACTCTTTCTTCTTCTTCTTCTGTTTGTTATTGCTATCGCTGCGACTCGATAGTCCAATGTTATCGATAAATTGCGCATTGCAACCCTGCCTGGCTCTCACTTCTTCTTCTGCGTTTGTGTTTGTCAAAACAAAATTAAATAAAATCTCGCCTAAATCGGCCGCTGCGCGAATTGTTTAAATAATTCGTGATTCTTCTGTGTTTGTCTGCTATCGTCGCCTCCCGGGCTCCTGTGTATATGTCCCAACTAGTAAGGTTTCCCCTTGAATGCCGCCCAATCGCCGCGGAGCGTTGTGCCTCTGAGGTCCAAATATAAAAAGTGAACATGTTTTGCCCGAGGCACTGGTGACTGCCGAAATCTCTATTAAAAGCGCTGCCATGCTGCAGTACAAGAGTGCCTCCGGAGCGGCCACAACCAGTGCCCCCCAAGCCACGCCCGCGGCGACGAACATTACCGGCAAAGCGGCGGCGTCTTCGAGTGCAGTGTCCAATGTCGCCACCCAAGCCCAGACGGGTGTTCCAGGAGGAGCGCCCACCATGCAGCAGATCATCAACATCCATCAGATGCCGCACCAGTTCACCGGCGGTGGCACTCAGGCGGCCGGAATGCCTCAGAATATGTTCCAGATCGTCCAGCCGATGCCCATGCAAACGGTGAACATCGATGGCCAGGAGGCCATCTTCATACCCAACCTGAACGCACAGCTGGCCACGGCGCAGGCGGTGAATATCAACGGTCAGCAGGCCTTTATCACACCCAGCGGCCAGATCCTGCGCGCGCCCCAGATGGCAGCCGCCAATCCGGCTGCATCCAACTGCATCCAGCTGCAGCAACTAAACGGCCTGGGGCAGGAGCAGACGCAGCTGATCAGCATACCGGGCACGAATATTCAGATACCCGTCACCAATCTCATCCAGCAGCAGCAACAGCAGGTAGTGCAGCAGCAGACCCAGGCAGCGGCGGCGGCAGCGACAGCCTCTGGAGCAGGAGCAGCAGGAGCTGGGGGGGCTAATGGCGCGACAGCTGGCCAGCTGCCTGGAAGCATTACCATTCCGGGCACCAATCTGCAAATCCCAACGTCGGTGGCAGCGGCCAACGGTTTATTGGGAAACATCTCCAACCTGCTGGGCGGTGGCGGGCAATCGATTAAGCTGGAGAATGGCCAGCTGCAGCTGCGTCCGCAACTCGTGCAGTTCCCAGCGCAGGCCGTGCCCCAGCAGCAGCAAACAGTGGCGGTGCAAATACCCGTCCAGGCCGCCGGCGGACAGACCATCTACCAGACGGTTCACGTTCCCGTTCAGGCTGCTGCCACAGCGACCGCGGGCGGAGGACTGCAAAACTTGCTGCAGGCACAATCCCTGCAGATGCCCGCCGCCTCCCAGATGCAGATCATACCGCAGTTTGCCCAAATCGCCCAAATAGTGACTCCCAACGGGCAAATCCAGCAAGTGCAGTTGGCCATGCCATATCCTCAGCTGCCGCCAAATGCCAATATCATACATATCCAGAATCCCCACCAGCAGCAACAACAACAAGTCCAACAGCAGCAGCAGCAACAGCAGCAGGCCCAGCAACAGCAACAGGCTCAACAGCAACAACAAGTCCAGGCGCAACACCAGCAACTCCTGCAGGCTATCAATGAAGCGTCAGCGGGGGGACAGCTGCCTGCCAATCAGCCCATCACCATCACCAATGCCCAAGGCCAGCAACTGACTGTGATTCCTGCCCAGCTCCGGCAGGCGGCACAGCCGGCGACGACACCGACACCCGTACCCACCGTACCCGCGCAGATGCAGCTACCCAATCTGCAGGCCCTGCCCATCCAGAATATCCCCGGATTAGGTCAGGTGCAGATTATTCAGGCCAATCAACTGCCGCCTAATCTGCCGGCCAATTTCCAGCAGGTGCTCACTCAACTACCCATGGCCCAGGCTCAGGCGCAGGTGCAAGGCCATGTGCAGAACGCCCAGGGACAGAGTCAGGGGCAGGTGATGCCCAAGCAGGAGCCGCAGAGTCCCACGCAGATGATAACCAGCATAAAGCAGGAGCCACCGGACACCTTTGGACCCACCACTAACATCACGGCCGGTGTCAATCGCCCGTCGGCTGCCTCAACGCCAAACAACAACACCTCCTCCCCGCAACAGATCAAGTTCCTTCACGCGGAGGGCAACACCCTGTCCAATTTGAGCATACCAGCCTCCATTCAGATCACAGCCCTGCCTCAGCCGGCACCTGCCCCGCCGACGCCCGTTCCTGTGGCGTTGCCCACGCGAAGTAAACCCAACCTGGTGAGCGCTCCCAGCTCACAGATTTCGATTGCCCCGGTGACCGGTGGACAAGTAGTAACTGTTGCCACGCCAGCCAGAGGCGGGGCAGCCAGCATACGGAGCACTAGCAGTGGTGCAACCACAACAATAACAACGCCTGTCCAGAATCTGAATGGTCCAAACATCAGTGCGGCAACTGGAGGTGGAGGTGGTGGTGGTGGTGGCGGCACAGCTGGCAGCGGAGGAGCAGCGGTCCCTGGCGAGCCAAAGCCCCGGCTGAAGCGAGTGGCCTGCACCTGTCCCAACTGCACCGACGGCGAGAAGCATTCGGACAAGAAACGCCAGCACATTTGCCACATCCCTGGCTGCCAGAAAGTGTACGGCAAGACCTCCCACTTACGTGCCCACCTTCGTTGGCACACCGGGGAGCGGCCGTTCGTCTGCTCCTGGGTGTTCTGCGGCAAGCGCTTCACCCGCTCCGATGAGCTGCAGCGCCATCGGCGGACGCACACGGGCGAGAAGCGGTTCCAGTGTCGCGAATGCAACAAAAAGTTCATGCGCAGTGACCACCTGTCTAAGCACATCAAGACGCACTTTAAGAGCCGGACCGGCGTCGAGCTAATTGAGCTGAGCATCAAGCAGGAGGGAAAGAGTTCCAATGCGGCGAAGAGCATCAGCACGATGAGCGGCATTGTGACGATTGAGATTCCGGGCAGCGGTGGAGCGGGCGCCACGGGCAGTGGAGCGTCCAGCGTGGCGGCCACGGTTGCGGGCTCAACTGTGACGCCTGGCGGTGCCACAATCGTTCAACTGCCAGCTGTGGAGGGCAGCACCATCGGTGGCGGCGGCGGTGGCGACAGTTTCAATGAGGATGAAGATGAGGAGGATGATGAGATGACCGAAGAGGACGACGACGAGGAGCTAGACGAAGAGCTGGACGAGGACGAAGACCTCGAGGATCTCGAGGATGAGATGGACGACGGGGAGGAGCCCGAGGCTGACAGCAGCGATGAGACCAAGATGACCATTGCTGTTAGCGAGCCGGGCGAAAACTCGTCCAACTAGCATTCGGAGTCGCTGTTCATGGAACAGTTCCTGTTTGATCACTTCCCATAGCACCCACCGCTAGCGCTACCCCTACCGATCCTGCCACTGCCCGGCCACGTTGTCGCCCCGTGGGACCATGTTTAGAGCTAGTTTCTAACTGTATAGATGTACATAGCGTATTATGTAAAAACGAGCATTTTAAATGTAACTCTGACTCCGTGTACAGTTCCGGTTGCGTATCGTCGTGTCGTCCTAGATTTTAGTAGATGTACATAGTCTAAAATTGAGCCACGTATTGTAGCCTAAGGTTTTATTATTATTAATTTTATCATTTTCTCTACCTTAAGACATGTTTTTAACTAAATTTTTTATATATTTCTTCACATAACGAAAGCACGATCAATAAACAAAAAACTTAAACTTTCATTTCACAAATACATTTTTACTTAAAGCATAGGAAAACTTAATATAGTAACTTCTTAGTATTTTCTTTAAACGAATAGATAAAGAGTTATTACATACCATAGACGAAAACTTAATAGTTAATTCTTCAAAGGAGTGCCTGGCTCTCCACCGAATCCTGGGTAGAGCGGCCACCACCTGGGTGCCAAAGCATTTCTGCACATAACGAAAGCACGATCAATAAACAAACAGCTTCAACTTCAAGTTTACAAATAATAAAAAAGTTATTACTTCTAACATAGGCAATCTTAATATAACAACTTCTTAGTATTTTCTTCAAATGAATGGATAATGAGTTATTACACAACATATAGGAAAACTTAATATAGTAACTTAATAGTTAATTCTTCAAAGGAATGACTCCGAATCCTGGGTAGACGCGGCCACCACCTGGGTACCAAAGCATTCGTAGTCCGTCAAGGGCTCTGGCTCCGTGTTTTGTGAAGGCAGAATAGTCCGCATTGAAAGGCTCTCAGAGTTGATATCGTTTGCCAATTCCATCCAATCGAGGGAATGTACATTCCTCTCTGCCACGGCAGTGGGTGGCTCGGCTCTGACATCTGAATTATCCACTTCATCCTGGTCGCCAATGCCCATACACTGCTCCCTTTCGAAGTCTGACAAGGGTTTCCGGTCTGGCGATTGGATGACTGGCGGGATTAATTGGGCGATAGTACTCTCATCCGACTGGGACTGCGATTGGGATTCCAAAAAGACTAGACCAGACTCGGTGCAAATGGGAGGCAGGCTGGCAGGCGGTTGGACGCCTGGCGGGAGAAATTGGGCCATGATACTCTCATCCGACTGGGACTGTAATTGGGATTCCAACGTAGCTCGATCAGACTCGATGAAAAGAAGAGGCATATTCTCGGATTCCGAATCCGAGCTGCTACTACTCGAGATGTTTATAGACGATTCACTGCTCTCGTCTAGGCCGTTTGATCGGCGCCAGATCTTTACCCGCACAATATTGTCTTTTTTGGTTTGAGCGGCGGCGATTGCCTTGTATCTCTCAATTTCCTGATCCGTATACAGTGGGAACATCCTTCTTTTATATGCCTTTACGAACATTCGGTTCACAAAGCTCTCGGACTTGTTCTCCAGGCGCTTCTTCTTGTCGAACCGCTGCTTGACGTCCCACACAAAGTTCATTTTGTGCATATTCACCCGTACTTTGGTGGTCTCGCACAGCATCCGCTTTTCCTCCGGAGTGAACTCGCGCTGCATGTCGTTCACTGTGATTTTCTGTGTGTAAGTAAATCAGTAAATCAGTAATTCCAAAAAAAAAAATAAAACCAAAAAGGGCGCTTACTGCTTTGTTGTACATGGTCATCACAGCGTCCCTATTCGAGTCGTCGGTATTAGCCAAAACCATCTGCTCCTCTTCTTTAAGGTACTTCACAAGATGAAACGACAAAGCAGTTCTGGCCATTTCCATAAAGCACTGGCACTAATTAATAAGAATAAATAATATTAATTGTTATATTCTTCCTTTTCGCGGCCAAGCCAATTGCCGATAACTGTGATTATCGATAGGTCGCACAAGTGGCATTTATCGGCTTTTCAGCTATTTTGCTATTTTTTCAGCCGATTTTGCCAGCCCTGAAAGCGAAATTTCGCGATTAATAGCCGATAGTCAGCGAGTTGGCATTTCGCGTAAGCAGAACAAGCACAAAAGAGAAATGGAAAACGAAGGAAAGCGGAGAACGAGAGTTTACACATAGCTGCAGCAGCGGAGCACAAATTCGCAAAACCATCAAACAATTTAGCAAATAGATCGCGATTGAAGCATAGTTAACATCAGAAAGAGCGTTGACGAAAAAAAGTGGCTAGCAAAGCAAACAGTACGAAATCTACGTGTTTTTATTTTAACCCCGCTCCTCTGTGACCGTCTGTGCGTGCTTGTGTGTGTATGTGTGTGAGTGCGATTGGCGTACGTGTGTGGGTGGGCGCTTGTTTTGTTTTGACTAAAAGCACATTCAGTCGAATTCGGATATACCTGGCAATTTATTTCAAAATCAAGCCACAGCAGAGATTCCCAAATAGCACCGAATTCGGCTGTAAATTACTCAGCACCCGTGATACGCATCCACTGATAAACCGAGTGGCAACTCCGCGGCCCACCATGTATACAAAAACAAGAAACAACGATGAAAACGAGTCGCGCGATAAATAAATGGAAAGCGGAGCGGAGAGGCGCAGCAGAAGAAAGAGCGCCCCAAAACGAGTAGGGGAATAGCAGGAGAATCGTTCTGTTTCGACAAACAGACACAGAAAACAAAAAGGCCCCGAAAACAAAACGGCGTTAGAAAATCCCAAAAATTTGCAGTGTGTCGGACAGTCGGCTTCACTACAACAAAACGCATTGGTCAATAACGATTGCGGATTACCTTTATTTTCTCGAAATTATTGAGTAATTTACGTGCAGATAGCAGAGAGAGAGACAGAGCGCGTGAAGGAGGAGAGGCGGCAAGTTAATTTGAATCTGAGTGCGGTGACTTCCTGCCAAAAGTGAACTGAGCTGATCGGAACTGACTCCCAGGGTTAAGCTCAGCCAGGTAATACCAGGTGTTGCCCAGCGACCGGCCGAATGCCCTATATTGTCCAATATGCGATATCCGCCAACGCATTTGCTGCTCTTCTTCTTTAGCCCGCCCACGCCATTCGCCAAATCGCTCTCCTTTTCTAACTGTATCGGACTCTGCGTGTGTGTGCTTCGTCTGTTTTCTTTTTTCGCGTGTGTGTTTGTATGTTGTGTGCTTGCACTTTGCGCGCGCTTGCAAAAAGTCCTTTTCGGTTGCATCTAACCCTTCAATGGCAAAATTTATATTTCGTTTGTTTTATGTTGTTTAATTTTTGAAATATGAATCAGAGAACTGAGCCCTGAGATGTCTTTTCCTAGTTTTTAGTTTGGCTTATAAGCAGAAATTTTTAAAAACCGGAAGATCCTTTAACGGATTTCTCAAAATTACTAGCTTAATTTTGTAATAAAACATGTTCCGTTTAATATAAATACAATATTTTGCGATTTAATTTTGGTATGTTTTGAATTTTCACATAAAACAAACTGTTCACTTTATTCCATTTGAAGGGTTAGTTATGATTTGTTTTACGACCTTTGACCCAAAAAACCCCAAAAACCTCCAACCAACCATCCACGTTTGTTTACTAATATGAATAATAATAATTGAAACCACTTTATTAATATTTTGCAGAGACGCTTATCATCAGGCGGTTATTATGAAAGGTTATGATTTGATTCCAATTCTCCTAACTATATACTTACATATATAAGCTAAAGACTAAGCGAGGTTTCGTCTCCTAACATGAGCCCTAACTTCCTTAAAACAATCAAGCTTTTAGTCCGATCATCTATCTCCCTCTCACTATGTACAGTTGTACTAATAATAACTGTTTTATATCCTGAACAGGCAATCACTATAAGATGTCTCGTAACAAAGACAAATACGACAGCGCCAATCGGAGACAGCAGATCTTTCTGTCGCAGGAGGACATAGCCGCTGGAAAGAAGACGAATTGGAGCGGTCTGGAGATTACTGGTGAGTTTCTTCTAACCATAAACCGATTGCCAAGATCCTTGATTAATTTATGCCCCTTTTCTTTTGTGCAGGCTGCGTACGGAACATTAGTCCGTCGTTGTGGGAGTTCGAGCACCTGACCGCGCTTTATCTAAACGACAACCAGCTGTTACGATTGCCCGCCGATGTGGGTATGCTCATCAGCCTAAGGACCTTGGATCTGTCCGGCAATAAGCTGAGGAGCCTTCCCGCCGAGCTTGGCGAACTCATCCAGCTTCGGTGAGTTTTCGGTGCCTATTGCCGGTAACGTAGTTACGTCTGGTCGAGATTTGTTTAAAAGCATATAAAATACGTGTTTAATGCGTTTTAGAACTTCATAACATCGCCTTATATTCAATTACCAATTGTCTAGACGTAACCCCGCTAATGACCACTGCGATTATATTCAAGCTTTTCACACTCGCCCCCACTCCATCGATGTCTTCTTTTTAGGGAACTGCTGCTGAACAACAACTTTCTGCGCGTGCTGCCTTACGAGATCGGCAAGCTGTTCCACCTCGTCATACTGGGACTCATGGGCAATCCGCTGCAAAAGGAGTTCATGAACATCTACAACGAGCCGAATGGCACGCAAAAACTGCTCACTTACATGCTGGACAACTTGTCATGTGAGTACCACCCCCCGCCAATATATATTGCCTCCTGTGTGTTTGTGCTTGTGCGTAAGCATCTCCTGTGTGTATGTGTGTGCGCCAGTGTGGAGTAAAAAGGAAAGCACGCGAAAAAGGCTTCCGAAAAGAGAAAGTTAACGTTGGTTGCGCTCGGGAACGTTAACTGTGATATGGGTATTGGGCTCCGGGTTGGGGTCCCTCGATTTACTGGGACTTTATCGGGATTGCACAAATTTTCTTTGACGTATCCTAACACAGTAGGCCGAAAAATCACAAAATACGTGGGGTGAAACTGATAAATTTAGTTTTTTTTTGAGGTTTAAAATTAGGCTTTTCATTTTTTTACAAAAATGGGAATGGGAAATTAAGTTTCTCAAGATATTATGAATTTCATTCAATTTGTATTCTAAGTTCTGATGGGTATAGGATATAGTTAAACAATTTATAGCCATTTAAAAAATATAAAATATATAAAAATATAAAGAATTTTCACGGTTTTCTTGAATTTTTTACGTGATGTACATTTGTTCGATTTTAAATGATCAATCTACAGAAATCATTAAATTTAAATTTAAAACTTAAAGAGATAAAAATAAATAAAACTGCTAAGACATAGGTTTCAAAACAAGGTCAAGACCTTACAATTAGGATATTTTGTATAGGTTTAATTTTGTTGTGGCCGACTATACATTAACATAAAAGATTTGTATATGTTTAAGTATTAAATTGCTTATCAACTCTAAAAAATGTTGTTAGAACATATCTTCGATTTGTTTTCAAAACCCTAAGAAAACCCGTTAATGCAGATTTCAGCCTTAGTAGTTATTCAGTCTTTAGGCTATTATTAAAAGTTAATGGTGTTTCCCAGGCTTATCCAGTCTGAAAACCAGTCGCTGCAGAGACATAATTAAAGTTCAAACTCACGGCTGCCGATTAATGCCAAAAAAACATAATGTGCAGAGGCAACAATTAAAAATATTTAATTGAATGCAACAATTACAATTACAACAATTGGCAGCGGCGGTCGAAAGAACGGCTCGACCTCGACATGCAAAGCTTCTCATCGCGGAGAGCGAACGATCGAAAGACTGAGTGTGAGAGAGAGCCGGCTTAGCTTTCGTGAGAGAGCATAACGGCTTTTACTGTTAGCCGGGCCAAGCTGTCGATCGCAGCAGCAGCTGACTTCAGTCTGCCGCTCGCTTGGCTACAAGGCGGACGCACTAGCTCCGGTTCTGCTCTCCAGCCGCTTTCCAAGTCACGAAACCCGTTCGCGACCGTCGCTCTCGATTCCGCCTCGATTCGGATTCGGACTCGAACTCGTATTCCGTTCGCGCATGCGCCGCCACCTCTGAGTACTCGGAGTGCCGCAGAGTGTGTTGTTTCGTAACTCGTGTCCCAGTTTCGCTTCGGCGTTCGCTTTTCATTTCGTTGCGCTGGAGTCGCCGCCGCTCGCTTGTTGGCCAACCGAAATGCATCATTGAGTCAAGTAGCCAAAGCCCAGAGCCCTGCAAAGCCCACAAAGCCAACCGATTTAAGCGGCCAAGTGATGTGCAATCGACTCGATCCGCCGACAGGATTCAGTTTGGGATTAAGACAACAGCAGCCACCGGCCGGAGCATGAGATCGCATGTGTCCGTTTACAGGGCACCAGACACTGCACCTCCACCACAACCAGCATCTAACTACGCTCCGCTCCGATACCATCACCACCATCAGCCGCCACCGCCGCAGCCGCATCATCCGCTGAGCCATTGGCCTGGAGTCCAGCCAGCAGCACCAACGCCGACTCTTTCGCAACCTCCGGCCTACAGACTACACCATGGTCATCCGCCACCCAGCTGGTCGGCAGCACCTGTGGCAGCCACTGCAGCCCAACCAGTTGGCTACGGCGGCGTGGTCAACCAGCAGCGGATTAACGAATGCGCCGGCATACCGCTCATCTCGAATGCCTCCACTCACTTGTCGCCTGCCCAGCGCCAGCGGCTGTTGAGAAAATCTGCCCCCAAATCGCCGCAAGCGTGGCCCCCGGGCGGAGCCTCCATGTCCCAGCTGGCGGTGCACGCCCAGGGAATGCCCCTGCTTCAGCAGAATGGAAAGCAACATCATCAGCAGCAGCAACAGCAGCATCACCACCATCAGCACCACCCGCATCCGCATCCCGGGCCGCCCAACTGGAGTGCCTATCAGGCTATGGCCAGTCCCAGCTTTAAGCTTGCGGACAAATCCCGAGTTCTGCGCTACCAAAACTCTGCACCGCCGGTGCTTAGTAGCAGCAGCAGTAGCCAAGAGAAGCCACAAAATAGTGTTGCCAGCTGCCAGGATCAGACCAACCCATCGGAGACCTGTTTGCCGAGGATTATCAAGCCGCGAAAGCGACGCAAGAAGGATCGCAAGCCGGGCAATGGATTGCTACTCAAGATGGAGTCGGATATGCAGCCCAAGATTACCAACCAGAGCGAGGCCTATTTGTTGGGAGGAGGAGCAGTAGGATCCTATCACTTGCAGTCCGGGATACTGCAGCACGATCACACGCATGGCGTTTGTTTCTGTCGCGATTGCGATCCGCTTCGCTCTCTGTGGGACTACCCGCTCCGGCGATCCCTTTCGGATGCCTCGTCCAGCGAACAGGGAGGCAGCAGCAGCAAGGAGTCCTCCACCTCCACTTCCTCCACCTCGTCGACGCATAGCTCGGACAGCGACAGCTCAATCTGCAGCCAGAGCTTGCCCAGCTCGACGTCTTTGGCCTTGCAGGAGGAGACCACGGAGGAGTTTGCACCCATCACCGGGGACAGCAGTCGGGCGGATATAGTGGGCGTGATCGGATCCCAGCGGAGCCACCCAAGTGCGGTAACCACGCCCTCGCAGTGCCTGAGCGATGACTCCGGGTACGGCGACATCCTGAGTGGGATCAACATAGCCAACGATCTGTTTGGCAATTGCTTCAGAGGCGGGAAGCTGGGCAACGCCTCCTCCTCCTCGATATCCGCCCAGGCGGAGACCCTGCTGGACGAGAGTCTCAATGAGATATCACGCAAGCTGATCGAGACTTGCAATGCGGCCGATCAGGCGGTGCTGGGATCTGGATCGGGATCGGGAGCAGCGAGCGACAGCGGGTTGGATAGCGCTGGCAGCCACAACTGCGATTCGGGTCTCGTCTTTAACTTTGAGCGTTTGAATCTGACGGATGTGACGCCCACAGCCTTGGATTTTCTGGTGGATTTCAACAACAACAACAACAATACCAGCAGCACCAAGAACTGCAGCTCCGGCAGCAACAACTGCCTGGGCTTGGTGTGGCGTGGAGGAAGGCAACCAAATGCTAGCGGAGGTGGCAGCCACGATGACAGCCAAGTGGCAGCTGCCAAACTGGGCCCAGACAGCCGGGCCACACCCGCCAGGCTGATACTGGGCACGGTGGGTAAGCTGAAGCCAGCGTTTTCCACCATCTCGTGACGACGACGACAATGGAAAATCAAATCAAAATCGAAGAAGAATGAAAAAGAGCCGAGTCCCTGCGCGTGGGCGGATTTTGATTGGAAAATTTGAGTCTACCGAAAGCACTTGGGAGTTTCTACCAAAAGCAATAACCAAACCTGAGCCCAAGTTGCATAATCCCAGCGAAGCGAATGAAGAAAGAAGAAAACCCATTAAATGGGTACAAAGCACATGTGAGAAGATCATCACATCATCATCATCAACTCAGTCGCCGCTACGATCACCGAACAGCGAACTGCGATCAACGATCATCGAAGCGAAAAACAAAAGGCCAACGAGTTGACCAAATGGGCCCAGGCAGGCAAGCAGGCGGATGGATGGAAGCGATCCCAACTAAATGGGAAACTTATGAAGACAGGCCGGGACTGGGGACTGAGGACTGGAAACCTTGTACATACCACATACACACTCCGACTCCGATTCCGTCTACGAATCCCACTTCCACTTCAACTTTCACTTTCACTGCGCGCGTCACCGGCGGCGTTTTGTATTTCTGTATTTTTAAGGCACATTTTTCTTTTCTTTTTCTTTTTGCCAAAGACCACAACGGATGCGGAGGAGGAATAAGTGGAGATAGGGGTTACGGGGAAGGGTGCGACTCTTATGCAGATTTTGTGGCGCAAAAAGAAGAAGAAACTGTAGAAATCGTGTGGAGATCACATGCGAACCATGCGAACCTATAACTATACCTATGCCTATATCTATGTATCTCTATCTACCCTACACATACATTTAATTGCCGTTGTTATTTGTGCATTAACGTAATCCCTCCCATAGGGCCAGGAGAAACAGAAACCTACCTAAGGGTCTTGGGACTTGGCTTGTCCATGTGTTAGCTTGTATCTTTCGAGTTTAAGCAACGTTCCTACATGTTAGTTGTGTGTATTTTTATATAGTTTTTGGGTTCTCCTTAACGTTATCTGGTTTAGTCGGTGTGGTTTTTTACTTAGTCCGTAATCGAAGCGCTACAACGTGAACTTTTATAGCTGATAAGTTTGGCTAGGGTCTAAGATAACCTTAGGAACACATAGAAAGGATCTCTGGTGGTTTTATTAGAGTCTTAAATTGTCTGTTACAAAATTGAAATTATTATGTGCAATGCGTTTCAGAACTGAACTCAAGTCGAGCCTTTAAATCTTTGTTGAGGCAGAAGTAAAGTGAATAATCGGATATAGATAAAGTCATTCTGAAACGCATTGCAGCAGAGAACTAAAAACTCCTATCTTTCCCCTAGAATATTCGTCAGTTAATAGTAAGAGTTAGGCATTCATTCTCACTCTGATACATGGGGTTATATCTATCGTGTTATGTTTTCGAATTATGATACTCATTGCGCCTAAAACAGCCAAAGGAGGGAAGCAAAATCTGGTGCACAATTAATTCCAACTGAGATGATCGCCAAGCATAAAATCTAAATCTGAAAATCGAGAGCAGCCCTAGTTACCTGCTTAGCTGTTGTGTTGGAGAGTTGGCGAGTAAAAGTTTTCGCCTTTTTTCTCTTTTCTTTTTAATTAAAAGAAACTCACGAACAACGCGCGCACAGAAATTGCTTGAAGTTTTCCGCTCTGCTCGACTCTGGCTCAGCCTGGCTTGGCTTGGCTTGGCTGGTATCGTGTGGTGGCTCAGAGTCTTGGTCTCAGCATCTTGGCATCAACATTTTCTGCCATTGCTGCTGTGGAAAATGTCACAGATTTTCTATTGGCAGCAGGTTCCGGCAGTCAGGCAGGCTGGCAGTTTGTGTTACTATTCCCCAGATAGAAATTACCACTCAAAGTTAATTTATTTAATTAATATATATTTTCACTAGATCGTATTGTTGTGTGCTCTCTCGTATAGTGTAAGCATATCGTTTTTGCACAAATAACAATAAATATAGTCTATAAAGCTCCCCCCATCGTTTGTAACCCACACACACCATACACACATGCACACCAAACACAATATGGCCAACTTATTTATTTTGATTAAGCCCGAACGAGAACTCAATAAAAAGTGTAAACAAAAATGTCAAACAAAAAGAACTTGATTGCTGTTTTGATAGCCCCAAAATGAAAACCATACACACACTGGGTATACATATGTATATTGTTGAAAAGGCCCACAACTCGCATCTTCTAATGAGGCACGTTTGAGCCGACTTTGAGCCGGAAAAGCAAACAGAACGTAGGCCCAAAAGCACTCGGAACCTAACCGAACTGAACCCCTCGGATACCCCGGATACCTCCGATCCCTTTGAATGCACTACTCGAAAATGAACTTTCCAAACATTAGCCGGGGCTCTTAAATCGCTGCTGCACCGAGATTTCAAATAGCAAAAGCCAAGTGGGAACCTCTGCTGGCTGACCACCTTTCACCTGGATGAATCTTCTGGTGGTTGCTTCTGGTTTGCCGGCTTTCGCAAAAAGATTAACCGCTGTCATAACCGTAACCGGCAAATTAATTTCTGGGCATTTTGTGCCCGTCATTAGGCTAATTAATGTCTCCATTTTAGGGCCTCATTTTGATGTTCAAGTCGGAGCTGGGGTTCTGAGCGAGGTCTAACTGCTTGTTAAGTTGCCTTCTCTAAAGACGCCAGTTTTCCGGCTCGATTTCAGCTCTGCTCTGCTCTTCTTTCTCAACAACAGCAAAGCTCTGGAGGTCCGAACTCGGACCACTCCGGACCCGGACAGCGGACGAGAGGAGCGTTCGACGTTGAGTGGGTCAGTGGACAATTGGGTCATTTGCAACACTGTTTGCGCCATCAGCCATCACAGCTAGCACCACCGGGGAGCAACAACAACGGTGGCTAATGTGTTTTGGCTACGTCAATAAATGCGTCGCGTTGTTGTTCTCGCTGCCTCGTTGTTGCTGCAGCCATAGACCATAGATATTGCCGCTGGCCAACGAAGCGGGCCATCTTTCTTAGCGTCGTCTTCCAACATGCCAGCCTTTTTTTTCTCTCTTTTCCTTCTAGCGTCTGAAATTTAATTGTTTTTCCTCACCTTCCCTCGCTGCTGCGGGTATTCCAAATTTGTCGTTCTATTTGTGGCGTTTTTGCGGCGGAAATTAATGTTCAAGTTGAAGTTTACTTAAGATTTGTATTATTTGTTGTATAATTTTATTTATTTTGTGTATAAAATTGCAGTATATGTTGAACTTTTGTAATCATCAAGATCCTGGCAACATTGTCTTTATTTGGTTGTTGTGCAACATGTTCCTTGCAACCTTGTTCCTTCATCTGCCTTCAGCAGTGTTTAATTTAGGTATTTCATAAATTTTAGCTTATTTAGACCACTAGCCCGTAAAGTTTAGGTACCGGCTATTTCACAGTCGGTCGATTGAAGCTTTCCTTCTTGTTTTCAAATCGATCTGCGTAAGACTTATTAAAAAGAAACACTTAAGAATTAATTTGGTATCAAGTATGTCTAAACTATATACGTTTTTAATACAATTTGTTGTTGTTTTCTTACAATTTGTTGACACGTGAATACCCTTATATATATATATGTATGAATATATATATATAAGGGTATTCACGTGTCAACAAATTGTAAGAAAACTTTGCTGGGTTAGTGTCCCCTTTTTTGTCCCTAACGAATTGGTCATGCTACTTTTCCAGTAGACTTTTCTTTGGCTAGAAATTAGCATTTCGCCATGAAATTGAAAGTTTCATTTTCCAATTAACTTGGCCAGTTCAGTGGGCCACACACACCAGCGCCATCACCAGCACCGGCAGTAGTTCATCATCATCGTCGTCGTCGTCCGTCTGCGTTGCCCAAGTTCCTATCTCAACTTCCTCTGTACACAGACCCAAAAAAAAGCGGTTAATCCGAATAAAGGCCAAATGTCTACGAAAAAGGTTACGCAAAATGTCAAACAGTTAAGAATCCAACTTCCTAACGGCCACAAATGTCATTATTACATTTATTTTCCACTTTTAATGCCGTCTACTCGTTCGCTGGGTCGTCTTACTTGGTTTTTTTTTCTCTTTATTTTTCGTGTTGTTGATTTTCTTTTCAGCCATTCTCGTGCTGACTCGAATTTAGATTTTCACAGACAATCGCCGGGTTGCTACTTGTCTGGGCCATTAGCTGTAGTGTATCACACTATTCATGAGATGAAGGGCCTCCGTCTCAGCTTTTTGAATAGCTTCAGTGGCAGAAAATGGGAGTTCATGTTGAGCAATGTGTAAATTTGATTGTCTGTGAAGATAGAAGATACAGAAGGAGAATTCATTAAAGTTTTTGTTCCCCTCTCTTCCTCTCTTTTGCTGGAGATTTCGGTCTAATTCCTTCCCAAAATTATTTATTTAATACAACAATGATTTTGATGTTTCTATTAAGTAAACACCTTGACGATTTACTGGCCAAGTTCTAGAAAGCCAGTCATAACTTGCTTTGGTTATTTAACGCTCAGTTGATGCAAAAACTTAGTTAGGTCAGGCCTACAGAACTGCATATACATATGCAACGCAATTTAGCTTTTTACGATGCCTTTAGAAGATTATCAAACTTGATTAGGTCACATGTTACGAGAGTGGTCAGTCGGTTATTAGAACTTCGAGCTGGTCCCATCTTACCTATCCACAAGATCTCGCATTGCGTGGCTGCAGCCTCAAATGACGAAATCTTTTGCTGGACGGGAGGCGGGGTCCTAATGTCGCTTGTGACGTAAACTTCTTCGGAAAGAAAGAAGCTGCACCATCGCTGATCACTCGGACCCATAAATCAAGTGGACGGAGTGCAGCCAAAGGGCTGTGGCTGGCCGTGTTAACGCTTATGGCATTTGTGAGCGGCTTGTGCTGTCGTTGTAACCTATTATACCCTATCAGAGTGGAGTATATCTTGTTCATGATGAGGAATCTGTAAAAGATGTAGATGGGCATTTAATGGTGAGAGTCACTGTGCAGTAACAGGAAAATTGGCTACTTTCCACACAATATATTTTTTTGTTCATAAGAACTCTTAGAAATTGTTGTATTATACACTTCTATGGTCTTATTCAGACGTTTGCAACGCAGTAAAAGAGTCATTTCCGAACCTTTAAAGTATATTTTTAATGAGCATCAACAGCCAAATCGACCTAGACCGTTTGAAATCTGAATGAAATAACCCACATCGGACCAATAAATCATATAAAAACAATATTAAATTCGATACATTTTTAAGGGCATTTAAATTCTAAGGTTATATACTGGACCTTACCATAGTGTTGTAGCTTATTCTTCTGCCTTTTTTTGTCCGCTCACGAAATGAGCACAACATGAATTAATTTTTTTTGTCTGTTTCTGGCTTTTTTCTGTTGGCCACTCCGTAGCACACAGAGTGCCCACCGTTGTCTGTACAAATTTTGTGGCTCTATGTAGGTTTATAACTCGACTCGTCTGGGCTTTATTGTTATTGCCGCTTTTCTGCCTGATGACGACGTTTTTTTGTTGTTGTGTGTGTGTGCTGCATACGACGATGCTGCTGCTGCTGTTACCTAATCGTTTAATTGGCTTAAGTCAGTTGATCTCTTTCCCGCCTCTGGTCGCCCCTCTTCTCATTTTTCGGCTTTTACTTAATTTAATTTTTATGACAACACTTTGTGCTTTGTAATGCATTTTGAACGCATCGCGGCGCATTGATTCCCACAACGTTTGCCGATTTAGTGGAGCATGCCGAATTCAAGAGTGGAAAGAGGAAGTGCGGTGAAAAGGTTCAAAGTTCACGACTATACTGATACCCTGTAAAAGTTGTAAAACCTTTATAGACGCCTTGTAAATAATATGTACAGAAGAGAACTTGAACCAAAAGGATGTCCCGTTTAAATTGAAATTAAATATTAGTCATCCGAAATTTTGTTATATCTTTCTACGATCTTGTCAAAGAAGATCAATAATATTGATATACTGTTCCTTACACGATCTATGTCATTATTCTATTGCTAGCCTCACTCTAGATTCAACCTATTTTCAGCTAGAACTCATTTGGAATTCTATTGCAATACAGCTCCAAACCAAAGCCACTTTTGTTCTTAAGACTTTTTTCTCTCTATCATTGTCCTTTTATTAATGACAATATATTATAGACTATATAACATATCTGCAATTTGTCTTGTTTATTAATATATAAAGAACTGATAGATTATTAAATTTATATTCGTTTTTTTTGGATATTGAGATCAATTAAAAACTTGACAAAAACAATAAATTATTACTGTGTACACTCGTGCAATTTTAACTGTAATAAAGTCTACTGGTTTGGGGATTCATTTTCAAAGTAGATCCCTTTTGGCCCAATATACCCGACTTTCGCCTCCATTTAAGTATCGCTGAGGATGACAAAACGGCCACAAACGGCCAAAAAATATTAAAAAAAAAAAAAAAAACTGAAATGGTTTATTTATATAGCAAAACCGGTATTTATAACTGCAATTGGGAGTGAAGAAGCGGCCGACGCGATGATGATGATGATATTAGTGCCAAAAATGATAATAGTGAGGGCAACAGCAACAAAAACAGCTGACGATTTGGAGCTCCACCTCGTTTGTCCGCCTTTGTGAATGTTAACTGTTATTTCGGTTACGAAATGTGAACTTTTTTTTTTTTGGCTTTATACTCGTATTATTTTGTGCTTTGTCATGGCACAGCTTTTTCCGTTTTTATTTTCGTTGCTTGTTGCTTGGCTGATTCGTTGGTTTTTTTTGTGTGTGCCTTTTGTGGAGTAATTCGCATAATTGGCCCATATTTCTTATAAATATGCAACAGAAATCGGAAATGTTTTCGTCTCGTCTCGCCTTTATTATTGTTTTAAATGCGGAAGTGCACTTACAGCCTGTTTTCTTTTCGTTTTCGTTTTTGATTCATTTTTCGTTTTTTTTTTTTCTCTTTCTGTATTTTTGGGGCTGACTGGAGCTTATCAAGGTTGTTGTTGCGTAAAAGGAAGTGCAAATGGTTAGAAAGTTTTATGGCCAGGGAACTGCACTGGGGAAAAAAGTATTTCCTGCTTCCAAGTTCTTAATTTAAAAAAGGTTGAAAACTATTCAAAAAATGCAGCTCAAAAAATGAATGCGCTACATAGGTAAAAAGTTTAAAATGTATAATTTATTAGTTCCTCAAAAAGTGAAACTTGAATAATTCCAAATTCGCCAAAAGTGATCGTTAAAAGAAAAAAACAGCGCACAGTTATAACCGAATATGTCCAATTGATAAAAACGAAACTCAAGAGAAAACATTTTTGGGCCTTTTTTTAGCTGCTTAAAATTTAGGGAATATTATGATTAAACATATAAATATTTACAAAATTTCACTTTTAGCTATTTAATTTGTCAAATAATTTTTTCAATTTCATAATGTTAGTTATGCTGATTTAGAAGACATTAAGAAGTGTTTTAATGCGTTCAAACTTAGTTTGACTTTATTTATTTATTTTAATCTTAAGAACTAACTTTAGACTCTAAAGTTTAGAGAGTAAAATTACTCATTCATGCCATCGCTTTTTGATTCCCTTTGTGCGAGTATGGAGCTTGGCCTACCTGGAGGGATAATTTCTTTCGGGCTGGGGCTTGGCTGGTCGCCCCTTGGTTGGTTACTTGGATGGATGGCCCATTACAGGCTGCGTCAATGTCAGCAGGCGGCAGGCAGAAGGCAGTAGGCAGTTGTCTCGTCGCCGCTTTCCATCTGCGGGAGAGAGAAAGTACCCACTGCGACGGACGCGAGTGCGCGCAAAGATTTAAAAGTGGATCAGCGAAAGAAAAATAAACGTAACCAAGCAGCGTGCGGCATTGTTGGCCGATCGCGTGAGCTTGCCCCTGCCGCCTCCAACGAAGATGCTGCCAATGCCTGCCTGCCTGACTGGTAGCCTGCACCCGGAAAAAATAAAGTGAGCAGTATCTTGTATCTTGATTTTAACAAAATTCTATTGCCAATCAAACTGTGTTTAAGAAAAAAAAAATCAGGAGATTTAATAGAAGAATTAAGGCAACGACAGATGAATATAATGCTCCCAGATACTATTAATCTTTCGCTGCCAAAAAATTAACGATAATTTAGTGACGTCTTTAACTAATTCAACAAATTTTCTTAAAAACCAAAGGATTAAATAAATATCACTGGATTTCTGGTCTATAGTTTTAAGAATTAGTTAAGTTTTTTCTGCGTGTTAATACTACATACATATGTATGTATATAACTCCGTGGAAAGAAAAGCCCACGCCACTGTCTGCAACTCCAACTCCAACTTCGACTGTCGATGGTATGTACCGGTGGCGCTGGGATGTTTGGTGCTCCATCGATGCCGGAGCTGCCTCGGCTGTTGCCACTCGTCATTCGCTCGCCTGTGCATAATCACTGTGCGCGCACATTTTCAATTGATTTTCCATGTGACGCAGCACAATTGGAGTCTTTTGAATATATATGGCGCTCACGATCAGCAGCGATATCGGTGTGTGGAGCCACTGCAAGAAATGCATCGGCAAATGCTGTCCAACTGGTTTCCCATACGCAGACACATCCATATATCCATATGCATATACATGGATCCCACAGTTTCGGGTAAAACTCTAGAGATTTTAAGGTGATTTCCCTTTGCCAAGAAAGTACCGAAAAGATAAAAACAACATAGTAAAAGTGAAAAGAAAGCAAAACTGAAATTAATTGTTAGAATAAGGATATTAATTAAAATTAATTGAAAGAAAAGATTTCTTAAAAAAGTTGCAACTAAAACGTTATTTTAATTGAATAATTCTTAAATGTAATTATTATTATTATTATTTCTTTTTAACAAAAAAACCGCACTATGCCTAATTATTGTATTAAAACTTGGCGTAGTGCATAAATGTTGCTGGAAACATGCTGTTTCCATAGTAGAATTATACAAGGTAGTCCAGTCGGAAAAAATAAGCCCTAGTTCGACTCATCAAAGTGTGCGTGAGACGGGTATAGTCTCAAAGTATGAGTGAAATGTCAATAGTATGTGTGTTAAACACACTATGTTTATAAGATTGTACACGTTTTTCGCCGAAATTCACATTTAGGTGTTCTTATCAATTTGGCTTTAACGTTTGTGCCACAAAAATTGCAGTAAGACATTTTATTTTATTTTTTTATTAGCTCAGATTGACAGGAATAAAATTTTGCACACAATCTACTCAACCCATTGAGTTTATCTCAATGAATAAACATGAGCTGTCAAAATAAGCCCTAAAATTCAAACATTTGGGACCAGACTGGACTACCTTGTATAATTCTACTATGGCTGTTTCTAGATTAATGTTCCTGGAAAAATGTTGAGCAACACTTATTGGTACTGGCAACAAATAGATGTTGCATAGGCTCTCCCAAGTACAAAAACCTTTGGTTACCCATTGTTCCTTACATAATATGAAAACTGAAATCTAACGTGGCAAAATTTACAAGAAAAATGTTGCCAGACGAATTTCGTTGGATTTTATTATTAGAAATAACTAAATTTTTAAATTAGTATAATTTTTAGTTGTTTCATATAATTTTTTTGTTCTAATACTTTGGCCGCATCTGTCTCGGATTGGTTTTATTTGGGATGTGTGTGTGTGTAGCGCCTGAAGTGCACCTTAAATTGTCTTTCATTATTATGATTTTAATGCCAGATTGTCTTAAGTGGAGGCATCGCATCGACGGTGACGACGATGGCAATGGCGACCAAAGTGGACTGACAGGCAATACCAGTCAACGCGGCCAGAAAACAGAAAACAGCAACCTGCAACTTGCAACTTGCGATTGCAGCTGAACGCCATTGAACATTGGCAATCAATCGTTGTTGTTGTTGCTGTTGGTAGGAAAAAACTGGTGCAAATGAAACAAGTTATCTAATTGCTGTGCTCGAAGAAGTGTGGCAAGTGGCGAGTTGACTTTTGTTTTCTATTCGGAGCAAGCCTCCACTCCACTCTGCACTCCTCGATCTTCAGGCGTGTTGTGCATACGAAATTGTTGGCCAACACCAACACCGACACACACGCTCACACCAAACAGGCCCCCTCTGCATTGGCCTGGCCTCTTGGCGTTTTTAATCGCACCAAATTTCAATTTGAATTTCACTTTCTTTTTCGATACGCTCACTTGGGTTTTTGCCTTTCGAACTTTTGTTTGTTGTCTTGTGTCTCTGCGAGTTGTTTTTTTCTTTTTTTTTTTATATATTTTTTTGTTTCTTCTTTTTGCTATCGCTATTGTATTTCATTTCGTTTCTTTTTGTTTTCAAATGCAACATCTAGCAAGCAGCGACCATGAAATCTTTTGGATAGAAAGGGGTTTCTAGTGGTGCCCCCGAGGAGGGACGTGAACCGAAATTCAAGAGAAAGGGGAAGGGGCTATAATCTGGCCATCATCTGGGTAGTGGGAGGCACATAGGCACGACATGGCGTGACATCGGGAATATTGAACCATCATCCACAATGGTACAACTTTGACTTAACCGTGTCAAGAGAGAGTAAACATAATTAATATGCATCCATTAGGCCATAAATAATCTTGATTGTGTGCTGGTGGATATTTACAGATGATTGATGTTGAGAGTAGAGTAGAATTGAGGCAAGGATCGGGAGATTAAAAAAATATACATATTTAGAGAAATCTTTAGATGCTTTAAGACAAATTAAACAAAATATTTAGCCTAGCTAAAAGTAGACCTGCAGCCGGCTAGACCTTGAGTTATTACAAGAAGCCCTTTTCTTTCTATTCTATTTCTATTTATTTAGGTGTCAAAATTATACAATCAAATACTATACTCAAAGAAACCCTATTAATGCCATAAGAAATAAGTTTGCTGATTCTGGTATATATTTTTAAAATAGGTTTTCTATCCTTTCTTCTATTATTCTTATAATTTAACTTAAATTTGGCTATTTTTTAGTAGTCAACTTTCCATTCAACTTCCCTGTGAACTAACCACAAACTCCACAATCCATATCTTCTTGCCACCTCCTTCGGTACACTCGAAAGTGTGGCACGCTTCGCTGGCTGAACAAATTTGTTTTAAAATTTCGTTGATCGCTTTGTTTTCCCAAAGTGTTTGATGTGTGTGTCGTCTTTTGTTACACACCTGTCCAATGGGGTAATCACTCACAAATTCGGTGAAATTATTTACCAGGCGGCAGCCCACTCAACGGATGGGAGTTTGGAGTGGATGCGTGGGCGTACTCAATTGGGTAAAAGTTTCATAATTCACCATTACCTCTTTTAACTGCGCCCCGAACACCTTTAACCTACACTTTAACAGTGGGCAACTAAACCCACAGAAAGCTTGCCAATTTTATTTATTATTAAAATAAATAAATACAATTTTAAATAAAATAAAACTAGTAATATTCTAAAATGTTAAAACTTAAATAGGAATTTTAACTGGCAGAATATACACGTTTTTGTCGATATTTTTGTAGGCAAAATTTGATTAAAATCGATTATTTTTCTGGTTTCACAGCGATATTGCAGAAGAGATGTACATATACCATTAAAATTAAAACGATTCTATGATTGTTTAATTTGCTATTTTTTGTTTGTTAGTGTAGCACTGACATATCTCCTCCATCGCCAACCCCCGCGACTTATAAATGAGGTGGGGGTAGGGTGCTATTTGCCCACAATAGTTGGCATTGAGTTCGTTGTCGAAGTCTTTTTGTCTGTTTTGTAATTCTCGCACTTTAGTTATTACCTACACTCACCCACACACACATACACGTTACGTTGATCTTCTTTCCATCCTTTTACTGTTGCTTTGCATGTTGCGGTGACTCAGTTTCTGTTGCGTCTATGCGATTTTTGTTGCACTCGTGCCAATTAAATAACCATTTTGCATAATTAAAGAGCAACGAGAGAGTGGTAATAGTCGGAGTGGGTCCTAAAAACGAATTGTACAATTAAAATGCAATCAAAGCTGTGTTAATGTAGTCATTAAAAAGGCTGTCAGCAAAAAAAAAAAATCCAAATAAAAACGAAACAAAACAGCAACAACCGAAAACAAAACAAGGCGCAGACAGCAAAAGCAGCAACATCAACGACAGCAACAACAAAATTATGAACAAAAATCACAAAATTTATTAAAAAGTGAAAGTTTTTAGCCGACGACGGTGCCCATCCGTCCGTTTGCACAAAATTACCAGAGGGAAAAAGAAATGCAAAAACAATCAACAAGTCTGCGAGGCAAAACAAAACAAATCAGCAGAAGACCCGCGGAGAGCGCTGCGTTGTGAGCGGAGAGAGCCAGAAGAGAGGGTGAGGGCTAGAAGAGAGAGTGACAAGAGAGCAAGCACAGCTGGGAGAGAGCTTCGTCTCGTCCCGTAGAAGTCGCCAAAAAGAGCGGAAAGAGTGGAAAATTCAAATTCACGCTGTGGCGCCAAGTCGCCTCTCTGCGGAAATATGTTGTTGTAAGCAGGCTGGAAAGCTACCAACACAACGGCTGCCAATCCGATGAACGGCGGGGGGGTGGCTCGGAAGATCTTCCACCAGCACCAGCACCCACACCCCCATCCGTACCAGCATTATCGCTCGAACTTGCTGCCGTCCCTGCTCCCAAGTCCGTACATGCACTTGCACCCGCAGTTCCTGCCCAATTCGTCGCTTTCGGGCCAGCAGCAGTGTCGCACGTTCTACTCCCAGACGTCTCAAGTCAACCGCAGCTCTGTCTGCGCACCCGGGCCCGTTGCCAATTGGAGGAGTCCGTGTGCCCGTAAGTGGTTATCTCGCCACAAGTGATGGTAAGGTACTCTTACAGGTACTGGGGTGCATGAAAGGTACATATGCGAGTAAGCGCTTCCATAGCAGAAGATTCTGGCTTACATTTTTTTGTAATGCCCAATTTAACTTACATTTAAATGCTATCTGTGCTTGTACCCACATAACCGCAATCGCTGCTGGACTGCACTGGTCTTTGGCAAATGCAAAAGCCGGAGCAGCACCTGACCGCCTGGTGGTGCTATCGCGGTGGGGCAAGCCAAAGGCGGAAGCGATTTGATTGCTTGTGCATGTCACTTTCACCGCTTGCAAACTTTGAGGGGAGTAGTACGGGTGAATCGGGGGTAAAAGTGGTTGTGGGAGAACGTGGATGGATGGATGGAGCCATCGCAGTGTGTCACTGGGCTATAGGAGATTATACCCGACTCTCAGTATGTGTATGTGTGTGCGTGTGTATGTGACTTTGTGTGTTCCAAGTGATAATTTCATAATCTCTCGCCTCCACTCGACTAATGCTAACCGTGACTTCTTTTCTCTTTGCAGTTACCGTCAATCCACCGCCCCAGAGGCCCTGGCTGCCACTGGCCAAGCCCAACAAAACGCGACCAGCCTGTAAGTTGTAATTAAGACTCTTAATGGCTCCACCGAGCGGTCAGCAACAAGAATTTTCTATTAGCCATTTGTACTTGTGCCCCAGTTGGCTTGACAAGCTAATCCCATTTTACTTCCATCGATAAGTGATTGGCAGACATATGTATTTACATATGCGAGAGCTTTAGTTTGTGAATATTAATATTAAAGACCTTTTTCAGTAATAATGTTTTCTATCATTATTTACAAAATCGAAATAATCGTTCTTAATAATCGATTGCAGGGAGTTTTAGTTATTTTTTAATATAAATTTTAATGATTTAATTATTCTGTATACCCATGCAGGGCAATATATATTTTTTTTTTTGATCAGCATAAACGGGCGAGTCTTTCTGGATATTTTATCTCTTTAACATTTGATAAAATAAAATTCGAAAAAAATTGTATAAAAAGATTTTATTTCTTTAGATTTTTCGACCCCATAAATCATGTATGTTTTTGATCAGCATCAGTATGCTGATTTATTGGCCTATTAAAAACTTATATATAAAAGTTTTCCTAATTTAAATTAATACATTTCTGACTTAGATATGATTCGATGTCATGATTCTATGGCAAACTAGAAGGTTATACAAAATTCGGCTGCCCGAAGTTAGTTTTTCTTTGTTGTTTAATTAAACATTCAGTAACCGAAACAATTGATCCGTGTAATTGGAAATATGTTAATTTAAAAGATCTATATAATTAATAATCATATTCTTTTATTTTTTTTTTAATACTTTGAGTAATGAAAACCAAAGTATGCAAATAAGAAAAAATATAAAAAATGAAGGAGCTATGGAAAATCGAATATTATCGACAGTAGCCCTTAAAAATATATCGTTTTCCCAATGAAAAACGACAGATATTAAACTCATTTTTGTTCCTCTTCAGGCATTTTTACGGTTATGTGCTATAATGTACTCTGCGACAAGTACGCGACGCGACAGATGTACGGATACTGTCCATCGTGGGCGCTGTGCTGGGAGTATCGGAAAAAGTCCATCATCGACGAGATTCGCCACTACGCGGCGGACATCATTAGTCTGCAGGAGATCGAGACGGAACAGTTCTATCACTTTTTCCTGCCGGAGCTCAAGAACGATGGATATGAGGGCATTTTCTCGCCCAAGTCGCGAGCCAAGACCATGTCTGAGGTGGAGCGGAAGTATGTCGACGGCTGTGCGATATTCTTCAGGGCGTCAAAGTAAGTGAACACATAAATTAGAAAATTAGAAGTGGAACTAACACCAGATGTTTTCTTCCTATGCAGGTTCACGCTGATCAAAGAGCACCTGATCGAGTTTAACCAGCTGGCGATGGCCAATGCCGAGGGCTCCGACAACATGCTGAACCGCGTGATGCCCAAGGACAACATAGGCCTGGCTGCCTTGCTGAAGGTGAAGGAGAACGCCTGGGAACCGATGTCCGAGGTGACGCAGATCTCGCAGCCGCTGCTCGTATGCACGGCGCATATTCACTGGGACCCCGAGTTCTGTGACGTCAAGCTCATCCAGACGATGATGCTGAGCAATGAGCTGAAGACGATCATCGACGAGGCGAGCCACAGCTTCCGGCCCGGGCACAAGAACGACTCGAATGCCGTCCAGCTGCTGTTGTGCGGCGACTTCAACTCGCTGCCTGACTCGGGCGTGGTTGAGTTCCTCGGCAAGGGCCGCGTTTCCATGGACCACTTGGACTTTAAGGACATGGGCTACAAGTCCTGCCTGCAGCGGTTGCTCTCGAACGACACCAACGAGTTCACGCACTCGTTCAAGCTGGCCTCCGCCTACAGCGAGGACATCATGCCGCACACCAACTACACGTTCGACTTTAAGGGCATCATCGACTACATCTTCTATACGAAGACGGGCATGGTGCCGCTGGGCCTGCTTGGACCCGTCTCCAACGACTGGCTGCGCGAAAACAAGGTGGTGGGCTGCCCCCATCCGCACATACCCTCTGATCACTTCCCACTCCTCGTCGAGCTGGAGCTGATGCATACGGCCAGCCAGCAGGCGCCCCCCAACGGGCTGATCAATCGCCGGTAGCAATAGAATCGGCGCGGCAGACCCACTACCAGCAACAGTACCACCAGCACCACCACCCTGATGACGACGACGACGACGACGGCGCCGGCGTCCGCTCGGACACCGGTCGCCAGCGGTGGGGGGAGCGGCGGCAGTGGGCCTGGAACTGGGAGCGGGAGTGGGAGTGGAAGCGGAAGCGGCGGCAGCATAGGAGGCCTCATGATACCGGGCGGCTACAGGGGACGCAGCTGCAGCAATAGCGGAAGCCAGCGTCTGGCTGCCGCACTCGGACCGGCGAGAAAGACGGCCAATCCTACCCAGTCGCCGGCGGACAAACAGGCAGCCGCAACGCATCCCTCTCCCAACTGACGTGGCGCTCTGCTCGCATCAAGATTCAGTTTTAGAGTTAGATACGATTTCGAACCCCCACCCACGGCCCCCCCGAGACCATTTACCAAGCAAAACATCCCAAACAACCATTGTCCCCCTCAGAACCCTAAGTTATAAGCTGACGACGTTGTGGAGGCTTCGCTGCTTTGTGCGCTGGATCGCAAAGTGCGTACACCGATGCAACCACCATTCATTCGCTAGGATCGTAATCGTAATAGGAAGGAATATATCATTTACTTGCTGCACTCATTCTTCCGCGCTTCTTCTCATTTTAATTTTATCAACTTTACGTTTTCATCGAATAATAAATCCGTACATATACCTATGATCTACACACATGCATACATAAATCGTTCAACAGCCAGAGGAATATCCAAAAGTGTCCCAAATCCCGCTAAGCATAAAGTGAAAAGTAAAAAATGATTGTGTAAAAATTAAACGTGCTAATTAAACAACAACAACAACAACAACCTACAACATGTGTACAGAAGACACTATTCGAGACACACAACAAACTCACACGATTATAGTCCCGGTTACTGTCCGGATGTGCAAAGTAAATTAGATCCTGTAACTAGTTGATAATACAGCGCGATTCATGTAATGTTAAACATTAAATATAGCACTTAATACTGGTATTTTGACCCTCATGTGAGGGTACGTCTATATGGTATGGATGTTACAAAATCAAATCAATATCTTTTTGGGGCCGAAAGTAACAGTGTATCGCGGAGCCCAATACCGACTTAAAGTCAGATGACATAACGTTAAAATCGTATTTAATTTCCAGCAAAAACTGAGAAGCTTTACCTGGGAGAAGAGCAGAGATTAGAGTTATCCATTAGATTACTTTCCGCTCCTCGGATACTTTGGCAAAATAATAATATAACACCCACCACTATTGTGCATATGTAGACCTAAAAAGAGATCTTATATAAATATAAGCAATGTACATACATGCGTGCAGCAAATAATACACAGTAAATGTCGTAAAGAGAAGTATAAATAAGTATCCAAAGGCCCATGGAATGCAAGAAATTATGTAAACTGATATAAACGAGGCGATCATCATTCATCGAAACCCACTCACCATAAAGTAAATAAAAGTAAAGAGAGAATCAAATGTACAAACGTTTTATATTTTTTTTCTTTGCAACTTAGACACTGGATGCTGTGGGAAAGGCATCGCCAATTGCCGCATTCTCCTCCAAATGATTGGCAATTGTTTTCCAAAGCTTTTGGCCGCTTTGCTGCAGCATCTCCAGATTTCCAATGATATATAGACCCCAGCGAGCTCGGGAAAGAGCCACACACACGCGATTGGGTTGGCGCAGGAACCCGATTTGACCGGATGAATTGCTGCGCACCAGAGAGAGCAGCACAATATTGGCCTCCAGACCCTGAAAACTGTCAACGCTGGCTACTTGGACACTCGTGCGATATTTTTTGGGAAGCTGTAATGGGTTAAAATTATTTTGTATCGTATAATAAGCACTCAGACCTTGATATTTGGCCTTTAAGCAGGCTTTAGAGCAACACAACTTGCACTATAACCTTTTATAAAACTGAATACAAACCTTCTTCATAATGCACTCCACTTGTGCATTGTAAGGTGTTAGAATCACAATATCGCTGAGCTGGTATCTGGACTTTTCCACAAGAAACACCGCCAGCTTGGCCATCTGCTCAGCTTCGTACAGGTTTTCAAAGGACATGTCTGTTGATTGCTTCTCCGGTTGGCTGTGTTGTACAAAGAAGAAGTTCTGCTCCATGTGACGGACATCTTCGTAGGCTTTTACAGAGTCCGAGCTGAGAAGAGTGTCATAAATGCTCGGCACCAGAAGCTCAGCGATGCACGGCCGCATCCGGTACTGCGTATTGAGCAGAGTAAAGGGCAACCCGCCCACAATGAGGCGCTCGAAGAGGGAGACCTGAGGCACCTGATTGCTGCCGCTGAAGGGTTGCAGCTGCTTGTGATCGCCGACTAGGATCACGTGCTCCGTGTGCGGCGTGAGGCAGGCCAGGATATGAGCCTCCTGGATTTCAGCCGCCTCTTCAAAGACCACGCACTTGGCCTGCAGCAGTCGGAATAAGAAGTTAAGGCGAGCAGCGCACGTGGTGGTCATGACCAGCAAATCCTTATTCCTGGCCAAATAGTATTGGAACACAGTGCGCAATGTCTCGATCCGCTCGGCCACCTGTTGCAGCTCGTGCTGAGCCACCAGTGTCTCCTGGTAGCTCTCTTCGCTGCCATCGAAGTTGGTGTACAGATCCTGCAGCCGCTGGAACTTATCCTTGTACTCGCAATTCACTACCCACCAAATTCGCTTGAGGCGTGGTGGCACCAACTCCGGGTTGACCATGGAACGAACGTTAAACTTGGCTATTTGCGGATCCCTCGACTGACTGCCAAAGCGCAGGACCTCCTTGGTGTATCGCGATATCTTAACCAAGAATTTGTCCAGCGAGTCGTTGGTGTAGGTGAGTACAATGATGGGGCCGGTGCCCAAGGCCTTTGCGTTCTGTATCAGACAATTGACCAGCTCGACAGAAAGGTGCGTCTTGCCCGTGCCTGGAGGTCCTTGTATAATACAGAACTCCCTCTGCAGGGCATCAGTAAATGCTGTCTGCTGTCTGTCATTGAAGGGCAGATCCTTGGGCAAGCTTTTAAGGGTAAAGGGTTTCGCATTAAAGGAAAGCTTAGTTCCAGGCTTAATGTAGGCCGGCGGTTGTATCTCCGTCTAAAGAATAAGGAATGTAATATTTAATTTTGAGGAAACTTGGGCTACACACCTCTCCCTCGACAATATAACGACGCATTGCGAATTGCTCTGTGCTGCAGGTGCTCAGGTAATTGTGGACCCTTAAGTACGGCTCAAAAAACACTGGCGTCTGGAACATAATCAGGGGTCGATCATAGATTTTGCCTATGTTGTGCTGCCTGACAATCTCGACACTTAGCTGAGAAAGAAACAAAACAAATATATATTTGAATAATTGTTGAGAATATTTATATTACTAACACATCCTTTTTGGAGTCTATGTGTGTCTGTGTAGCCCACGCTGACCAGGATGAGATCCCCAAAGTCCAGGCTCGTCGTAAGGCAAAGCAGGGCGCCAGATTTGATATTTTTTATGTAGTTTATCAATATTTTCTTGTTGTCCTCAGGAGATTCCAGTTTCATAAAGACCAGGCTGTGGCGCTGTGACTCTGCAAACTCGGGATTTAAGACTAAGGTCGTTCCGGGCCACAGAAGACCTTGACACTCCAACGCCTTTATATCATCTCCAGATCGAAGCCGCTGCACAAACTCCAGTAAGGGAGCTTGAAAGTCTTGGCGCAGTAACTGCCGCTGCTTTCTTACATATTCCTCCACATTGTTGGACACAGGAGGATTTTCTTTGGTTACTTCTTTCCCCAGGCACTGGTCCAGCGTTGGGTAGATCTCACCCTTCACTCCTTTTGCGGATTGAGTGCCGTCAAAGGGTTCAAGGCCACCAAACGCTTCGCTTTTCGAGAGAGGTGCCAGCTGCTTGTAGAGCTCCACCAGCTCGTAACCTCCGTGGCCAAGAACTCCTTGCCTATGGGCTCTCAAGAGTAGCCACTTCATGTTCCCCAACAACATCTGTTCCGATTCCGCATCGCATTTCCCACCAGAAGCCTTTGCCAGGAGGGTCAGCAACAGGCGCTTGACCTTCTCCAGTAGCACCGACTGCCGGGCGAAACAGGATAGGAGCACGTCATCAAAGCCGCACAATTCCAGTTGACAAAGCGACTTCAAAACCTCCACAAAGAGGGAGACACGTTTCAAGCTATCATTGGCCGCCAGTTGATTGACAAACAAGTCTCGATCTTCGGAGAAGAAGTAGAGGAACATATCGATGGGCGACATCTTCAGGCCCTTAGTGAAGTCGGTCAGGGCGAAGCGATCGGCGGCGACTTTGCTGCCCCCATCCGTAGCACTGGCCTCCAGGTTCAGCTGTTGCAGGTAGTCCCCCACTGAAAATGGACAAAGTGCATTAGCGCCAATAAGTGCAAAGTTAAAAGCGCATGACATTCCACCTTCGGGCGCATGATATTCTATGTGCTCCTCATTCTCCTTCAACTCCTGCTGCTTCACCTTGTGCTCCAAACCCTGGACAAGCTCGTCCTCATCCTGATTAAACCAATCGTCGTCTTCGGAACCGGACATGGCGCTGGGTTTTGGGGTCAAATAGTCGAACGTCGTTTTCCGGCCACTTTGTTTACAAAACAATAAAAAAGTCCGGCAACTCGGCGGTGGCTCGTGGGGAAAATCCAGAATCCGATAACGATCGGATGACCGATAATAATAACAAAACAGCTGTTTTTGCTTAAAATATTGAGGAATTTTTATATTCATCGAATGGTCACACTGCGACTGGAAGACGCATATTTCTGTGGGCGAAATCCGCAAATTGTTTTAGCTATTGCGCTTCTTTTTGGGTGCTTCGGAATTTCCTACTTCGTCACCTTGAAGAAGACTCCTGTTTAAAAAAAAACTGACCAATCCAGAAAGGTTTGTAATACGCCATAAACCCGGAATCGTTTACTCTAAAATCGGCGCGCTTTTTTGTTAGAGCTAGATAAACATACCAAATGGAGCGGAGTCGGCAAAACGGCCGGATTCGCAAAGCGCCGACTTCTGGATCCGATAGCGACACTTCTGAGGCTCCGAGTCGCAAAAAGAGCAGGCAGGTGGATGAGGATGATGGCCTTGAGGAAGCGTCTACCTCGCAGGCAGCGAATTCGCGGAGCGCAGGCACGAACATGTCGCAGAATATGACCACTATGAATCTTACGGTAGGCATGCACGACCCAATAATTAAGACTTTACTGAACGGGAGTCACCCACCTCTTTTAGTCGGAGATGTCCATACCGAACGCCTTCAACCGCTGCGGCAAAGTCATTTCCATGCGCCTCACCAACTTCATGTGTCACTCCAATCTGTTTATGGAGTTTGGCCCGAATATCAACTTCCTGGTGGGCAACAATGGCAGTGGCAAGAGCGCCGTGATCACAGCATTGGCACTGGGCCTGACCAGCAGCGCTCGGGTGACCAGCCGGGCTAGCAGCATACAGAGTACGTCCCATAGCTGGTCAATAAATCCTGTAATAACCAAAAAATTCTCATATTACAGAGCTAATAAAGAACGGAGAGGCCAGTGCCACCGTTGCCATAACATTGTCCAATAATGGACTGCGGCCCTTCAAAGCGGAAATCTTTGGGCCCCATCTCACGGTGGTGCGCCACATTCGGCATTCATCGTCGGCCTATGACCTTCAAGACGCTCGCGGTCGAAGCGTGTCCAAGAAAGTGGGCGAAATCCGACGCATGCTGCTCTGCTTCGGCATTAACGTGGAAAATCCCATATTTGTGTTGAATCAGGAGGCGGCGCGAGAGTTTCTCAAAGAGTAAGTAAACTACAATACTAGGATTGCTATCACGGCACTTTTCCGTTATTGTTTACAGATTGGAGCCGGAATCGAATTACAAACTGCTGATGAAGGCAACTCAGCTTGATGTTTGCGCCGTCAGCTTGCTCCAATGTCATGAGCAGCGACGCCACTTTAGCCAGGACATGGAACACTTGGTCAAAGTACGTTGGCCCTTGGTCTGTTATCCTAAATCCCTTTTGATGAGTTTTTTTTTGAAATTGTTCAACAGAAAAGGGAAGTCGTGGAAAAACAAGTGGAGGCAGTAGAGGAAAAGCTTTCAATACTCAAGGATAAAGAAGTCGTTAAGGTAAGGAACTAGGTGTAACCCAAAAAAGTTGGACTTGGGCTTAAGTGTTTAATCCCCAGGTAAAACTTAAGCAATCCGAGGTCAAGTTGGCCTGGTTGGCTGTGACGCGTTCGCAGCAAGAGCTTGACCAGCTGGAGCACTCGATAAGCCTGATAGAAGCCAAGAAGGCCAAGCTAGAGCAGACCACATCCAAAAAGGAGTCCACCCAAGCCACGCTCACCCAGCAGCTTAAGTAAGTTAAGAATTATTTTTAACGAACAGTTTTTGTTTTAATCTACCTTTTATCCCATTTCCAGCCAATTTGAGTCTACCAAAAATGTAATCTTAGGTTCCTACAAGGCCCAAGAAGTGAAGGTAAGGACGGCCAAAAAGGCAGTGCAAGATCTCCTCTTAAAGATCAGCTCTGTGAAGGCCCAGCTTGACAACGCTGAGCGAAGAATGAGGGAGGAGCAGCACACGTACACTGCCTGCGAAAAGCATATTGGTAGCTACCATGCCGACTTCAATCGGGTTAAGGAACAGCGGGAGGAGCACGCCAAGCAGATGGAGGCTCTGAAGAAGCAAGTGGCTGAAAGTGACGAGCTCATTGCCCGTTTGCGGGAGGAGCAGCAGCAAATGAAGCGCGAACTAACAGCCGTTCAGGAGACGACAGAGACTGTGAAATATGAGAGAGCCCAGCTGCATAAATCAAAACGTAAGTGTACTTCTATTTAAATATAAAGAAACGGTTTACTTGAGATCCAAATCCTTGCAGAGAACATGCAATGGGAAATTGAGACGCTGTCCCGCAACAAATCCAACACTTTATCCGTGTACGGGGAGCAAGCGATCCAAGTGGTTCATGCGTTGCGCACTCAGTATGCCGGTGCCAATTTGCACAGGATGCCGCGCGGTCCGCTGGGCCAGTACATCAGTGCGCCCAATCCCAAGTACCGCGACCTAGTCGAGAATCAGCTCATGTCCTGCCTGCGCTCTTATATCGTGAGTTCGGACAGGGAGCGCCAGTCGTTGAGGACGCTACTGCAAAACAAGTACCCCAATGGCAACGTACCCACCATTATCACCAGTTCCTTCACAGATCGCGTCTACGACGTGTCCAGGCACAAGGTGCGGCCCACCACACCGAACACCACAGTGCTGATAGATGAAATCAGGTTGGTTTTATCTTGACTTCTTTATTTAGCTCCAACTCAAACTCTTACCTTGTCAGCTGTAACGATCCGGTGGTTATGAACTACCTCATTGACATGCTACGCATTGAGACGGTCCTGGTGACCGAGTCCAAGGAGATTGCCGAGTTCCTCACCTCGGATACGGAGAATGTGCCTCCCAACCTGACAAGGGTTCTGGTACCGAACTTGGGACTGGAGTACATACCATCGCCCAACTATGCCGTGTATTCGAATAAAATATTTCCGGCGAGATTTATTCATGTGAATGTCGACGATCGCATCCGCCAGCTGCACATCGAGCAGGATGCCATTAAGGAGCGAGAGGCGTCTCTAGAAGCCGATTACATGCAGCAGAAACAAATATTGGAAAAAATCAACCAAGAGATTTCGAAGAGAAGTGTCTTAATTGGCCAGCATCAGTCGAGGAATAATCGGGCAATGCAACAAAAAATTGAGTTGGAGAACTATGATTACCCGGAGCTGCCGGAATATGACCGCCTGGTAGGACTGGAAACCTTAAAACCTTGAGAAAAATAATATTTTTCTCCATTTCCCTTCTAGAAAACTCATTTAAGCGACAGCGGTGAGAAGATTAACAAGTGCAGGGAAGAGCGCGAAGCGCTACAGCAAAAACTGGACGAGATCAAGGAACGAAAGGAGCAACTTCGCCGAGAAGAGGCCGATGAGACGAAGGCCCTTGAAGACATCAATCAAAAGCTTTCCACCGTTGACACTGAGTTTCAGGAAGTCGAGTCTAAGATCCGTAGCCTGGATCTTCACTTTGAGGAAAACACTCGATGTTTGCAGAAAACGTTGCAGGTGGAGAAGAAAATGCGCGATGTGAAGGCGACAACGTTGGCAGAGTTGGAAAAGGTTCGCGCCGAAGCTGAGCAATTGGGGGAATTCATCGCCACGACGCAGACGGAGGAGAACATCCGCGAGTCGATTAGTCGTTACAAATCAAAGATTCGGCAGGTTGAACAGCTGAACTATATCATTGAGGATGTTGAAGGGGAGTTGTCTACGCTGCGAGACAATCTGGGGCAACAGGCCAAGCAATTAAATGTGGTGGAATCGGTGATCAAGAGGTTGCGCCAAGCTTACCATCAGCGGGCGCAGCTGTTCCAGAGATCACGTAAACACTACTTTACCATGGTTCAGTTTCAATTTGAGGTACAGTTCCACTCCTTTATCCTTTTAATTAATTAGTAAATTAAATTAATTGATTTCCCTTACAGCAAGCGTTGTCAATGCGCAAGTTTAAGGTGAGCTTCGATACCAATGACAGGGACAGGACTTGGAAAATTAATGTATTTCCGCCCAGTGGAAATAAAACATCAAATACCAGGAGCTTATCCGGCGGTGAACGCTCTTTTACCACAGTTTCGTTGCTGAAAGGACTTTGGAGCACCTCAGATCATCCGTTCTATTTTCTGGACGAATACGACGTATTTACGGTGAGCATTATTTATTTTGTATTATTCTAAGTTTTAAAAAATGTATTCTGTTCTTAGGATGAAGTGAACCGAAAGTTCATTACGGAAATCCTCATCAACGAGGGAATGGACTACAAGAATCGTCAGTTTTGTTTTCTCACGCCCCAGGACACTGAGGTCCAGGCCAGCAACTTTATTACGGTGCACAAGTATGTATTTAATTTGAATACAATTATTTCAGACTAACGAACCCTTTCTTCCAGATTGGAGGCTCCTGATCGTTAAGGTTTATTAGAAATCAATAATGTTGCAGGTCGACGTCAATACATATACAAAAAGTTTTTCCAAATGTACAATTACCTCTATCTTAAGTGGATGATCTAGTAACGTAAAGTTGTTTTCTAAACTAAAATAAAGTTAAGATTAATTAACCTAACCCTCTAATACCCAAGAATTCCTCAAGGCACTTATTATACAAATTGTATTATCTGAAAAACGAGGAGCCTTTTAATTATTTGAATTATACTTGTCAATTCACAATAAACATGTGAACTTATGCTCAAGCTCTCTTAAGCTTTATAACGGGACTTTTTTCGTGTTGTTTACATGCATCCAAATCGTTTTTAAATATTTCTTCGGTTGGGGCCTAGAGGGTTAAATAACGTATTTTAATTGCGATCTGGCAACGCTGCTTAAGTCTGGTCACATTAGTCGGGGAATTGCCAAGCTGCATGACAGACTGAACTGAAATAGGTTTGCAATATCAAAATTGGCTTTTCATTGATTCTTTTGTACTTGCCGTAACTCTAAAACTTAATATTATTAATACCATTTATTATACTCACTTCGTACAATGTTTACCTTTATTTAAATATAATTGCGATTTTCTATCAAGCGGTCTGATCGTGTATCGGGAGCCCCCAGCAAGTAACCTCAAAGCGGCGCGGCGACTGATTGATTTACTCTTATTTATTTGTTAAATTTGTTAAGCTCACAACAAAATGAGCCGAAACTACAAGGAAGATCAGACCAACGAGGTCGAAGCCCTGGACTCCATCTACTGTGGTGAAATGGAGAGTAAGTGGCCCGGAGCTTGCCCCAAGTCCGAGCTCACCTTTACATCTCGTCTGATTTATAGTTCTCGCCACGGAGCCGTTTCACAAATTCCAAATTCCCATTGCCACGGAGGAGTACAGCGCCGAGGAGAGCGATAACGGTCTGTCCTGCAAACTGGTCTTCACATACACAGCCAATTACCCCGATGGGGCGCCCTTGGTGGAAATTGAGGAGCCGGAAAACTTTGAGGGCAAGTTCGAGTCTCTTCTGCTGGAGCACCTGCGTAAGACTATCGAGGAAAACCTGGGCATGGAGATGATATTCTCGCTGGTGAGCAGCGCCCAGGAGTGGCTGAACGAGCGGTGGGACGAGCACAAGTTCCATCAGGAGGAGCAACGAGCCCAGAAGCTGAAGGAGGTCGAGGAGGAGGAGCGCAAGAAGTTCGAGGGTACACGCGTGACTGTGGAATCGTTCATGAAGTGGAAGCTGGACTTTGAGGACACCACGGGCATTGCGGCGAAGCGGGAGAAGAACAATGTGTCCAAAAAGCTAACCGGCCGTGAGCTCTTTATGTGCGACAACACGCTCAACGATTCGGATATCAAGTTCCTGCTGGAGGCGGGCGAGAATATAGAAAATGTCAAGATTGACGAGGCGCTGTTCCAAGATCTCGGCGAGCTAGACCTGGATGACGATGATGACGAGGATTGGGTGCCCGGAGCCGATGACGACGATGATTAGAGTTTCGCCGTTGCCGGTGACTTTATTGTAAAATAAACGTTTCTCATACAACATTTGGTTTATTGTTTATAACATTTAAATGCAAACTGCTTTATTGATTTATTAGTCCAATTTGTTCGGATTCTGCAAACTTAAGTCGGAAAGCCTAAGGCCGTGACTGGCCACCGAATGTATGTCGTCCAGGTCAAAGTCCTCGTCGCTGTCATCATCTTCCTGCTTTGGTTGCTGTGCATGCAGGCTCTTACGGGCCGCCGGCAGACTATCACGAGGGAAATTCAGTTTTGACCAAGAACCGGGCTCCAGTTTGGGCAACGTTATCTCCACTTTGGTGCCGAGCATCTGGGCACTAGCCTTGCTCACATCAACAATCTGTAAAGGAGAAAGAGAGCAACAATAAGTGATGTCCTCTAGGACATGGATTAACCTATAACTTACGCCACGCAGTTCCAGGTCCAGGTCAAACCTGGCGTTCTCCTGCTCGGGAAAAACGAGATTGACATGTAGTCTAATTGGGTTCACCTCCACCACACTGTGGGCGGGGTGATACTTCTTGGCATAAATGGCCACCACCACATTCGTGGCGGTTTGATGCCAGTCGTAGCGGCACTGCACCACCTTTTTATCTTCGTTCTGTAATCAGAGTGAGGGATTGTATGAAGATTTCAGGTAAGCCGGCAGAGACTCTCACCTCTTTAACCCAAACATGCTGGCCGTAGACACAGCCCTTTTGTGCCATAAACTGGGCGAAGTCCGAGGTCCGCTTCTGGCAGCACGACCAGAACTTCATGCCTTCGTGGAAAATCGGGACGCCCGGATGGTGGGTGCACTCGCCGTAGTCACTGCTGGTGCCCATGAAGGAGTAGGTGCAGCCGTTGTTCTTGCAGCTGGTGCCCACCTCGATGGAATCGTTGGATTTTGTGGCTGGTCTTGCATCCGCGGGCGACTTCGTTGTAAAAACAAGAGCCTTTAAAGCAGGCGCTACCGTCGACTGTAACACAGTCAGCGGGGTTTCGATGGGCGGACGGGGCAGAGCTTCTTTAATGGGAGCGCGCACCTCGATGACCTCGTCCTTGTCGGACTCCTGCTTCACGGGTTTCTCTGGCTCAGGCGGCTTGACATTCGAGTGCTGGGACAGGGTACAGCCCTTGATGTTGAGGAACTCGGTGAAGTCCACGGACTTCTTGTTGCAGCAGCCCCAGCCCTTGTAGGCATCGTGGAAGAACGGTTCGCCCGGATGGTGCCGGCATGATTCTATGGACAATTTTTTTGGGGGGGAAAACATCTGATCACATGTGCGGTTGCTACATGGAAGATGAAGTCTTACCATCGGTGTTGGTCGCCGGGTCGAAAAGCTGGCCGCAGCCTCTGTTGTAGCATTGTTCCATGTTGACTATTTTTGTTTAGTTTTTACTTGGTTTCATAGAAATTCGCTTAAATCTAGAATATTCGCAGTGTAAAGTGCCAGAGTGACCAAAGATATATAAAACTTACATACCTAATAAGCCTTTCAAAGAAGTGCGCTGGGAATGTTTGACATTGTCCGCAACGGTCACATTGCTATGGCAACCGCGAAGATTTAATTTGCAATATTATTATTATTGAATTTAGTGTTTATAATTACGGCCACAACAGTAAAACTCTTCTAAAATCTTTGTTTTCAAAATAGTCACATCAACGAGTGTTCCCATTGATCTGCATTGACAGAATCTATCATATTCTAAAACATATTTAAAAAAATTTTAAGAAGAAATCAAGAAAACGCTATTTTTCATAATTTTTCATTTTTAATAATCATAAAAATGGGCATGTTTTGTTTTGATAATAACTTCTAAACCAGAGGCATTATGCTTTGACTTTTGTCACGTGGGACATGTCTCGTGATTAAATTAAATATAAAACAAAGTGCCCTATATTTCTAATTGAAATTAAAAGCACAGGAAACGGACATTTCCACATGACAATTTAAAACTTGTTTAATTTAAATAATCCTTGGTGTTTCAGTGAAATCCGCTTTTAAACAGCTTACCTTAATTACCTTCATTTTGGTTTTAAATTTCTTAAAATCAAAAAATGTAAAATACTTCTTATTACTTTTTTACTTTGAAATTCAACATTTTAATTCGTACAAATTTCAAATTCCATAGAATATAAATGCCAATATATGTGTACTTTTTATATTAATAATTTGTTAATGCAATAAATTTATTAATATTTCAAGGTAAATTCTTTAAATTATATAAACAACTTTATAAATACTCTCTAGTACTTTATACCTTCAGAGTTAAAAAGGCTTTATTAATTTGTAAAAAAGAGCTCTAATAATTTCAATTAAATCAAAAGTCCTATCACATTCTAGTATTATTATTTTTTGCCTTTGTAATAATGATATGATACTGTTACTACCTTGTAACGGTCGTCAACTTTGATTGAGAGAATTTAATATTCAAACCTGATCTTTGAGAAAACCTGTGACTCGGCGACAATACCGATCATCGCTGGCGGAATTGGAAAGGCCACGCCAGAGTCGCGAATGCAGAGCAATTAAAAGTGATAGTAAATTTGGAATTATGTTAATTACTGCCACTGTTCCGCCGGTCTTGGCGGCGTGCTTTACTTTATAGAATTTGCTAATTGCAAGACGGAATTGAACTGAAAACCATTATTTGCAAATCACCTGAAGGTCAGGCGGCAGCGGCTACGTGATTTCGGACTCCAGCGACACTTCGAAATGGGTTCAGAGAGCTGCTGGTTGCTGGCTGCTGGGGCGGGACTCGGGAGTGTTTAGATTGTTTATTTGTCACACATTTTGGGCCCCGTACCTATGTTTTCACGGTTTCATTTTCATTTATGCAGTTATTGCCCGCGGTGTCAGAGCATGAAATGAACTTGCAGTCGGCAAATTGTCGTTTTGCTGGAAATTCTTGTGGTCGGTCAACAAGGTTATCAACGCTCTTGGCGGCGCTTGCCCTGTTTCAAATGAAAATAAAATTATGACAAACTTGGCTGGCTGCCCGCCCACAGCAGTGGTGGCGGCGTTGTCGCCACCTTTTCCCGCTTCCAATGCACACTACTTGGTTTCTTTTATTTGGCTGTGAATCATGCCATTGCTAATGATCCCCGGTTGCCCATTGTTGTGAAACCGCCCGAGAATTGTAAACTTTTTTACTGCTTTATTTCCATAAGACGACGGTGAGGGGAGCGGGTGTGGTCTCAGGCTCTGTAGATTTTGACAGTCGCAGAAATACAAATAAATAAATAAAAATAAATAAATATAGCGCTCGGTGGACAACATCGCTGGTCGCAACATCGCCAGTGTCAATGGAAATTAACACCGCCCGGCGGCCTGACTTTGTCTCTTGCTCCCTGGCCGCCCGGGCGTATACGTAATTTAGCATACAATGGCAACGGCTACAGCCAAAGCAACATGCAATTGTGGCGCTGCCTGTCATGTCATGCTGGTTTCGCCGCCAGTAAGCACAGATTTTCCGCAATTCGCAGCATTCCATAGCCGCTGACGATGCCCCAGCGATGTGCGTGCTCCGGTTTAGTTGCTTTTATTGCCAATACTCCCAGTTATCCTTATCGCTGATTGGCTGCCAATTTCGCAGCTGGCGGGATGAGGCAATTAGGTCGCCGCAATGCAAATGATCTGCCAGCACGCTCTCAAGTTCGTTTCCCAAGTCTTTTGTGTGTCAATCGAACTCTTGGGAAATTTCATAAATGCTTAAGTAAGAAGAAACTAAAGAAGGAAAACTATAAGACTTTTTATTGAACAATGTATTTTATTTAAATTAATGTTTTCTTTTATTTAAATTAAATACCTTATACGAAAGATAAAGAGATCCTGCGTATCATCAAGCAAAGGAAGTTTTCTCTCTCAAGGTCTTCCTTTTCGCTTTCAAGTTAAAGACGTTGTGCCTATTGGTTTGTTAATAAGAGTTAACGCATTTATTTACAAGAAAAATTGTTTCTAGTCTCCAGCTCTTGCTCCTAGTTCTCCGTCTCCAATCAGTTATCCTCGCTCTCCGCTACTGACTACTCAACATGACTCGGTTTGGGCTCTGGCCTCAGCTCCATCTCCATCTCCATCCGCCTCAGAAGTACCTAAACCGTGTGGTGTAGGGACTACCGAAGAAGTTATATGTCGCATAGGCGGTGTCGGGGCTCTGGAACGAGGTGCTAAAGAACGTCGGATCCGCTGCCACCGCCACCGCAGCCGCCGCTGTTCGGACAAACAAAAGCGATTTAATTGGGTTTCTCACTCGACGTGATTAATATGGCATTTATTGTTGGGCAAGTGCACTTGGAGTATTGGGGGGTATTAGTTGCGGTTGCTGCGGGTGCCAAGTGCTGAATTCCAAGCGTGGGCGTCACCCAATGACGCGGTCCGAAGGTTGATCCCCAGCCCCAGCCCCGGCCCCGGCCCGGCTCAAAGCTCGCTCGCTGTCAATCTCAATCACAATCGCAATCAAATCACAGAGTCGACGTCACACAGTCATTGGCCCGATCGCCTTTGATTGTCCAGCAAGTCGTTCGTCCGCCTAACAACGCCCAACGCTGCCACTTTGATTAGAATGTCGGTCACATTAGGCCACTTCTCCAAACCAAAAACCACTCGCTGAATACACTGGGAAAATTACTTAAATTAGCTAATAAAAAAAAATGTTTTCTACTTTCAAGAAAAGTCGAAATATGTGGGCGAAAAGTGGGTTTTTTAGAGCGCTTTTTGGTAACAATTTTTATGAGTGCGGGAGTAGAAGCTATCTCGAATGACTTTCTTACCTCAGTAATTAAGATTCAAGATTTTTTTTTCCTTTTTTCCCCTATCCTCATAAGGATTCTTCCTATAGGATTTTTAAGAATTTTGTATCCTAAGTTAACTTTTCTTTGTTAGTGTAACTGTGGTGGGTGGCTGCGGTTTGGCCAAACTCAGCAAAGCCAATCGCCGCTCGAATGCAGGCCTGGAACTAAACCAGGCGGGGATCGCGGGTGCTGCCATTAATCTACGCCAGTCTTGGGCAATTGTTACGCCGCGGCTTCAGTTATAGATTGGCGCTGCCATTACCATTACCATTGCCTGCCGGCAGGCCTCGGTCTCCTAGCCGCAGGCAGTCCTCATCAGGAAGCCGAATCCCACTGCGTAACCATTTGTGGCTCAGTCACTGCGTTTGCGGCTTCGGCGGAGAGAGAGAACTTTTGCTATGCAAAATTAATTACACAATGGCCAGACCATGTCCGCGTCCAGTCGCAGGCCCAGCGATCGTGCATAAATTGTCAAATTGTAAAAATTATCTCAACTTAGCGTCGTTTGTGTTCGTTCGCTCGATCGGTGGCTTTTTACTCTTTTTGTTCCAGTTCATTGTGAAATGTCTCCCCATTCATTTGTTTGAGTCGTAGTCCCAGTCCTAGTCCTCCAGCTAACTTAGAAAAAGCTGCTCCATTTCTGTTTATGTTTCGGTTTCGGCCTCCGACTCAAAATCGATATGCAAAAAAAGAGTCTGTTGCTCGCTTGCCAACATATTTTGCATGCGGCAAAAGCAAAGACAGAGTCGCGAAGTCGCATTAGTCGCGCATATCATTGACTCCGTCTGGTCGGTGTCTGCTCCGTCCCGTGGCTTCAAGCCATTCCATTCCTCCACTCGAGACTAGACCAGATTCCGTTAATACTCCGCTTGGAGTAGTAGCAATATTGTTGCTCCAGCACCTGCTTCTGCTGGGATCGTTAAGAAAACTGTTTGGATTTCACGGCAACTTGGGGTATCTCGGTTAGCCAAAGGCTTTTGTTCTGTTCGATCAGAGGATAAAAAGGATTTAACTTCTTAACTCCTCAACTCTATCAATTTGATAAATTTCAAGAAAGCTAAGCAGAGGGGATAAGGGGGATACTTTAAATGCTTAATATTAATATTTAAAGATTTAAAGAACTTCTTCATATGCGTCTGATATATAAATTTGAATCAGAATAAAATGTATGCAGTCTGATTTTACTTATCGTGATTAAAGAATATTTTCCCAAGTTAAAAACGTACTAAATCTTTGGATAAATTTAGAAATTGTAAGGTAATGAAAAACTTATTTTTTTGATTATATTTTCTCTAAATAAATGCTACCCAAAGTACCTTGTCTTCCCCTTTGCATATCGTTTTGTCCAACTTCCCCCCAATGGGCCACTTGGTCTACATATGTTCGTTTGTGGCTTCCGCGTGTGAAGCTGTGGGGGAGAGCATGCCCAGTTCGGACCGGTCATAGTCGTTGGTTTCCCAGGTTCCGTCTTCGTCTGCGTCTTGGTTTAGGTCTCCTTCAATGCGGAGTGCCGCTGCACTTCAAAGCCGGATCGTAGCCGTGTTAATTAGGCGCTAGTTTTATGTGCGCTTAAAATAATTGCTACCACTGGAGTGGAGTGCTTAAATCCATATGTAAAAATAAAAATATAAACAAATGGTGCATTGACAAACGTAAAAGGCAAAACGAACAAA